AGAAACAACAGGAATTCGTTTAACTTACGCTTACAACCATTTTTCTACCCTAATGAAGACCGTACAAACTACAAAACTAATTAGCGAATTTCCCATATAGGGAATAAGCTATTACCGTAGTACTCATGGTAAGACCTGGACGCGGGACCGATTTTTTTTTTTCGTTTTGAGGTCCCTAGAGGCCAAAAACATCATCCGTTCAAATTCATATATATATATTTATATCTAATATATAAAATTCTCGTGTCACAGTGTTTGTCTGCAAACTCCTCCGGAACGACTTCACCGATCGTTATGAAATTTGGTGTGTAAATTCTGTAGGTATGCGAATAGAAAGTAAACTATTTCCCGTTTCGAAATTCTTAAAAGGGCTCCGCCCCAGTGGCTCTGGAGTTTCCCATGTTAACCTTATGAGAAATGGAATTAATGAATCTTAACAGCTGTTTCAATTAAACAAGTTGGTTCTGTTCTATGATGTTCAATACCATTAAAGTTACAAGGATTACCAACAGGTTGCAGCACTATTATTTCTTTTACATTTATGACAACAGCTAATTTGCAACCAAAAGGTAAGTGAGCGTAGCGAACGAACTTAAACCTGGAGGTGAGTTAGCGTAGCGAACGAGCTAACCTGAAGGCAAGTGAGCGCAGCGAACGAGCTCCAACCCAAAGGTGAGTGAGCGTAGCGAACGAACTTCAACCTGGAGGCGAGTTAGCGTAGCGAACGAGCTAACCTGAAGGCAAGTGAGCTCAGCGAACGAGCTCCAACCTAAAGGTGAGTGAGCGTAGCGAACGAGCTCCAACCCAAAGGTGAGTGAGCGTAGCGAACGAACTTCAACCTGGAGGCGAGTTAGCGTAGCGAACGAGCTAACCTGAAGGCAAGTGAGCGCAGCGAACGAGCTCCAACCTAAAGGTGAGTGAGCGTAGCGAACGAGCTCCAACCCAAAGGTGAGTGAGCGTAGCGAACGAACTTCAACCTGGAGGCGAGTTAGCGTAGCGAACGAGCTAACCTGAAGGCAAGTGAGCGCAGCGAACGAGCTCCAACCTAAAGGTGAGTGAGCGTAGCGAACGAGCTCCAACCCAAAGGTGAGTGAGCGTAGCGAACGAACTTCAACCAGGACGTGATTGAGCGATGCGAACGAGATCATCTTGAAAATTAAACGTAGCGGTACTTTCTTTCCATCGGTCTGTCTTAGGGGAAACCTATAACTTAGGCGATACGAAGTTCGCCGGGTCAGCTAGTATTTATATATATATATGTGTCCGTCAGCACGATAACTCGAGCAAAAATGATCCGATTTTGATGAAATTTGGTACAAACGTGTAAACGTACGTTTATTTGAACGAGTTCGCGATCCAGCATGATCGGACCATGGGAACGGGGTTTTATGGGGTAAAAATAGGTTTTTCCCATTTTTGACCCCAAAAACATAAAATTTAGCAATTTCTTTCCAAACCATTTTGTAGAGCTTAAAAAAACAAATAATTTAGTATATTGAAGCGTTATTATGCGCCTAATGGTTACGGAGAAAATTCCAAAAAATTGTAAATTTAAAATTCCCATGTTATTCTTAAGCTGGGTTTTCCTAGACGCGGAGTCGGCCAGCGGAGAGCGGACAACGGAGAGCGGAATTGAAATTAACATGGCATTCCGCTCCGCTGCTAGGAAAACAGTAACATTAAATTACCTAAGACAAGCTGAGTCCGCTCTCCGTTGTCCGCTCTCCGCTGGCCGACTCCGCGTCTAGGAAAACCCAGCTTTATGGAGAATAAGTAAACTGTTCTAGTTTGCTTGTTTGTGAACATATCTTGATCAAATTTGGAAAATGTTTTTATTTCTTACTAACTATTCACATTTTACAAAAAAAAGCAGTTTTACCCTCCCTGATGCAGCAAACCTAAGTACTTGTTAAACTAATTCTATTTAAATCAAGAATAAATATATTTAAGTAGACATTTCAGTGTAAATCCAATCAGTCAAATGGAAATTCGCTTAGTCTGCAGGTTTGCTGCGCCGGCGGGGGTATTTTGTACTTAAAGCTATTCCAAAAAGGCAATTTTATTTGAGCAGCCTATTAAATATCATTGTATTTAGTAAATATGTAGTATTCATAGTTAATTCCAAATACTGTTTCAGTTGAAAAAATGAAAGAAAATGCCCAAGAACTGAAAGAGAAACTCGACACTTGTGAGAAAACCATGGCCAATGTAGAAGACTCGATGGAGAAGTTACAGGAACGAGTTAAAGTTTTACAAAATTAAAATATTTCACCTTTATAGAATTTATGTGAAATATTTCTATCTACAAAATTAGATATTGTGGTCATTAAAAATATGTATTAAACTATATCTGATTATGATTCAATAGTCAAAAAGTGTTACTATTTACATCAAACTATATTTTATACAAATTTCTACTCTTGATCACACTAAACAAATCCAACATAACTCCAGGCCGGTTTGGAGCGCCCGGGAGCAGGGATGGCCCACGCCGCCCCCCAGTACCGGGGTATGGAAAAGTTTTGAAAAATAATAACTGTAAACTAGGGTTTTTGTGCAATCCAGACACAATAATGTTTAAAACATAAATTGGTATTTTAATTGGTTGCATTATATTTAACCTACTTGATTAGGAGGTTTGAAAACAAAAACATGAATTTAAATTAAGTTCATTGGACGGAACTTATCCTTACTTAGAAATCTCCTCAAAACAGGATAGCTTTAACAAGTGCACGTAAACAGTGGGAACTGAGCAAAGGACGCAAATTTAAAAACGGCTGGTAGATGTCGGTGACGTTTAAGCACTTGTAGTTAGAAGATAATGCCCGTTTGGGCATTACCTAAGACATAATTATCAAACAGTACAAAACATAAATCCTTTCTTACCTTTACAGGATTTTAAAACGGTTTTATTAGCTCGCTTTCTTGTCTGTTCGGTACAAATTTTGCAATCGATTTTAAACTAACTTCCCAATGTGCTAGACACTAGAAACTTGAAACATAAATCACAAATGGATGACAATGCAATATTATATCATTTTATTTTCATATTTTCCCTGAGCTACGCCCCATGGGCTTAAAAATTTTCAATGTTTAAATTTTGGAAGAATGTAAATATTAATTGAAGTCAGCTGTAAATACTTTAATTTGACAGTTTGTTCAAAGACCAGGTTAAGAGGTACAGGTTCTCCCACTGAGCTAAAATTATAACTGGAGGTAGCACTGCCATGGCAGAAGTCTGTCAAAAGCGAGTCGCTGATTTTGTTAGGTTGGTATAGCAGTAAGTTTTCTTACCATAGCAATAACATGGCTTCTTATAACTAGGTTGTATAGCAGTGAGTTTTTTTGTCATAGCAATAACATGGCTTCTTATGGACACCCACCTCACGCAAACATGGCGGCTGGCGACACGCATCTTTGACATTCAGTGCTACCTCCAGTTAGAATTATAGCTCAGTGGGTTCTCCCCTGAGAGATTCTAAAGTTTTAGATTATGAAAATAATAGCAACAACATCTGATTACAGTTAAAAGCGTTTGGTTATGTATTAACAGGCTATAAAAATAGATTTAATACATTTACACATTATTAAAGACCAAAAAGTAGAAAATAATTTATGGATAAAAACGTACCATTTTAAAGTTTTTTTTTATCCATAAATTACTTGACATTGTGTAATAACTAAATCGGGTTTTGGCGGGCCTAGCAGCTTTAACTCAACTCTCTGTTCAAAACTTACCACCTTAACCACCCACATACTTGTAGAAATATTTTTAACCAAATTCATAGTTTATTATTAGCACTAAACAACACTTCTAAAGAAACAGTGGTATATTAATAAATTAACAACTCGAATACCGGCGTGCGCGGCACGATAAACATAACCTCACAAATCACTACATTAATCACTAATTTGACTGATCAGTGATCTCATAATAATTGTGACAATGTGTTGAGAGATCGCAGCACTCAGCGCTTGTTGTGGCAATAGTTAAAACTACTGTTTGATCAGCGTCCCAAACGCCCTATATATATCTGTTGCATTAGAGCCTGATGCAGCACTGTGATTGGTAGAATATTTCCATGCAGTTTATATGGGATGGGAGTTTGGACTCGTATCCCCCCTCCCCTTCCTTCCACGCTTGACATGTAAAAAAAATCCTAGCCTGGTACCGACCCTGGAGCGTCTGCTCCACTGTCCCAATGCCACTGACATAACTTACTTCCTTGTTTGCCTTGGAGATGTTAAAGACAGGTACAAAAACACAGGAATTACGATAGAAAAATTATTTTAATTAGCACTAAAAATATAAAACTTATACACATTTTATAGAGCAACAAAACCATAGCACATGTTACTGAAGAACTTATCAGAAAGAACTATAATACTGGTCATATCTAGAAAATACTAGGTAATGTTTCTGGATTGATGGAGTATAGTCTTAGGAATTAGGGACGTTCCCAAGTAACAACTTTAAAGTAGAAAATTTCATTTCACTCTTGAAGGAAAAGTTGATTAACAAAGATGTAAACAGTTCACACAATGGTGTAGAGCCTGTTTTATTTTTCTACTTATTTAATCCATTATTTCAGTGTTTTGTAAATTTTGTAAAGGTCTGATTACCATTAATTTTCAAATAGTTGAAAACATGTCTGTCATATCAAACCAATGGTAAAGGTACATATTTACATATTTATATAGTTACATATTTATACTGATAATAATGGTGTTTAGAAAAACCAATTCTTAAGTGTAAAATGGTTCACTAGGTAGAGTATTTTAAACTTGCATATTTGTTGTAAGCTTTTGTTTTATATAGCCTACAGTTGAACCCTCATATCCAGTCTTGAACTAGTCTTAGACCAGAGCATAGGGCGGGTAATGATTTATAAAAAAATAACGCAGATTATTTTAAAAGATGCAACTTAACCACAATTCTTCTTAACGATTTTAAACAAACAAGACTCAGCTGTCCTTGACCATCGAAAAAAAAAAAAAAAAAAAAACCAGCAGATCTTAGTCAGCAACAATTAACAAAGTTGACGTTTCATTCAATCAACCCTCGCCACCCATACATCATCTTTGCTTTAAAATATGTGTCCTGGTGTGTTGGCATCATAAACCTAACCTAAAATCACTGTAGAATTTGTTGATTTAATCTAAAAGAAGCTAAAATGTTATATTAGGTTATTTGTTGGAACATTCATGACAGTAAAGCCACTGATTTACATTATGCCTAACAAGACTGCTATCTGCTTAAGTGAATCAGAGAGTTTGTTTACACAGTATAACAATAAATAACCAAAGAGGTGATTATAAATTAATCCACTGTGTACACTGAAAACAGATGGTCTGTCAGGAGTGCTTGACTTCCCATTATAAGTCGTCAGAAATAGCCTAATCACCCTTTTGAATTCCTTGAAGGGATTTAATTATTTACTATATATGTTTAACTTTCTAACTGGTCACACTACTTGAAAAAGTGACAACTTTAAATTTCTCAACTGTTATGATTGTAACTGTTTTGTTACATGGGAAATAAATTCATTTATTCATTTTAAGTGAGGGACCTTGAGACTGAATATGAGAGGTTCCACTGCATGCACTTTACTGTTTATATTTTAGTTTTATATTTGTTAGGCATACATTTATTTTACACTTTCTAATACATCCATTGTTTTGATAATTTATCTTTTACATGAAATAAAAAAAAAATACACTACTAGGACTACTGCAGAATATCCTTTTTCCTCTGTCCACACAACTAGATTTACAGGGCAGTACACTTTCCAACAATCAACATAACTTATCTGTAAAAAATTATGGAAAACGAACCATTTTCACTTCATTTGCTTTGACTGCATTTAACACACACGAGGACAAAAAGATGACTTATTTATTTTCCGAATTCTTCAATTGCCTCAGCATCTCTCTGTTAGGTTCTAGATGATGTTGGTTGAAAAATCCCTTGTAGGCACATCCGACCACAGGACACCTATCAGACAAGAGCACTTGATAAACACTCACACACTGTTTTAGCAAATATCAACGAGAATAACATTATTATTGTGGACTATCTATCACAATTAGTAAAAAACTAAACAAAGTTTTCACGCAAGCTTTAAACAACTGCCTGGGAACCTGAATGGTTTTAGTGATCTCCTTTAAAACTGAAGGATCTAATTTATCAATTCGCCACTTTGGATATGGAACTATTTACTGTTCCGAGAGCCCTTTTTAAAACGTTTTTATTAGCTCGCTTTCTTGTCCGGTACAAATTTTGCAATCAATTTTATACTAAGTTCCCGATGAGCTAGAGACTTGAAACTTGAAACATAGCTCACAAATGGATGACAATGCAATATTATATCATTTAATTTTCATATTTCCCTTGGGCTACGCCTCAGGGGCTTGTTTTTATTAACTCGCTTTCTTGCGAATAATGTATCAATATAATACATTAGTTCAATAGGTGAAGGTAATTGTAAATTATCTATTACATGCCCCCCACGTTTTTCGTTTTAAATCTTACAAGTATTTATACTCTCCACATATTTATAAATTATTTTCTACTTTTTAATGCGTTTAAAAACGTTTTGTTTTAAAAGTTATTTATTTATAAATTATTTGAAACACCAGGATACTTTTAGCACAAACAATAAGTGTTTTGGTTTTCTAGGATGTAAGGCAACCCTATTGCTTTTAGGCATGCATACCCTCAGACCTACACAACAAAACCCACCTGATTTCTTTTTTCGCTTTTAGCATTGTCAGTACAGATTCCTTCTCGTAACTATGAGAACAAAGTGTGTTCTTAACAGGGTCCTTCATCATGAGTTTTGTAAAGGGATCCAGGAAACTTTCTGTTGATCCTGTGTCCACAATGTCAATATCTGGATCATCTGTGAAAAATATGCTGACATTTTTAGAAACAAAGTTTTTGACACTTTGAAGAACTATGTTAATTGTAAGTGCAATAAGTTACACCATGTTACACATTCATCCGGTTGAAAACAGCTTTGGTAAATAAAGTACAATAAACATTTGTAAATACATCCAAACAATTACGGTTTAGTTTACTATTTGATTTGAATATGATACATCCACTATCGCAGGAGATGAATACGTTTTGCTGCGATTGCTACGTACCATAAACTGATTTTTACTGCCATTACAACTAACTACGAGTAACAATGATTCATTTACTTTGCAAGCAGTGCAATCTCAAATTATGTTCAAAATGATTTGGGATTAATTTTTAAAAAGTTGATTAGGCCTAATAAAAATTATGTCGTTATTATTATTATAACAATTACGATTGAAAAAATTATTAAAACAAGCCTAGTATGATTATTGAACATCTTTTGCGGTCACGTGGACATTATCGTCGTCTTCCGCAATGGCGGCAAAATTCTGATCATCTTCCATGGCCGTATGGACATCATCACCGTCTCCCTCTGACACGGATACGTCACCTTCGTCTTGCACGATCTGAAATTTTCCAATCACGCAATCTTTGCAGGCGTGTCGGGTATTTATATTAGAAACGACTTTGAGCGGTCGATTTTTTATTCAAAAGCCAAGAATTGGTTGAATCAAGAACTTTTGTAATCGACCCATCCCTAGATTAAATCCAACAAAGACCTAGTTTAAAACTTAATTTATCAAAACTCAAAACCTGTTCCACCAGCTAAGTCCTAAGTCTAAGAGACCTTCTCAATGATAAGCTAATAAATACTTGCCTCTAGCTAGCCATTGTTTGATTTTCCTCTCTAAGTTCAGATACCACTGGTGTTTGTGAGGGTCGGCATCACTTTGAATTTTCCTCACATTGGCGTAAGCCTGAAAAATGAAAAGAAAAATAATGTAAAAAAAAATAAAAAGTGAATTTTATTTAGCAATGAAAACGGTTGACATGCCTGGAGTCCGCCTCAACCCTTCAATCGTTCCAGCTTTTCTTAGATTCTGATTTGGCTTTTGTTTACTGTGACGGAGCGCTGTGAACTTTTATTACAGACTAATAACTCCGTAATATGCTTTCCAATTGACTTAAATTACTTTATATGCTGAGACATAGCCTATATCTATTTTATGCAAGGTCCATATTTCCAGTATTTTAAACAGCAAAGTTACATTTGCAACGTTGTTTCTGAATTTACTCATGTAATAAGGTTATCTTGTGTACAGTGCATCTTTTATTTATACTTTAAGAGCAGCCGCTCAGTGAATTTTCAAAGATCAAGTCACTGGTGATTGAATCTTATTGAGCTTGAATAGGTTTTACTTTTAATTAATTTCAAGGTTTTTTGTTATGTATTCAACATTGACGGCTACTGAAGAAATTAAAGGCAATGGGCTGAAGCACCTCTTTTAAGAATGGCAAAGCAAAATGTTCTCACTCCTTAAAAACCGGTTGGGTTGTTGGGAAGTTTCAATGGGCTGAAAACCTACTGTGGCCGTTTTAGGACTGTCCTCTTTAATTTAACAAAACCGGTAGCCTCAGACACCCTGAGTTTGGATGGGCAAAGAATCAGACAATAGATCACCGGACTTGGGCAGTTCAGATAGCATAGAATGGGTTTGTATGGTGGTGTCCCACTATGCTGGAAGTGTAGCAGGTCAGAGGAGCCTGTGAAGAGCTCCTTATGGAGAAGGACCACTGTTGGTAATCTGGTAAAAGCGAGTCACCTTCCTTAGTAGGAACTGATCGATAGAATGCAGGCAATTGTCATGGGCCTGGACATTGAAGGTATCAGAATTCATAAACTAACTACAGCGCACAACAATATGACAAATCTGGATGAAGAGCATTGAGGTCTCAGCCTGCCCTTCCAAATTAGATAACAAATTATGGACGGCTAGATTCATCTCGTACACAACACTCATACCCATTTTAACCATTAAAAGCCATTCTTTGACTGTAGGTTAGCTCTTATTATTGAATCGGGAATAATAAATTTTCATTGGGAAGATCAAGTAATAGTTCAGTAAAAACTTATAAGCCTGTTCCCCACCTACACCTACTCTCAATGAGAGATTAAGTCCTTACTGTAAGCTATTTGATGGTCCAAAAACTGAGGACAATCTCATAACAAAAATGTAATGCAATGTAAAAGGATAAACTGCACAAAAACAACCATAAAGAAGGTTTTTATCAGGACAGTTTTTACAGAACAACATTGGCTTGGTTATCACTCTGAAGTAAGAAAGCCTTATAGGCTGCTTTTTGTAGGGCTGATGATGACAAAATAAATTTAAAGATAAAAAAAAAACTGCCCCATTAAGCATAAAGAAACCTGCATTAAAGCAATGGATTAAATGTTAAACTGTATTATCGTTTCAACTACTGTTTCTATTTTCACAACCAAAAGGCCTAATAGCTTACCTCATCGATTTTATTGATATTGTTTTCTTCAGCCAAACTCCTATCGATTTCACTCAACATTTTTTTCTCTAACTTCCAATTGTTGTCAAGATCACAATATTCCAACATGACAGTTTTCAGCTCCTTTATCTGGGCTTTCCTTTCCTCGCCTGAAAGATAAGTTCATACTCAGGAAAGATTTTCATTTTGTAATTTATTGATGGAAGTACCCAATGCCTAATCCTAATCTATTAATAAACAAAGTTCAGTGCCTATGAGTAACTATCAACAAGGGGCAGGCACCAGTTTTCAGTGCCTGTACAAGGACCTTTTTGCCCTTACTATAAATACTGCACTCAGACGCCCTTAAAAACCAATGCACAAAAGAAATATGACTGGCGGCAACTTTTATTTTGTTATTTTTTGTATGTTTTCTAGGCCAATGGTATGTTATTTTACATTTTGAATGGACTTGTTATTATCTAACATTGAACTTTTTGTTAGATAGCATCATTAATTCTCAGTCCAATGACAAATACCCTAATCTAGGTCTGGAAAGGATCTTACTTGGAATCGAACCAGCGACCTTCAGATTTGAAGGCGAGAACAGTAACCACCTGGCTGCTCAGACAAAAGCTACTAACAGGCGAGATGTATTTGCGTTGTTGTTATATGCATTACGATGTTATCCTTTCCAAACTATTAACATTTAAGCTACGGGTAAAAAAAATATTCAAGGCTTGTTTAGTTGAGAATAACCGTTATAATATAAGTGTCAGTATTTAATGTTATCAAAACGCTAACACTTAACACCTCATAAATAATCATCTTAACTGTAGCCTGATCCCCTGAAAACAATAGGCTAACAACTTATACTGGTGCTTTATAGCCTACAGAATGCAACTGAACAAATTTACTTTGTTCACTACCCCCCTTGAACCATAAGCCCCATGTACGTGTTGCACGGCTCACAACTAAGTACAAAAACCCTTGAGTATCAGTGTGAAATTTGGTAGGTATTGTGTATGTGTGCACAATAGTAGCAAATGGATGATTGACAAAATATTCAACACCTGACAACAGCACAAGCGCATTAATTATAAAAATATCAATCAACCTAGAAAGGCCTGAGTAAATCATTAACATACGCCCAAGTAAAGTATTTAATGAGTTTGCTTTGTTAAATGCACATGAACATGTAGCTGAAATGTGATAGGCCGATAGGCCTACATTATGGAATTAGTGATGATGAGCCTTTTTTTAATGTAAGAGAATTACCTTCAAGCTGTTTTATGACCAATTCGGTACACTTTTCAAGACTTCTTACAGCATCAACAAACATAGCGCTCCTCTCATTTTCTGTTGAGTCTGTCATGATGCTAGGCCTAAGCAAAAGAAAATATAATTAATTAGTCTTCTAAAATTCTCATTTTTTAATAGGACAGTTGCATTCAAACATACTGTAGCTTAAGAGTCCTTGGAGGCTAGCGGCCATCTTGGATACTTTCAAACAGTTGTTTATCGTCCAAAAATATTTTTTCAAACACCAAAGTGATTATAATTAAAATATCTAGTACTAAAATAAAAATTAAAACAACAGATCCGTCAAAAGGGCTCCGCCAGAAGGTTTAAAGAGGTCCATTGTCAGAATTTTGGAACTACAATGTTTACGAATAAATATAACTAGCAGTTACCCGGCGTGCGTTGCTGCGCTAACAACAATTATTTTTTTAAGGGTAATTTGTTCTTTACAATCTATATCTTTTTATATATTTATTAGGTGTACAAATATATAAGTTTTTACTTTTATAAAGGTTTTTACGTTTTATCGTTGACTATATATACCTATATATATAGTCAAAATGGTTTTATGTTTACATATTTAATACAGTAGGGGAGAATTTAAACGTTGTTGAGTGCACAGGTGTGCTGTGATTGGGGTTTAATAATTGGACTCATCTAAAAGTTAAATAGTTTTCTGTGCTGCATTCTGTGGAAACATTGTGGCACTATTCCAAATCACGACTAATACAATGCTAATACATAGGCCTACTGTTGTGATTATTCAAACCAACAGTTGGTGAAAGTAAACATCTGCTTACAAATTATATTTATTTGTAAACATTGTAGTTCCTAACTTCTGACATTGGACCCCTTGAAACCCTCTGGGGCGGAGCCCTTTTGACGGATCTGTACCAAACTTCACACAAACCATCCTTGAATAATGCTTAATAATGCCTGAAAGTCTCATTACAATCTGTCAAGTCCATAAGGTAGGCTACATACATATATAAAAACATACCCTTGAATAATGCTTAATAATGCCTGAAAGTCTCATTACAATCTGTAAAGTCCATAAGGTAGGCTACATACATATATAAAAACATACATACATAGTTCCTCTTTTATAGATATAGATAGATAGGTAGATTTAAAAGCAGATTATACAAATTGCCATTTAAAATAATAGTTAGCGCAGCAACGCACACCAGGTTAGTATATACTGTATGTATATATGTGTCCGTTAGGACGATAACTCGAGCAAAAATAATCCGATTTTGATGAAATATGGTACGAAACATGTAAACCTACATTTATTCGAACGAGTTCGCAAACCAGCATGATCGGACAATGGGAATAGGGGTTTATGAGGGTGTTTTATGGGTTAAAAGTGGGGTTTTCTCATTTTCCACCCTGAAAACATAAAATTTTGTAATTTATTTCCAAACCATTTTGTAGAGCTCAAAAAAACAAATAATTTAGTACATTGAAGCATTGTTGTATGCCTAACGGTTACGGAAAAAATCCCAAAAAGTGTAAATTTAAAATTACTATGTTATTCTTATGGCTCAATAAACTGTTGTAGTTTGCTTATGGACATATTTTAATGAAATTTTGTTTACTTCATACTAAGCTATCAATATTTCAATAAAAAAACCCAATTTTCTTCCCTGTAGCAGCAAACATAAGTAGGCCTACTCATTAAATTAATGATATTTAAATAGGAAATAAATCTGACAATTTTTAAGAGAATAATTTAACTTAGTGGAATTCCAGCCAGGTAGATGGAAATTCGCTTAGTCTCCAGGTTTGCTGCGGCGGGGGCAATTTGAATGTTTTACGGGTTAGAACGTCTAGGCTCTAAGGACTCATAGGGACCGGTAGTTACTTTAACTGTTTTTATCCATAAAAATTGGTACAGGATAAGTAAGTTTATTAATTACCTTTCTTTCATTTATGTTTAGGATTGTGTTTAATAATATAACTAATTTAAATTATAGGAAAGAGCTAGAATTATACTTTAAGAGGCGGTTTGGGAGCTCGGTATTAGCGCTAGTCCGCGACTAAAAGCGGATATTTCTGGTATTTTAAGCTGCCGCCTCAAAAACGGGTTTGTGAGCTCGGGATCAGTTAGGCGTGCGCCTAACTTGTGCAGGAATAATCTAGTGCCTAAATATTGTTTTTCAAGTAGACTTAGGCACCAGCCTAAGAGATAGTCTCGGTGGGTTTGGGAGACCGATTTCGGGACTAAGAGTTATATTTTGGTCATTAAAATTAGTGAGTTTAGTCCCTAACTTAAGTCATGCCAGGGGGCAGGTCTAAGTCGACATCATGCCAGTATTACCTCATTAGCAAGTTAATTGTTTACATATTAACTAAAAGAATGTTATATTGGAATTCGTTATTAAATTCCGAACAATTTCATTAGGTACTCTCAAAGTATATTGATAAAAGTTTTTTTAGGTTTCTGTTGTTCAAAATAAAACAAAAATCTTGCAGGAAGTAGGCCTACTTATTGCTGATTTTACCCCCTCTAACCTACTCCCCAGGTACATAATGTTGATACTGTCGTGTCCGTTAAAGTGTCCTCTATCTGTTGGCATCATCAGTAATATGGATCGCGGACGTATTTTTCCGCAAAATGGCCAGCAATAGATTTTAACGGGCGCACGCACAACTTATTGCTGATTTTACCCCCCCTAACCTACTCCCCAGGTACATGATGTTGATACTGTCGTGTCCGTTAAAGTGTCCTTTATCTGTTGGCATCATCGGTAATATGCATCACGGACGTATTTTGCCGCAGAACGGCCAGCAATATATTTTTTGTGGCGCGTGCACTACTTATTGCTGATTTTACCCCCCCTAACCTACTCCCCAGGTACATGATGTTGATACTGCCGTGTCCGTTAAAGTGTCCTCTATCTGTTGGCATCATCGGTAATATAGATCGCGGACGTATTTTGCCGCAAAACTGTACCCGCCTACTACTCTCGGTAGGTATGTTATACATACTTGAGAAACACTAATGTAAAAGCTTTGACTATTAACAATAGTCAATTACAGTGTATAATTATAAGTTAATTTTCGGCTGCAGTAGTTTACGTCCCACATTTACTCACATAAGTTACCTACTGCAGTTTGGTTAAGGTTAGGTTTAGTTTTTGATAATCAGCTGGTAGTTAATGTATTATGTATAAGTATAATAGTATAGTAAATGTAGGTAGGACGTAAACTAAAGTGCAACCAAGAAATCAACTAGTAGGGCTATCAGGTAGGTAAAAATAGAGGAAATAATTTTATAATTTACCTGAAAATAAAGGCTCTACTATTCAAACCAGGCCTATATAGTTGCTGATATTTGTTTGTAGCCTATTGTATATTATTAATTGACCTGTAGGTTAGGTACTAACCAACTTGGTTCTGTAGCTCGCTCAAGCTGAGCTCCTGAAGTGAAGTGAAGTCCTCCTGACTCTTCTTCTAGTCTTCTTGCTCTTGCTTGTCTGCTTTGCTTGACTTGAGTCTTGTCTTGACTCTTGAGTCCTCCTCCTAGTCCTGAGCTGCTTGCTTATGCTTATGCTTACTGAAAACGTGAAACCTGAAGCTGAAGCTGAAACGCTTACTTAAACTTAATACTTTTTTTCTTTGCTTTCTGTTCTGTTTCTGTTCTGCTTTCCTCCTTCCTTTCCTTCTTTCCTTCCTATAGCTAAGTTCTTATTCTTCTCTTCATTTTTCCTTTGTGCCTGTGAGGTAGGCTAGGACTTGGCTGCCATGTAGTTTATTGTGTTATGAATTTTACTTATCTTGTCATTGAGTTCTCTGTTCTTCTGTGGCTGGCTTGATCGGTAATATCATAGATAAAACATACTCCCTTGGTTAGTCTATGGTAATATCTTCATCATATTTTATTATGTATAAAATGAATTGGTAATTAATGTTTCAAGAAAATGTTTGGATTCTTTTTAGCGAATTTCCCATATAGGGAATAAGCTATTACCGTAGTACTCATGGTAAGACCTGGACCCGGGACCGATTTTTTTTTCTTCATTTTGAGGTCCCTAGAGGCCAAAAACACCATCCGTTCAAATTCATATATATATATATATATATATATATATATATATTTATTTATTTATATATATATATGTGTCCGTTAGCGCGATAACTCGAGCAAAAATGATCCGATTTTGATGAAATTTGGTACAAACGTGTAAACCTACGTTTATTCGAACGAGTTCGCGAACTAGCATGATCGGACCATGGGAACGGGGGTTTATGGGGGCTTTTATGGGGTAAAAATGGGGTTTTCCAATTTTTGACCCTAAAAACTTAAAATTCAGTAATTTCTTTCCAAACTATTTTGTAGAGCTTAAAAAAACAAATAATTTAGTATATTGAAGCGTTATAATGCGCCTAATGGTTACGGGGAAATTGTTAATTTAAAATTCCCATGTTATTCTTATGGAGAATAAGTAAACTGTTGTAGTTTGCTTGTTTATGAACATATTTTGCCCAAATTTGGAAAATGTTTTAATTTCTTACTAACTATTAACATTTTACATAAAAAAAACACTTTTACCCTCCCTGTTGCAGCAAACCTAAGTATGTGTTAAACTGATTCTATTTTTAAATAGGGAATAAATGTGATATTTTTAAGGAGACATTTTAGTGTAAATCCAATCAGGCAAATGGAAATTCGCTTAGTCTGCAGGTTTGCTGCGGCGGGGGTATTTTTAGTTAGTTTGTCTTTATATAGAAAGAGGGATAAGAATTCTCTGCCATGGTTGTCGACTAGGTCTTTTTAATTTGAAAAGATTTGTTTTCAAATTTTTTTGGTGAACAGAAATTTTGAATTTTTATAGATTACAAAATCTGTATTTGAGAGGATTGTTCTATCTTATATATAAACATTTGTTTTTCTTTTCCGAGTTCGTTTGGCTCTTTAGAAAACTGACAGTTTTCTAGAAAGGCTCTAGAAAACTTACCAATAATCTGCAGGGTGTGCTATGAACCAAATTCGATTCATATACCGTACCCTATTAGTACGTGGTAGTTTACAAGATGATTTTCCCTATTAAAACTGCCACAATTGTTCTTTATGCGTGTAAAATAGCTGTTCTGGATTACATTAAGATATAATCGACTACTTTATTCCCGTACGTAGGACGGGCCAACAGCTAGTAAATTTAATTATATGACGACACTAGCTTGAATCTTATACTAATAACCTTAACATCTTGTTTGGACGTTTATTGACAGTGCCATTTTGAATAATAAAACAAACATGTTTGATTTCGGGATTTCGGCCCATCCAACTAAATTAACAGTTGAAGTTGTGTTTGAAATGTTCTAGGCTTACTCGGGTAAAGTGTATGTAATCTTTTTAGTAGCCCGTATATTAGTGATGTTGGTATATTAGTTTGTTTGTATATAAGTTGGTTTGTGAATTAGTATGAATATTCTGGGATTTTAAAAGAACAGAACTACGTGATTCAATGTGAACAAAGTTGACGTGTTTACATGGTAATACGTACAGTTTTTGTTTTAAATAATGGTGTCTTCGTTTATATTGTTGTTTTTTAATGCCATATAGGCTTACTTAAAAAACTGAATTTGCAATATTAGGAGCTTTCATAAAAAAATATGATTTAGTTAGAATTAAAACCAAACACGTTAACTACTAAGTTTACATGTCATCCATACACTGGTTTCCTTGAATAATTGTGGATTTTATGATGCGTTTGAAATGCCGCTACATAGCAAGTAGTTCGATCTTGTCGAGATCAACAAGGACGACTAGGAAGCACAATTGTAGACCAAAGTCGACGGCTTAATCTTCGTCTTCGATCACTTTCCGATTGATTGTAACAATTATCAACGTGTAACACGTGGGTTACGGTTTAAACGCAAAAATCAATGCCAATGTGAATGTTAATATAACTTTTGTAGGTAACATTTTATTTTAATTTTAAAATGTTCACTTTCATTTAAATCAAAAAGTCAAATTACAATTCATTAAAGTCAATCTATAAATTTGATATGTTAAAAAATATTATGTTAAATTGTTTAACTGAGTATATTCATATAGTTGGCTAGTAAGATATGTTTTAGTGGTTATGAAGAGAATGTCATAAATTTAGTGTTTTCACTTACTCACCATCACATAAAGTATTTTTATGCAGTTATCATTAGCCAAAATGGTAGAATCCGAAACTGTAAGGGTTGATTTCTATGTCATCACTAGCTTGATAACCACTTGAACTGTACCACCCGGTTTGAGAAAAAGTTGATGACCAACCCAGAGGTTTTGAACTTTAAATGTAAATGCATGTCTCCAAAAACGCCTGTAAGTTTTTTTTTACTCCCATTCACTACAAAACAACGTGTAACTTATCTAATTACCCCAATTTATCCCTACACAAATGTTGTCTTCACTTAAAATCGTAGGTAAAAATAATTATGAAGCTTGATGCAATAACAATATAATATAACCCTGACGACTCCGCTCAATTTTGTGGATGCCTCTGTGAACGCTACCAAGTATTACTGTATTCTGTTTTGTTTATCTCAGCTTAACTTAACCAATCAATAGTTTTATTAATACTTATGAAGTCAGGCGGGGTGAAGCCATCGATCTCTATTACTATAACGGTGAAACCCTTGGGCAAAAGAGATAGTTTGATTTATTTTCAAATTCTTACTTCAATTTAAGATCTATTACAACAGTAATAATTATATAATTCTATATATTTTGGTCTAAGAACCTTCAGTGAAATACCGGATTTCATTTAAGCTATTAGTTAATTATTCAAGAAAACGCAAGGTTGACAACCAGCATAAAATTATTTTTATAAGGTTTTTCTATGATCAAAAATCAATCCAGCTCCAGTATTGTTTATGTTTTTAGCGAATTTCCCATATAGGGAATAAGCTATTACCGTAGGTCTAATGTTAAGACCTACACCCGGGACCGATTTACTTTTTAGTTTTGAGGTCTCCAGACGCCAAAAACACCATCCGTTCAAATTCATATATATATCTATCTATGTGCCCGTTAGCACTATAACTCGAACAAAAATGATCCGATTTTGATGAAATTTGGTGTTAACGTGTAAACCTACATTTATTCAAACGAGTTCACGAACGAGCATGATCAGACCATGGGAACGGGGATTTATGGGGTAAAAATGGGGTTTTTAATTTTTCGACCCCAAAAACATACAATTTTGGAACGTCTTTCCCAGCCATTTTGTAGAGCTTAAAAAAATAAATAATTAAGGATATTGAAGCATTGTTGTATGCCTAATGGCTACGGAGAAAATAAAAAAAATGTAAATTTAAAATTCCCATGTTATTTTTATCATGGAGAAAATTAAAACTGTTGTAGTTTACTCTTGCTTATGGATATATTTTGATAAAATTTGGAAAATTTATTTATTTCATCCTATAATATTGACATTTGGTCAAAAACACTTAAAACATACGCCCTTAGTAGATTTCTCATCCTTATGGAACAGCTGAAGCCAATTTTTTGTTAGTTCTGTCCAGTGCACTGTAGAGGTCGTGTTTTGTTTAAATTTTTGTCCGACATATTATTTGGAACAAAGAGACTTTCGTTAAATTTTAAATAATTTAGAAATCTTTCTTGGCTATTAAATAGACATTCAAAATTAACAACAGAAAATAAATTGCTGTTATACAAACTATTCTGAAACCAGTGTGGACGTACACGGCATTCAATTGGGAGCATCAAAAGTATTTCAAACATAAATATCATCCAAAGATTTTAATCAACATTTTTAAGATATTCATCCTGCAAGCTCCTTGGTATGTCAATAATAAAATTCTTCACAAGTATAGTGGAATTCCAAGACTGGATGTTCAATCAAAACCAGATACAGAGAGCACCATCAATTTCCTAGAGCCAAAAACTAAAGTCAAATCAATTATCCATTATCAATCATTATTCTTTGCACAACACTTGGTTGACAAAAATCACGATATGACCGATCTGAACACTGGCTTAGAAATACTCCACACAAGTAAGAAAGGCAATAGACTGGACACCCTAGAAGACTATGACATTTACAAAGCTTACATCGAAAATAATTTGGACGAAATAATTTTAAACGACAAACTACCGTACAAGTCACACCGTATATTCAATAGCATTTTAAATCAGAAAAGGAACCCGAAGCCAGGAGTAAAAAAGTTCAACTAGGCTATAACGCTACCACACCGGGCAAGACATTAATCCTCCAGTTGGCGTCTTGGTCGGAACGGGAGCGTGTCAACCGTTACAGTTAGTACGACAGGCCTGATCGTTTTTGTAAAATTTGTAAATTTTATTCGTATTGTTTGTGTGTGTTATGTGTTTTGACTTCAACGACGATACTCCAGCCTAAATTTCTTTGTCTGACGATGGCATTGTAATGCCGAATCGGCCGTAACCAACTCAGTTGCACCATTTGGGCTGGATTTTTTTTAACAGTTGCAATGCATGTTATTTCCATGTTAAAAGCAATAAAGACATTCATTTAATTTACGAAGGTAAAGTCAAGTTTTAGTTACGATACAGCTCAGGGGCTAAAACATGGATTTTAAAATAATAGAGACAACATGTCGTTGACACTAGCGATCAGTGTCACCGGACATGAACTATACAGGAAACGAGCTTCAAAATCTGCTAAAAGTTTTGTTAGATTATCAAGAAACTTAACACGATATTCCAGTAAATCATTCCACCTTAAAATAAATATATTGATATGTATTTATTGATATAGATAAAGAAATGTACAAAAAATCATAATACATCATTGAATAATTTGTAAATTTTTAGGAAAATATTTTATTTTAAAAGATTTTTTAGTCACATGAATGCATGTCCTTTTATGCAAGGAATTCCATAACAATATTATTATAAGTATATTCTAAATTATTAGTTTGAGAGAAGCATGTCGATATTGTTTATAATGGTACGACGAGTTTAAAATTCAGTGTCTAAGATAATGAAAAGGTTTTGCATTTTCAGTGTTCACAAAACTCAATATTAAATTATTCACTTATTTTCATAAAGATAATTATGACGAATAAAATTATTAAACAAATCCCATTAGCTCCATAAAACACATTAAAAGCGATTATTCGCAACTAACTCAATTGAGCTATTAGAACTAGAACTTGGAGTGCCACCGTGGAACTGAAACTATGTGACATTCAAGACAAGTCTGTAACAGCGCCGCCCCACTGCACCAGCCTGTTGCGCGATACCCTCCTTGGTTTAGTGGGGTTTATGGAGGGAGTTAAGGGTAGTTGTACGTCCTTGTTGCTGTTCGTGACCTAGTTTCGATAGGGTAGTCGATTGGTGTCAGTCGGTGCCGGGATCGCGATCCTGCATCACAAGCTCAGGTACTGCCAACTTTACTTTTTGAAACGTTACGACTTATTTTATCACATAAAGCTGTGATTATACTAATTGCATTAATTTAGCTTTTAATTAATTTTTCACTAATTTAACTTTTTAAATAGTACTACAAATAAATGTTATTACTAGTTTACTATAGACAATACTAAGGTTTCATTAGGCTAGTAAATACGCTGAATTTAGAAGGTTTAGATAATAGTGAAATTCAACATTAAGAGTGGACTAATTGAGTTGAAACTTTGCATGAATAGAGCCATACTACTTGGACATATGCTTATTTTAATTTTAAAACTTTTCTAGATCTCAGCCCCACTGGTTTCCAGAGTTGTCATGCTATTTTTGCCAACACACTTGCCACTCGTATAAACCAGACGTTTGAGCATGTTTTGTCGATGTTTTATTTACGTTATGGTTGGATGTTTGTGACAAGTAAACGCGAAAAATACTAAACCGACAGGGTTGAACTTGGTATGATGATAGCTCACATTCCCGATTAACATGGACATATTATTCTTATCTCAAAAATCCTTTCGAGCTCAGCTCCAGTGGCTCGGGAGTTTCCCATAATTTATGTTAACCTTAATGAGTACTGTATCACGGCCGCCTTTAACTCCCTGTATTCATAAAAGGAATTAAAGAATTTTATCAGCTGTTTCAACTGCACAATTTGGTTCTATAATATTAAATAGCATTAAAAAGTTATAAGGTTTACCAACAGGGTGAAGCACTCATTTTTTTGCATTTATGACAACAGCTAATTTGAACCAACTAGCAAAAAAAGCTGTGTGGTATACAATGAGAACTTTACTTTTTTCCATGGTTTAGGTGCAGTGGTAGAACATTATGGCTATGGTACTTGTGTTCTACTAATAGCATACCGTATAAATTAAAAGAACCAACTTTTCTTAAATCGTGTCTTCTCCCAGCTGCAATCAGCATTTTATACTTATATGCCAACCCCGTACGAAGGACGGGTACTCTGATAGCATTTAATAAGAGGGGTATGATTAATTAATAAAAGGTCGATTCAATAACATGTATTATAGCATTTTTCTTATTTTTTCCATCAAATCTATAGGAAATTAATTAAATATAGGGAAAGAGCTTCAACTGAAATAAAAGATTTTTTATCAAATACTAGCTGTTGGCCCGTCCTTCGAACGGGAATCAAACTCTTGGTTGACCATTAGATGCCCATAATTATAGGGATTGTTTTTGGTTTGGATCCACTTTTGTCTATTCGTTGTTGTCAATGTGTTTCCATCCAGGATCATGATTCGCAGACCTACAACACTCCACACTCGGCTTTAGCATCCAAGCCCCGACCATGGACGATCGCACCATCGACCTCATCTTCTCAGGGTCACTGGAGAGCTTACCTCCAGTCAGCTCCAAGATTGTGAGGATATTTACCAGCTCTACCTTCACAGGTATAGAAAGTGGTTATTATATTATGTTTCAAAAGAATTGATCATTCCTTAAATCATTGTGCGAGTGCCCAATCAGTTTACTTAAACCTTTGGTTAGAACCATATTGTCTTTGAATAGTGCAAGAGTATGGAGGTAAGGAGGTAAGAAGTATTATATGTTTAAGTATGTATGTATATATGTTTATCCATCAGTAAAACGTATGTTGCTATATTATCAACTGTATGATAAAGCTTACGAATAGGAGAATAACATTTCATTTGTATGGTAAAAAATAAAATGGGAAAAATAAGTTAGTATCGTCAATATGAATCGTTGCGATATATATTTTTTAACGTTCCTCACGCTAATTTCGCCACGAATCACGCCAGCTTTGTTACAATGTTTTATCTTTATCTAATGCCTCTACTCTGCAACTTGTATCACTTGTATCACTTGTATCACACACCTTCAGAATAAAGAGTATTTGTATACTCACACTCGCTATTGGCTCGCTGGGGGCTCCCTTTTTGGTTGAGGGATTGTTGGAACTCTCCTCGGAGAAAATATGTTACTGATAATTTTTTTTAGTGAGTAAAATAATACAATAACAAGAAGGTAGTAAAATACTAAGCACTGTAGTATAATGCAGCTGAAGTGTTTTCAATACAAATAAGGGGGGAGGTTTTAATTTGCCGGATGGGGGTGTAAATTTTATACACGTTTCTAAATTATTCCTTGGTTTTAAAACGAAGACTAGTAACTGTGAAAGATCCTTACCATGAAGAAAGAAAGCGGTTCTACTCATATGTTGACATTGATAATAATTGACGTTCTATAAATGTATGAATAAATATTTGTTCGGGTTTTTAATATTTAATGTATTGTGTGTTTTTATCAGTAGTGTTTGAAATGCACATGGTACCAGTGATTCATGTATTACATGCGTTGAATCGCCGTATAAATAAGGAACTTTTCACGAACCTGAATTTCTGAAGGGACACAAGCCCGATATTTTTTCAAAATAAGTTGAAATGATTAAAGACTATCCATAACTAGAGATGGCTAGTAAATAATGACATATACTTATTTTTCACTCCACATAGAAAAACCTATTAACATAATGCATTATATGCCAGCTATAAATTAGTCTTCTTACACATCTTAACACTTAGTGGTGTTATTTCCAGATACGACCATGGAAAGAAACACCCTCATGGCTCAATGCTACCCCAAGTTAAAGGATTACTGCCGCGAAAAACACGGTTTGGAATTTCAAGTGAGTATTTTCAACTTACATTTTTATTCTAAAAGTAACCGTAAAAAACTGTAATTACATTTGAATTTATTAAGAAATTAGAACCTTTTGTTTTCAACCCGGAGTCAATAAGCAAGCCCCGATTTTTTTTTTCAAAATTAGTTGAAATCATACTTAGTTGCCTCTACGATATTTGTGAATTATTTAAATTGTAGAGTTAACTAATAACACAATTTCCTCGTTACATAAATGGTTGATCTCTTGTCGAGAGGTGGGATACGAAAATGTGCCGTTCTGTTCGATACATCATCACAGTGGATTATTCAAACTTTATTACATTCAGTTTTGTATCTACACGCACAAAAAATTACCGTACATAAACAGTCCTAAATGTATACGCATCATTTTTAGTATCCACACTTAGTACAACATTGTAAATTTGAAAACTCTTCGTCACACAGACCAGAAGCTCATCAGTGCCGACTTGATACAAGATTAAGTTTAGTTTCCTGATCTACATGCGAGATGCAAGTGAAGCACGAACATTACCAATTTCCGGCTATTTTTAATTCCTTCACGACGATGAGCGCCAAGCGGTGCCTGCTACGAGAAGTAGTGTTCATCGGAAAGTCGATAACTTAACACCTTTCCACAGTGCCTTCTAAACTGACAACCCAATTCAACTGCCTTTAACCACTTTAACCCTGATCCAGACGCAAACGTTCTATCAATTAAATTAACAGAGTAAAAATAACTATTACTTGTTTGTAAATTGTCTGTTAAGAGTAAAAAAATGGAATTATTATTCAGAATAAGGGAAGTTTTACAAAAATAATTCTGTCATAATCATCATCATCATCATCATCTATATATTAATAGGCAAGCATGTTTCTTTAAAACCTTTTTTCTCAGCTCGTGTGAATCGTAGGGAAAATCTACGCATACCGTTGGAAAGCTATTTTCCTGTAGGTGTGCAGAATCCCTTTATAAATTTAAATAGGCTCAAAGATAAGCACAAAAAATGAGTTTAAAAATTTGAAAAAATTAACATGGATCTTATGCGTTGCTATGCTGGTTACGAAATAACAACGAAATATAAACAGAAAATCAAAACAAATGGAGGAAACTCCAATCACATGTTTTATTTACAGTGTGGGGTGAAAATAGATAAGTGAGTACATTACATATTTTTGGTCGAGTTTCGACCACTGGACGACCTCTCGTATGTATTAAAACGTGACAGGGTTTTTTATTTCACGATTCTGAATCAACCACTAGACGGATTTTCATGATTTTTATGTTGAAAGAAACATGATTAAAAACTAGGGAATGTCGAAGCCATAATTTAGTGTAGGGTTTAAATATTTTATTTATTAAGTTTTAATTTATAAAAAGTCTAGCAGCCGACGCTAACATTCTACACTATCTTTTGGTATAATACCACATTTGCTTTACGTAACAGCTGTAAACATTCAGAGTTTGTGACAAAAATTCAGCATTTGGATAGAAATGAAATTACAAATGTAGGGTTGACTTATTTTTACTATGTGTAATGCTTTAATAATTAATTAATAAGTTAATTTATTCGGTAAAAGGATGATAAATTTTAACATTTTACATTTAAAAAACTTTTTTACCCTCCCTGTTGCAGCAAATCTAAGTACTCGTTAAACTAATTCTGTTTAAATAGGGAACAAATTTAATGTGATATTTTTTAAGGAGACATTTTAGTGTAAATCCAATCAGGCAAATGGAAATTCGCTAAGTCTGCAGGTTTGCTGCGGTGGGGGTATTTTGTATATTTACTTGTGAGTAACAGTATTAAGCGTGCGTAAATATATGTTTAAAGTGTTATAAGACGTTTCTTTTATTTGCTTTCCGTTATATTTTTTAAGAAATAAAGAGTCTAGCCATTTACTGGATTCAAACAACAAAAATCACGAATTTATTGCAAAGTTTACTCAAGTAAAGAATAAGGGGGGGGATTCTAAGGATAATTTTGCAACAAAAACGCGATTTGTTGTATCTAGTTGGTTTTGTCAAGGTGGTTGATATGAGATGGGGTGTGCGAGACGAAGCCACAGACGATCACATGACTACAGAACTTTGTATGAGGGAGATCATGAACTGCCAAAGACTCTCCATGGGTCCGAACTTTGTGGTGAGTGCCATGTGGTCTGTAGTAGCACAGATTTAACATACCCTTTAGGTAGCAGTGTAACAAGAATAGATTACGACATCATCCTTTGTTTGATCTATGTGTACAGTAAGGGGCAAGTATCACTCATCGTAAAGTATAATGACGCAGAGTATTTGAATGCTGTGTCCCCAACCCATTTGTTTAACGTACCTATTAAAATATAGAACAACTTAAGCCAAACCTGGAGACATAATGAGGTAAGGCTGCTATAACTACTTATTGATTCAACGAAATTTGCTTCCACTAGTCTACTGCTATTGCATAGTAGTGGTAGTAGTCATTCTTGTTAGAAACACTTAAAATGGTGAAAAGGAGCAATAATAAATTCCTTATGCTAAAGAATAATAATTGTAAACTATCAATTGTATACCAGTCTTCGTTACATGGCTGTAAGTATGCAACATTATCTATCACGGGTTGTGTTTTCCCTCCAAGTATTGCAATAAAGGCACTGTACTACTCGGCTCCTAGCACTGCAATATTTTGATCTTGTTCACCGCGAAATGGCCCTCACGCCAACCCACCGCCGCACGAATCTCACTTATCTGTTTTCCTTTTATCCACTTGATTTACAGCATTTTGTATCTCTTATGAGATTTAGGACGATACATATTTTTTGGGCATCAGGTTATAATATTAGAATATAGTCTCAGCACACAAAGCAATGATAGTCCACAGATGAATGAATCCAGGGATAGTTTCACAGCCGCCTTTGGCGCCTTGATAGTTTTCGTTTATCTGTGACATATTTATGGATGAAAAATCATAAGTATTTTTATTCTATGGTGTAATGTTTTTTATTGAGGTGTTAAGTTTTTGGAGGAAATACATAAAACGATATATGAATATGCCATAAATAAAATATTTCCATTGTATAATTCATTATGTAGAAGTATTTTATTTTATACTTACAAATTCTGTTTATATATTTATACACTCGGTTTCGTATATGACCGATCGATCCATTTGTCGAAATACAATATTTTCCACTGTACTGACAACAGTCTAACGTTTAAACCAACAATGTTGGTTGAATGTTGATGCGATTTGAAAGTCGTCTGCAGCTGGTGGGGTGTGCGTCTGCTATTTCACCTTTGTTTTGGAAGATTATAATAATAATCTAGAATTTTTGTTTTTATTTGTTTTGCATGGATTTCATTGTTTTTATTTAGCTTTTTAATTCATTTTTGTACCTAACTGAAATAACCTATAAAATGGAGTGGTTGTTTTTGCTAATCATATCTTTAAATAGAAGTAAGTTTACGATAGCCCTAATGGCTACTAATCTATCTAGCCTACCTACTTACTCAATGTTTTTCCTATTGAAAATAATTTTTTATTTCAATTCAGTTTGACTTTCATGTTTTAATTATAACTATTGATTTAATTATTTTCACTCAGTCATTATTTGTCTAACAAATCCTACTTTGTATCCACAGTTTCAGATCTATGACATTCCTTCACAACTGCCTAATTAAAAGAAACCTTGTTTCGAATCATACTTCACCAGTAATTAGCAAGTTTTACTCACGACTATTATTAATTGATGTATAACTTAGTATAGTAAATTTGTATTGACCTGGCTAATGCAAACTGTATGATTGTTAATTTGGCCCAATAAAATGATTTGATTAAATTTGATTTGATTAATTAGGATTTCCTCACATGGTGTATGCTATTATAAGTCAAAGTATTTAATGAATAGAGTGATACTGAAGTACTGGTGTCTTAATGTTATTTTACAGGTGTTTCTAGGGCAGAAGTATGGATACAGGCCTATTCCTACCTATATCCTCTCCTCGGAACTCCAAATGTTGAGGGACGACCTAGCTGCTGGTGGGACGGATGTTATCCTCCTAGACACTTGGTACCGCAAAGACAGCAATGCCGTGCCTCCCATCTCTGTCCTCCAGCCTATATCGTCAATACTCATCAATTTCAATAACAAGGTAGTAAAGTAACTTACCTTACGACTGTGCCGATAGATATTAGGCTACATTTTGTATTATATGTTGTTTAGAAAAGGTCAATTGATTCACAATAGAAAGATAATCCCACAACTGTTTATACATTAAAGAATTAGTAGGCCGATGCAGTTCAATTTTATCCTTGAATTGACCTTATAGTCTGTTTGCTGGAACCTGTCTCCAGACCCTTTGTCTACCTGGGACTGGCCCGGGCATTAAACCATTGGCCCGTCCCCAGATGGAGGGTCATGAGACAGGTTCAACAGGGGTTGCGGAATACTATCCCCCGGAAAACTACCCCCCCAGGTGAAACGTGACGTCACAAAATCTGTCAACTAACCAATATGGAAGCCGTGTTCGCGACTGGAATACTACCCCCCCTAGACAAATCATGCTAAGTTATTTAATTTTAATTTTAATTCGAGCAATTCCATTGGATAATATAAAAGTCATGTGGTGAATATAAAACAGAATTTCGAAATGTTACAGCAAGTTTGGTTGGTTAGGTTAGGTTAGATTAGAACTGTTTGACAACTAAATTTGAGTGTCCGTGACTGGAAAATTGCCCCCCCGGTCTCTGACGTCAATATGACGTAGGAACCTGTTTGGGGGGGTAGTTTTCCGGAGGGCAGACTTCCGGCGACCCGTTCAACACAGACCATGACATCATTGGCCTTAACATCTGTTAGAGAACAATTATTGTTGATGGGACAACCAAGTGAATTAAATGAGTAGGTAAAATTATATAAGTTAAGCATGCAAAAAAAGGAATCAAGGAAACAATCTACAGATAGGGTAGGCCTAGAGCTTCAATGTAAAAATACTCTAAATTGTTTAGATTTATTAAGTACCGTACTAGAGGTCGTTCAGTGGTCAAAAACTCGACCAAAAATTTGTAAATAAAACATGTTATTGGTATTTATTCCATTTGTTTTGATTATCTGTTTATATTGCGTTGTTATTTTGTCACCAGCATGGCAACCCGTAAGGTCCATGTTAATTTTAGTAAAATTTAAAATAAACTTTTTTTTTGCTTTTTTGAGCCTATTTGAATTTTTGAAGGCATTCTGTACGTCTACAGGAAAATATCTTTCCAACAGTATGCGTAGATTTTCCCTGCGATGCCCACAGAGCTGAGAAAAAAGGTTTTAAAGAAACATGCTTGCCTATTAATATATAGATAACAAAATCATTGAGTTACAAAGCCACTGCAGAATGTTATTTTGTGTTTATCCTCTTTTATAAATCCACTGATTGTGAATACTAAAATTACAAATCCAGACAAGTAAGTGTGAACAATCTGAACAGTTTCCGCATTACTGTTATTATTAATTAAACATAGTTATTGTATTTTAGTTTTAGTTTAAAATTTTAATCGACCATTTCAAAAAAAGAACTTTAAACATAATTTACTCTTTCTATGTGTATTACAGAGAATACCCAAGCTTCAACAGCATGATCAGGCAGTGTGGTGGGATACATTGGGTAAGATGCAGAAACTGTTCCGGAAAGCTGCGTTAAGTTGCTTCAACCAGGGAAAACTGTCTAAGGACCTCATGCACAACTACTTCATGTCCGGTAACATATATTAGAGTGGTGGCCCATCAACACAATAGACATCAGTGTATACTTTCAAATATGCCTACATTTAGGAAAATCCTAGGATTCTACTCCAAGATAGTTCATTGAGCATAGTAAAAGTTTGTGTAAAAAATCATAACAAATTCTTACAATTGTCAAAAAATTAACACTCCTATTCATATAACTGACACAAATATTAGTCAAACATAAGTGATAATAATCACAGACAATGTAGTGTTTGCAACAATACAATATCTTTTGTGCAAAAACCGAGAAGAAGTAGTTTCTACTTCTCACTCTCATGATTGTGTTGTTAGGTAAGAATACATCTTTAACATATTAATACACTCATCGATTAATTTTACCTTTCAAATCCAATTTCACACATCATTACCAATATAAATTCTTCTTGTAATACCTAAGCTATTTGGAAATTATTAAGGGAAACAGGAAACTTCACGAGTTAAAAGAAAAATTTTTGACGATTTAAAAAAAAAGTTTTCATCAACATTAACATGTAGGCCTATAGGTCGGCCGTTTAGAAAACGACCTGCGCGAAATTTTTAGCGCATGTAGGGGAGGTAACGGAGAGGGAGGGTACGTTCCCCCTCTCCGCCAATGGCCTTTTTCACAAGGTGTGTGGATAGTGACGTCACGTGCAAGCTGAACGTGTTTTATTTCACCAAATCATATGTTTTCTTGTAATTTCCCAAAGACTTTTGAATGACAATCATTACGAGTTAGCATTGAATATACAACACTATTAAGCGTTTTATATCCAATATAGTGTTGTATTCAATATTGAATATAGTCATAGTGTTATACAGTACAGGGTGCGGCAAAAAACCGAACCATTTTCTGCAGAGCACTGTTCAGCGACAGGTTGTCTGAAAGTGGTGTGAGTATGCTCGTTGGAAAGCCAACACAATGCCATTTTTTCTAGTCATAGAGCAGTGGTCGCCTGAGCTACGTGCGGTTGTTATGGAGTCGTTTTTAAAAAGTATTGAATTCATTCATTGCAACTCAGCAGCATAAGCAGTTTCGTGCATTCCTTCAATTAAGGCGACATGGAGATGTTCCGTTGCAACAATAATGCGGTGGGTTACTAACTTTAGAACAACGGCTTCTGCGTTGAAATGGAAGCTGAAAGGCCGACCAAAGTCAGATCGGATGCCAGACAACGAACATTCGACAGAGTTCGTACTGCTGTGGAAAACAGTCCTCGCAGGCCCACCCGAAAACAAGCGGCTTGCCGAACATGTCTGACTGCTCAGTTACACGAATTTTGAGGTTAATTTTCATCCCTAAAGATTAGTTAGAATAATTATCTGTTTAATGGTGTTTATCCATACAGATAATCACGACGGAACCTCTTCATGCAGAATTAATAAATAAAAGCACGGAACTGCCACTGAGTTGCAACATAGACTAAGCAAAACAAGTAGACTCCTCATCCCATTGTAAATATTTTAGCTTTGTTTTCGTGTCTAGTTCATGTACGTCCACACTGATCGCTGGGGTAGACAACATTTTGTTTCTATTATTTTAGGGTTATTTTCATGATTTGTGCTTTACTATATGGTAATATAACTAGAAGACCAGTTATTGTTTATGATTAAATCGTTTTATTTGGTTAAATGAGGTTTTAAATTACTGAAATAACAAGAAACAAAATGTAAACAAAACATAACCTCTACAGTTGGACGTACAGAACTAACAATAAAATACCCCCGCCACGGCAAGCCTGCAGACTTAGCGAATTTCCATTTGCCCGATTGAACTTACACTAAAATGTCTCCTTAACAATATCACATTTATTCCCTATTTAAATAGAATTAGTTTAACGAGTAGGTTTGCTGAAACAAGGAAGGGTAAAAAATTGTGTTTTTTATGTAAAATGTTAAAAGGTACTGTAGTTTAGTAAGAAATTAATGTTTTTTTCCAAATTTGATCAAAATTAGTTCATAAACAAGTAAACTACAACAGTTGACTTATTCTCAATAAGAATAACATGTGAATTTTAAAATTACAACTTTTTTAAATTTTTCTCGTAACCATTAGGCGCATAATAACGCTTCAATATACTAAATTATTTGTTTTTTAAGCTCTACAGAATGGTTTAGAAAGAAATTGTGAAATTTTGCGTTTTTAGGGTCAAAAATGGGAAAACCCTATTTTTACCCCATAAACGGACAATCACGAATCTCGCCGCGATTAAGATATAGCCGCAATCACAAAGAGTCATGGAAGCTGAGATAATCGCAGGAGATTATCGCGGATGTTGCCACGATTGTGTAAGACGCAAATAACGCGACTGCAATTAATAATGGTGTTGCCACCATCGCAAGTAACGATCACACATCTTAGTGACAGCCTTTTAGTGAATTTCCTATATAGGGTATAAGCTATCACCGTAGTACTCATGGTAATACCTCTGGACCCGGAATGGCAAGGCGTATAAAAGAAGATGTGTGCATGCACATCCCCCACTCCTCCAATCAGCCAATCAAGTATTTACTGCTTTACTGTTTTTCGGTTAAATAGTAGTGTTATATTGTATAACACTACTGCAGTATATTCATTCAGTGTTGAATACAACGCTATTTTGGATATATAAAACTAAATAATAGTGTTATATATTCAATGCTGATTCCTAATGATTGTCATTCAAAAGTCTTTGGAAAATTATAAGAAAACATATGATTTGGTAAAATAAAATGTAAAATAAACTAAAGGGTGGTGGTGGGGTGGCAGTGGAGTGGGGGAAGAGCCATATTCTGTCTCACTCCCACAGCTCGGTATCTCTCTCTCGCACCAATGCTACGAGGAGGACGCTTTCTAAGCGGCTGACCTATAGCTGACAATTTCTATTGGATTAATGAAAATTCATACTGTATTTTAGTAACCGAGAGAGAAGTGATCAATGGAATTCTCGACGTGAAGAATACAAAAAACCATTGCCTGGCTTATGTGAGGTGGATCAACAATATTAATCTTCAAAATCTCAAAAAAGCCTCGTTGTTTCTTGACATCTTAAACAGAAGTTTAGATACAGAAGCTGCCAAGCTACTGGCCAACTTAAGGGATGAGCGTTTAGTCCAGAAAATTGAAGCCAGCAACTACCAAAGGTAACTTATGCACTTTAATCGCACTGTAAAGCTTTGGAAATTGCATTATCTGCTGCTGAAGCGAGGCTACCTAAATTATATTGGTCATAGATACTGAAGAAGACACATCTTTCCCATCTGAGTGTGAGTTCAAATTCACAGAACAGTTCAAAAGTTGAAGTTAGTGAGAAATGAAGTCACTATAAACAATTTCAACAGACCCTTTAGCTCTTGAGTAGGATTTAATGGTAAATAGCGATAAAAAAATTGCAGCAGCAGTTACAGTTACAGTTATAGTTTTTAGTTGTAGCAGTTACGGTTACAACAATTAGTTGGATTTTCTAGTGCTTCCTCTAGTGACAAAACTTAAGTTTAATATTGTAGTACCTACTGACATCGTGGAAAATCCTTTACTTTAGTTTTTTCTTAGTTTCAATTCTAATTTTAGCGATTCACCAAACGTTTGACAGCACCTTACTCTGTTGAATGAGTCATTATCTCTCCCTGTCTAAATTATTTTTATAATTAAAAGTTAAAGCTAACTTAAAACTCTTTTTGTTTTTCAAGGTATACAGTTGAATGGATTGGAAGAGAAGGTTTGGACCCGGAAACACATGAGGAGTATTTAAACCACTTTATAACTCACTTTTACAAAAATATCACCAAACTGGTCGACAGAGCGATGCGTAAAGAAGATTCGAGCGCTCAAGGACAAATAGTTACTGAGATATTGCAGCATCTTCATGCGTGCAATAATTCTGTTCAAGTAAGTGATTTTTTTGGTTTCAAAGAAAGAGTTTTTAAAAGTGAAATAGTAAAAACCCTTTGCAATCAATCTGATTTGAAACCCAAATTGTTTACATCATTCTATATCCATTACTCTTGAAGTTTAATTGAATTCTTTAATTTGTGTGAATTCCGATAATATATAGGCCTACATGTATCAGGGTGTTCACATTCTGGAAAGTCGGGGATAGTCATGGAAAGTCATGGAAAAAAATTATGGTCATTGAAAGTCATGGAAATAGGCAAAAAGTCATGGAAAGTCATGGAAATCCCCAATGATGGATGGATTCTAGGGGACCTTTCAATGCTCTAGACGGCCGTAACCGCGACTATTGTAGCATTTTTCCGAATGTTTAACAAATGTACAACAATTTCAATTTATACAGTTGTCTTAGTTTATGGGTTTTGAGTTTGTATTAGTTCATTGTTGTACCTATTGTACTCCATTGTTATCTGTTAATACATATTTCAATATTTTCTGTGAAATAACTTGTCTAGGCAGTATTATACGTGTGTGTACGGTATATTTTAATTTTTGAGTTAAGTTCGTGAGTCATGGAAATCAATAGTTAATGGTCATGGATAGTCATGGAAAGTCAGGGAAATTGATGACAAAATTTCTGTGGACACCCTGCATGTATATACACAATAGATCAGCGTTTCCCAGCCTGTTTACCCAGATGCCACAAGTTGGTACGTCGTGCGTACTCTAAGTACAGTAGAACCTCGATAGTTCGACTCTTTGTGGATTTAAGGGGTGTCAAACTATAGGGAGTAAATGGACTTTAATATTCAGAAAAGTAAAAACACAAGTTTTATATAGAAATAACCCAAATTTATTAAATACAGTACTAAAAAGCTTAACAATTTCACTGTTCATTAGTTAAGTCTTAAATCAACAATAAATGACAAATTAATGTTCAAGTCAACTTACATCACAATACTGTAGTAACCTTTAAATTTAACTTGACAAAATATTTGTTGATCTTCGATTGTTTTTCACTCTAATTTCTCTGCCACGCAGCTTCGTCACGAAATTTACTGAGGCTAAGAATATCCATGGCAGACACTCCCTGCTCCTGTAGGTTCTGGAGGACTCCCTCGATGAACTTCACAACATCAGTATGCGTTAGTTTTGGTTGTGGGTTGTCCACCTCGTCCTCCTCATCACTCACATCCTTTTGTTTGAGAGCACTGAGAGCAGCAACAATTTCTTCGTCTGATGTAGGCCCCACTTCCTCATCTTCATTCATCCAATGTTCAACGTCGCCGTCTGAAGCTCATTCGCAGTCTGGAATTTTCTCCATCAACGTCACAAGTTTGTTGTCACTGGGATCTTCTTTTTTAATTAACTCATTTCCTTCATGGTCCAAGAGTTTTCTCCATGAACGCACTACAGTCAAGGGATTTAGTTCTTCCTATGACTTAGCTATCCTCCGATTACATCCAACATATCAATTCTTTTTAATTTTTCAACCAAGTCGAGCCCTTGTCCAATCCTTAAATAAGGCATGAGAGAAGTTTCTTCCTGTACAAGTTTTTCAGAGTCACTAATAAAACGCCTTGATTCATTGGTTGGCACAGAGAGGTCACGTTAGGTGGCAAAAACATCGCTTTTTCATCCTGAATTACTTATACACTTGGGTGGGACATTGCGTTGCCAAGAATTAGAAGCGCTTTTCTTGGAAGATTCTACGATTTTAAATGTTTCTCAACATCTGGTATGAACTGCATAAAGAACCCAAACTGATTAAAAGTATACTTACTTAGACATCCATGCATTGGATTGATGCCTGTACCAAACAGGGAGATAAAATCTGTCGCCCTTCATTTTTATGTTTTTGAAACCTATAGGCATTTTTGCTTTACCTATAAGAGCTAATTTTAGTTTGTGGGTTCTAGTTGCGTTGCTGCAAGCTAAAACGGTTACTCTTTCATTACTTTTTTTGTAACCAGCAGCAGCTTTTTCTGTTTTGAGTGCAAGGCCACATTCTTTACATTGTTTAGTCGGCAGCATTCTAAAATTTAGGCCTGTTTCATCGCAATTATATATTTGCTCCCCAGTCCCCTAGACCCTCTTCTTTAATCATAGCTTGAAATGTGACTTTAAATTCACTTTTGCTATTTGGGTTTGCTGACAACTTTTCCCCACAAACGCTATGTTGTTCGACACCATACCTGTGGCTTGCAGTAAAATCAGGCTCTCCTTCTCCTTTGAATTTGTTGTAAAACTGCTGCGCATTTTCCTGAAGAATTGGTCCTGTGATCTGCGTTCCTTTATCCCGTTGAATCCTAAACCACTGAATCGCGCTTCACCGACATTAGTAGTGTTGTGTTCGTGGGTTTAATGGACTTTGGAAGTGGACTAAATAAATACAAGAGTTTTACATGATTATAACACGGCCACAAACAGGTGGTTAAGGTTCGACTTGGAGGTAGACTAGGCTGTTGAAGGGTCAGATGGACATGGACGGTGGTGTGATGTAGGTGGAGAGGGGATCAGGTGATGTTTGTAGCCAATGAGATTTATTGAAAATCATACAATACACAGTGGCGTGATGTACAAGGAAATCATAGTTACAACAGATATTGATATTCTTAAGATATATTACACGTAGTACTTTCTCTTTCACTTATCTTGAAAAAATACTCTGACCAATTTTCTGTTGATGTTGATAAAGTCTCAACTGATACTCTGAGAACTAATTATGGTGTACAATTATAACAATGCAAATTATTCCATAGGTTTTCTACGGAAGGGAGGAAGAATTGGAAAAGATCCATCAATACATGATTGGTGATGTCAACCAACCGATCGTGCTCTATGGCGAAGGAGGGTGTGGTAAGACATCCCTGCTGGCTAAGTCAGCTGGTATGACATCATCGGAGTGGTTTGCCGGGGCTCGACCAATCAGTATCATCCGTTTCCTCGGCACCACTCCCGACAGCAGCGCTCTCACACCTACGCTTATCTCCATATGTCAACAGGTGTTGTTGATTGTATACAAAATTATCAAGCGATTATATGGAATAACTATATTTTTGGTGGCTTATAGGATTTTTGAACTTAATCTACTGATATTTCCTACTTAATTGATGATTCTTGATAAATCCTCAACCTCGTAATGTTTGTATATTTCAATAGTCATACTTAAAGACACTTTGAAGTTTGAACAAAAAGTTTGTCTTAGTTATACAGTTTTAACCATACTAATAAATGAAAGTGAAAGGTTATTTTTCTAAATATGATTTCTCACACGAAAGCAAGCTGGTCTAGTGATAAAGTGCGGGACTTTGCTCCCTTTCCGCCCGATCACCAACAGATTTTATCCACGTGATAATGTCACAACCTCAAGGCCTAGCCTAATGTTATGTGAAAAATGATCCTGGGCTAGAGCCTAGCGTCATAGGGAAAAAGATATACATATAAGAAGATAAGATTTCAACTAAACTTAAAACAAAACTTTCTTATAAGGTATATACCTAAATGACAGATATGCACTTGGAACTTTTTAAAAAATAACTCAGTACTCCAAAGAGCCTGTGTGTCATTTTTGTTCTAACACTAAACCTTATTAATTTTCTCATCTGGTTAAAAATATGCACCCTTTAGTGTCAACTCCAAGTCTAATCTGTGTTTTCAGATATCGTACAACTACATGCTGCCGTTTGAAGACATACCTGATGACTTGGTGCCATTGACTGCTCATTTCAAACAGCTGTTGACCATTGCCACCAAAGAGCAGCCGCTGATAGTGTTCCTGGACTCTGTAGATCAGCTGACTGGAGCACAGGATAATAACAAGGTATCCTGGATTCCGACTCGGCTGCCTCCCAATTGCAAGGTAATTTTACCAACCATAGAGTTTGTTTTGACTCTCCTTACTGAACAAAATATTAACTTGTCGGTGATACGCTAACTGTATTTCTTGAAGAAATACAAAATAAAGATCTTTGTCTATTGTCTAAGTCAAGAAAGAATTAATGAAATAAGTCATGATAACTTAAATCATTGCTGAAGTTATAGAATTTGTTGAGTATGATTGTTGTTAGTGGTGAACTATGGGGCGTAGCTGTGGCCCAGCAATTTAAGCCGCCAAAAGATTTCTGAGAGTAGAACAAACTAATGTGAGCTGTTTAATTGCATCCCTCTATACCTTTCCTTAACATTAAAAAGTTGAGTACATAACATGAATTCTTAAATAATTAAATTTAAATAAACTACTGTGAAGAAACTCTTAGCAACATTATCTTGAAATGACACTGTCACTGCTAAAGAAGACTGCCTTAGGTTTTGCTTTTTATTTGCATTCTTCTACTTTTTTTTTAATTTTCAACCCAATACAAAATCGCTTAACTAGTAGAATAGAATTAATTAATTTATAATTAATTGTAGTCAGGCCCGTTCTGGCTCCATTGGAGGCCCTCGGCTAGATGTTGATTTGAGGCCTCCAGCCAGAAATAAAACAAGGACCATGGGGTGCTCTCACGGCAACAATTAGTTAGCATATATGTTTGCTGCATGCCGCAGGTGCATAAAAGGGGCCTAAGGGGGTTTTAAATGCTTAAAAGTTTTTGATAATTTTGATTAAATTAATAATTGCTAAATTTCCATAAATTAAAATCTTTGTATTATAAATCTAATTCCAAGGTATCATTCAATTTAAATTTGATTTAAAATTTGCTCGTATTTCTATTCACCTCTATAGCTGCCATAAAATTTAAAGGCCTGTTCTTAAAATTGTTTCAAGTCTTCAATTTAAAAATAAGACCAAAACCTAGTTCTTGGAGTTTTTGCAATACATGGTAAAAAAGCATATAACGTACCACTTTTGAATTTTGAATACATCTATGAATGAAGCACATTTACTGTTTATCACACATTTTACTCCATAGTTGTACTTCAGCAACAAAGACAAACAGAAATAATCAAAAGTATTTGAATTTAAATGTTGTAAGGCTTACAAAAAACTTCTGATGATTTCCGCCTGCCTGTTTGCGACTTCTCATTGTTAGCAGAATCGGAACTGAAACCAGATAACCTGCTAACCATAAGTTCAAACAGTTTGCTTTAATTTGTTTTTATTTTAAAAGATTTCCTATCCATTTTTATTTTACTTGCGCCACTTGGGTGCACACGTTTCATTTTATAAACTGAACAATTCACGTGTTAATAATCTTTCAAACAATACGTCATAACCCAATACGTAGGAATGACTGGAAACAGTCGTCGGTGATTAAACTAGTCTTAACACTATACTCGACCTTTTGGTGTTGAGGCTGACTGGTAGAATAAAATCAGTTGTAGATAAACTGACGGATAGGAATTGGGAACAGTTTTTAGGGATGATACATAAAATGTAATTGCATTTAATTTTGTTGTTTAAAAAAATATAAAATTGCCAAGACACTGTGTTTTATAGCCTATACCGTACTGATGATTTAGATTTTAATGCCTGTAGTAAAATCTGTTTTAAAAACCAGGTAAAAAATCAATAGGAATATTTGTTATACTGAGTTAGAGATATTAGGTCTACTGAATAATTTAAATCTTGCAGTCATAAACTAAAATTTTTTAATTAATTGTAAATGTTGTCATTCTATTACGTTGTATACCAAAGTAACAAAATATTAATGCAAATGACAACAAAGAATAGGAATCAAGCGGGAAAACTCCAATGTTTAAAGTAAAATTATATTCGATAATTTTCTTTGCAATGACTGAAACCACTGCACCGATTGAACGCCATCAGTTGTTGTAGTGGAATTCACTCGGATTTCATTCGACTGAAAACCACTGGTTTTAAAAACAACCGATTGACAGATTGACTAGTCGATAGTTTTTTCCAGTCGGTTGTCCCATCACTATACTAGTACAAGCGCTAAGCCGTCTGTGGAATGTTTGAGTAAATTAATGAAAAATTAAGAGAGAAAAAATAAAAGTCATGTTTTCAAGAAGAACAGAAAGGAATGATGTTTATTTATATAATACAATGGATTATCTCTAAATCATCAGCTGTTTTGGTAATTTAAAAATTCTAAACAGGCTAAAGAAAAATTTTAGATAAAAGAACTGAACACCGTCTGCTTGAGACTAGACAGGTTAAGGGCGCAGACGCGCCAGCACGGCAATGTCTCGTCACTGTGAGCGCTGGGCACTGTGCTGATTCGAACGGTGCGTTGGTTGCAGTGAGATCGGTGACTATCCTCTAGTACGGAGTGACTATCACTGTACTTAGGGGCTACCCCTAACTGTAATTCAATTTAAAAAAGAGTATCGTTTATTAAAAATAGTTTTTGCAAGACTACGTCGCTGTGAAACAGTAAAACAAAATATTTTTTTATTATAACTAAATTTTTTTGAATTGATTTTTTGGCTTTTGGAGGCCCTCTTGAGCCGGAGGCCCTCGGGGATCGCCGACCAGCCGCCCTGGCCAGACCGGGCCTGATTGTAGTTCTAAAAAGTAACCAACAATTTTTTAGATCCCATGTTTACATACATTGTAATGTAGTCCTTCAACATTTCCTAGGATGATTATGACAATGTGAGGAACATAATATCTACGCTCTGAAGACATCAGCAAACTATTATCCTGTTAAGCTCGTTTACAATTACATGAAGCCAGTTGGCAGGCAAGTTTAACCTGCCCCTAAAACTAAAGCCACATATACTTGCCTCTAATGTATTTCAAGTTACCTGATGCAAGTAACCTGCCCACCAACTGGCTTTGTGTAATCACGGCTTTACATTTACAACAGCGAATCATAGCACTGTTTTTGCTGAATGCTATGATGCTAAAAACATGCATGCTACTTAACACTTTACTATTCTAGGTAGGTAATAATAGATTTTTGAATGTTTATGAATTGTTTCCAGTTGCTAGTTTCTTGCGCTGCAGAAGCGGATAACCCGGAAGTGTCCAAAGACTACCATGTGTTAAGAAGAATGATTGATGTTGAAGAACAGTTCATAGAAGTCAAAGACCTTGGAGAAGAGCTTGCAATGCAAGTTGTAAAGTAAGTTGACCGCTGTTCTTTCTGGTAATTCAATACTTTTAAAGAAACGGATACATCTTACATTTTTAAGCTAACTTAATGAGGTATGAGTGTAGGATTGATTGTTGACTACGGCCAGCGAATTCATCACCTAAATTATCCTACTTAAAAGTTAATTACCAATCAATTGCTGCAATCTAGGTCCGAATTTGAACTATCAAAAACCTACCGATTCTACCAAGGTTGAAACCAGAAACTATTGAATCAGAAGAAGACACTGTGCTCTTCTAAAACACTTTCTTATACTCTGATTCATAAAAGTTATACAAAGTAAATACAATGGCAGTGTTAGGTATATAATTTGATTCAAAACAAAACTATTAAACCAATTAATAAAATATTAGGCATTCTTCATGGATAGGATTCTACGGTTACACAATGTTTATCCATGGTCTTCAGCTAACGACCGTGTCAAAATCCATGAAACTGTTCTGTCCACCAATCATTCAGCCAATGGAGAGTCATTATCAGGATGACTCGACTTAAACAACCTCGAGAGTTGATACGTCAACTGTGTGCCAATCGAGTCATTCTGGTGGATAGCACTCTACATCAAGGCCAAAACGTGGTGGTGTTTCATAGTTTTTGACAGGGTCGTCGCTCAAAGACCACGAATCTATCTATATATTAATAGGCAAGCATGTTTCTTTAAAACCTTTTTTCTCAGCTCGTGTGCATCGTAGGGAAAATCTACGCATACCGTTAGAAAGCTATTTTCCTGTAGGTGTGCAGAATCCCTTTATAAATTTAAATAGGCTCAAAGATAAGGGCAAAAAATGAGTTTAAAAATTTGAAAAAATTTACATGGATCTTATGCGTTGCCATGCTGGTGACGAAATAACAACAAAATATAAACAGAAAATCAAAACAAATGGAAGAAACTCCAATCACATGTTTTATTTACAGTGTGGGGTGAAACATTAACATAAGTGAGTACATTACATATTTTTGGTCGAGTTTCGACCACTGGACATTACTCGTCTACATAAATGTTCGGTATGTTACACAGGATGTGGATGAAGACAGCGTGCAGAGATTTGACCAACTACCAGTGGCGCTTGGTGGCCAATGCTATAGGTCAGTGTTCTTTACCAATCTTTGTCAAGCTGGTATTTGCTGAGATCTGTCGCTGGAGAAGTTATACCAAGCCTCAAGACACGCTGTTGGCTTCTACAGTCATGGACTCCATCATGATGCTGTTTGAGAGGATCGAGAAGCAGGTATTCTTCATGTACAGAAATCAATTGAGTCTACAATTGATGGTAGAGTCAAAATCAAAATCAAATCAAAATATACTTTATTTCCAAAAATATTGAACAGAATAAAATTCAAACATAAACTTCCAGTGAAACAGACACCTTACTTGCTATTGCCTAGATCAAATAATTAAATATAAAAATACATGTAAACTTAATAATAATAACAAAGGATGGAAGGTTTCAGAGAAAGCTATGTTAAATATATACATTTAGGTAGGCTCAGTCGCTATCAGTAACTTACGTGAGTTGAACATGGACAAGGGTTGTCCATGGAGCTTCTATCACAGCCAAACAAACTAGTTCAAATATGAGACTATGGTTGTTTTCCTTACTTCATCTGCTACTACATGAGCCAGTTTGCATCACTATAGGACGATAAGTCTTGTCATAGTACCAGTATTCAAAAATGTTGTGCAACGTTTTTTAATATCATTGTGATAATAATGGTCCCATAAAAATAGGAATTGGCTATAATAGTAGTGGATGAAGTATGGAATACAACATTGGGCTTAGATTTGAATTGAACTAGCCCACTTGACTGGGATGGTGGTAAACCTTAATCTACGGCCAATTAAAAAAAGCCCAAAGTAGGCAATATTGGAATTAGTAATAGGGCATATTGCTAAAAATTAGGTATACAGTAGACTCTCGCTCATCCGGACTAATGTGGCGGACGTCCAGTCCGGATTACGAAAAATCCGGACTATCGAGAGTCGAGCAAATACACAGTACTGTATATAGCCGTTTTTTTCAATTTAGTTCCAGGTCCACAGTAATGTTAGCCGGGCATATGCACTTCCACCGGTAATAATCTTTACGGCTGAATTTTGTTCCAGGCCCACAGTAATGATAGCCCGGTGGATATGCACTTCCACCGGTAATAATCTTTACGGCCGAATTTTGTTCCAGGCCCACAGTAATGATAGCCCAGAGGATATGCACTTCCACCGGTAATAATCTTTACGGCCGAATTTTGTTCCAGGCCCACGGTAATGATAGCCCGGAGGATATGCACTTCCACCGGTAATAATTTTTTCGTCCAAATTTTGTTCCAGGTCCACAGTAATGATCAAATCAAATCAAAACATCTTTATTTTCCTTACATATACATGGGTACAAAAATAGTGTCAAGTATAAAGTACTAAACTAGCTTAGATATAAATACTTTTTAAGTATGAATATTTATTCAATGAGTTCCTCCATTGTATAAGGTGCCTTTCCTATTAAATGTTTTTTTAATTTAGATTTAAATAATTTATAATTTGATTCCTCCTTTATAGAGGCAGGCAATTTCCTTAGAATTTGTGATCCAGCAAAAGTCGTTTTTTTTTTTAGAATTCCAGCTTATAATTTGAAGTTACAATATCCTTTTTATGTCTTGTATTGTAACTATGTGGCACAACTGGCTCATATTTTAGGCTGTCTCTTTTAGCTATACATGCTATTTCAAAAGTATACGCTGCAAAAACTGTTAAAATATTTAGATTTTTAAAGTGAGATTTAACTGATTCATCTTTTTTAAGGTGTAACATAGTTCTAATTGCTTTTTCTTGCATGATTAGAATTTTATTTACATTTTTAATCGTAGTTGCCCCATATAGTCCAATGCCATAGTTTATGTGAGAATGAATATGGGCAAAATATATTTTTTTGAGTGCATCTAAATTGCACAAACAAGACATTCTTTTCAATGCGTACACTCCACAATTAAGCTTTTTTCATAATTTTTCAACGTGTTTATTCCAACTTAGATGTTCATCTACATAAAGACCTAAAAGTTTGGCTTCAAAAAGTTGTTCTATTGATTCTGAATCGGGCATATGCACTTCCACCGGTAATAACCTTTACCGCCGTGTTATCAAATTTTTTTCATTATTCAACGTAGTCTCGGTCCCGTTTCGCTTGGATAATCGGACTTCTACTGTACTGTGCTGCTAAAAAAATAACGATTGCCGATCCGGACTACCGGGAGTCCGGACAAGGCCGATCCGGAAGAGCGAGAGTCTACTGTACTCATTGAATATATTATATTGAATGGCATAGTTGAAGGTTGTAGCAAACATGTTGGTTCCCACCCCACTACACTAAGGCTACCTCCAGCAAAGTATTATGTATAATATTTCCTTCATTTTGAGGTGTTGTCTTCCCGAATTACGAATTATACTATTCTAGAGGTGTTAGGTTTACCTTGTGGGCAATGTCTTCAAAACAGAAACGAGACAAAATTGACATGAAGATAAATAAACATTTTAACAATAAAATATTGTATGACCATAAAGCTGGCATAAATAATAATCATGACACGGCTGCGAGTTATCTAGACCTACACCCTGAACCTGCAGCTGCGCCTCTTAGTATTCCTGATACAGTACAGCTTCCTGAGCCATGAACCTGTATTAATAAAAGAATTAATGATGGATATGTAAAAATACCCCCGCCGCAGCAAGCCTGCCGACTAAGCGAATTTCCATTCGTCTGAATTAAAATTTTAATTAAATCTATTTTAAAAACATTAGGATTAATGAGTACCTAGGTTTGCTGCTACAAGGAAACTAACTAATAGTGTATTTTTAGTAAAATATTAATAGCTTAGTACAAAATAAATAAATTTGCCAAGTTTGATCAAAATATATCCATAAACAAGCAAACTACAACATTTGACAATATTCTCCATAAGAATAACATGGGAATTTTAAATTTACAATTTTTTTAATTTTCTCCGTTACTAATAATCGAACAAAAATACTTTTATATACTAAATTATTTGTTTTTTTAAGCTATTTAAAAAGGTCTAAAGAGAAATCGGGAATTTTTGTGTTTTGAGGGTCAAAAGTGAGAAAAACCTATTTTTACCCCATAAAAACCCCCGTAAAGCCCCGTTCCCATGGTCCGATCACGCTGCTTCGCGAACTCATTCAAGTTTATCCCGCTTTACACCTTTAAACCAAATTTCATCAAAATCGGACAAAAATTACTCAAGTTATCGCGTTCACGGACGTATATATATATATATATAAATAAAAAAGAATATAAAAAAAGGGTACTCATGTTATTTTACATATTATTTATTAAATATATATATATATATATATATATATATATGTCTATATATATATACATATATAAAAATTTGAACGAATGGTGTTTTTGGCCTCTGGGGACATCAAAATGAAAAAGTAAATCGGTCCCGGGTCTAGGTCTTACCGTGCCACCTACGGTAATAGCTACTTCCCTATAGGGAAATTCGCTAAAACCATTGATTTGGGAGCATACTTAAAATTAAAATGTCTTGAGTTCATAGCTTATTGCCTACAATTGATCGTTATTTAACTTGAATATCAATCCTAAAGCATGGAAGGATCCTAGTGTTCCACGCCCTGGCTTATATAACAGCAGCCAAGAGCGGACTGTCCGAGAGTGAACTGGAGGATTTGATCTCGCTGGACGACCGAGTGTTGGACGACGTCTACCAGTATCACTTACCTCCTGTCAGACGAATCCCTCCACTGTTGTGGACTAGGATACGCAACGATCTGCCCAACTACTTGTCTGAGAGAGAGGCTGATGGAGTCAGTGTGCTCAACTGGTATCACAGGTAAGTGGACTATAGTGCAATACTTGCCACTTGGGGGGAAGTTGTCTTTAGATTTCATTACAATAGCTTGTGCGAAGCATGTCCTTGTAATGGGTGTCCAATAGGCATTTTGCAAAGAATCCATGATGTGCTTATAGCAAGTCTAAGAGACAGGTGCAATGAATGTAGAACAGAAGATTGTGAAGAGCTATGCTATTATTATGAATTGTGAAAGAAATGGGATAAAAAATTTAAGCAAATTCATCTTGTGGGTTTATTTCTATGAAGTAAATGTAGATTTCCCCAAAATCCTGGAAAATAATCATCGTCCACTCATTATCAACAGACTCAAGGCTCAGTTGGTCAAGACTGATTTTAATTTTATCAGCCGGATCAAAGGTACAGTACTGGAAAATTGAGTTTTTCACCAAACAGTAAGCCAAATGAGTTTACAAAGGTTGTTCATGCGACGCCGTGGTCATTGCTACAGACCAAGGTATACATTTGAATCTTACACATAGACCGGCTGTCACTTGGTTAACAGTACACACAGACCACGGGTGAAAACCTGTAAAACAGTGATCATTTACATTGTAATGTGCTACAATCGTGTTTGCAAATAATTTATTCTAGTTTTTTTGTATTTTTTATAACCTTTTGTAATGTCGCATATTTGCGACGCCCGGTCTACAGCAAAGACAATACTGAAAATTATCATAGTTTTCTTGAAATAGACCAAACATCGCATATATGCGACAGTACATTTTTGTTTGTGTTTTGAGGTAAAAGTAAGTAAAAAAAAAAAAACAGATTATTCAAGAACAGTTTATAACTGAACAAATATAAAATATGGGGAGATGTATTTTTTAATTTAAGATTTATTTTTAATCTGTATTTTATATTTTAATAATTGTAATCTTTGACACTATTCAAATGCTGTATTATGTATACTTCTCAATGAATAAAGAAATTGAAAATTGAAATTGAAAATTGATAATGCAGCATAAATACTGCATACATACATACAGTGATGCAGAAAAGTAAAGACCAGTTTTTCCAACTATCATATGACTCACCAATCATCATATCCACAGACCAAGCGACACAGTTGTGCGTCAGACATCTCTGTAGACCACTGCAGGGAATTCAGTGCCTTCAAATAGACCGTTACAAAGATATAAGCATTTTAATAACATTAGAACCCCGACGCAAATATGCGTCGTCAGTCTATTTTAATGTGACTAGCCGGCAGTCTATGGGTGAAAACCGGCTGTAGCATCTGTGCGTCGCTGGTCCATGCGAATGAAAAATTTCGTACTATTGCAGTAGCGAACGTGTTAAAATTTAAAGAGACTGATGGGGGGTATTTGTTTTTTTATTTTTTATTTACTTTAATGGGCATTTCATCATTAAGATTTGTTGGGGTTGCGGGACTGACTGCTTTTAGTCTCAGCTATGAAAACGTCTTTATCCTTATGTGTTGAGGTGGTGCAGAAAACGGAGACATATTTGGCTGTGGAATTCGATAGTTTTGAAAAACGCCTTAAAGGGGTTTTGAAACAATCATACTTATTTAATATGATGATTTCAGACAGTTCAGAGACACGGCCAAAGAGAGATATTTCAAAAACATGAACATGGCTATCTACTTCCACTCCTCAATAGCTGACTATTACCTGGGGATTTGGGGCGGTGGTGTGCCTAAGCCATTCAAATACACTGAAATCCAAAGACACAGGTAGGAATTACATATCAAAATATCTGCTATCTTACTTGTTACCTGTATTTTCCTTGTATTTGTTTGGACAGGTCAATCAAGGTCAATCAGGTCAATCAATAATTCTAATGAAAAATTACCCCTTTTTAGGAAAATAATTCTACTAATAACTTTCAATAATGTTTTACTATTATTCAGGCTTATGCGCTTTCTCTTGAAAGAAGATCATTAAGAGACAAAATAATAAATCAGTTTACAAACTCAAGAGAATACATTTGAAAAATATACAAGTCTTAAAAAAAGGAGATAGGTAAATCATGCCACCATGCCAGTAATAGTATGCATATTCTTGATTAGTTGATTTTTTCAAACAATCAATTAAATTAAAACTAAACCTTTTAAAATTTTAAAATATAACAAGTATGCCTATCACAACTCAAAAGTGTTGATGAAAAGTACACTTCTTTTCTTTTTCACAATTATTAATTTCAAAAACATTAATTACATTTTATACATCGTAGAAATTTTTTTTACGTGTTTAAATGAAAATGAGAAACAGTATCCATTATTATTGCTCATAGGGTTACTGTAAAGGAAGTTATTGATTTTTTTAGCTGTTCATATTACATTTAAATATGAGTCTTCGACATAATATAACCACCAACAACTTACTATCATACTGACCTAAAACTTTTTCAGGTTTAACCTCACTGACAAGGAGGGTTCGGCTGATCGGAAAGTCCCAGTACAACCTCTTGTATTTTACTCTAAAGATGGAAAAGTGACCCGATACAACCTGAGAAAGGTAATAAAAATGTTAAATAGTTAGGGTTTTAAATAGGGATGGACGAGATTGGATTTTTAGTTCGAGACGAGACGAGACGAGATTTTTTATTTCTCATAAAATTTCGAGACGAGATCGAGACGGGATTTCCCTTCTCATACACAACGGGAAATGCACGTTCAAAATTTTTACCTGATTTTGTAACATTGTTAGATGACTGTTTAAATACAAAAATAATGATAATAGGCAAGAATATTTACAATCATTTATTAAAAAACATCAGCATAACATTTTTTTATTAATCACGCCTAACTTATTAAAAATGCCTACAATTAGGAAACATAGTGATATCAGTTAGGATAGAGTTCAACTTATCCTAAAATAAAATAAATCATAAAATAAAAGCAATATTAATTTTTATAAAATAGTTACTTGTGTTGACTTTTTATAGTAATAAAACATTCCTCTCACTGCTTACACTTAACAAACTTCTCAAATGTTATTAAAGTAATATTATTAAAATAATTAAAGTAATATTTACATTTAAAGATTAATTAAATAAGAACGCCTTCGCAAAGGAAACGCAACTACAACACGCTCCTGTATTGCGGGTATTGCATTGACTTTCTGCAGGCGTTTAAATTTTTTTTTTTTTTTTTTTATTCTCGTCTCGATAAAAATCTCGGCCAAAAAGAAATCTCGTCTCGTGTAACGAGATTTAAAATTTCCCGAAAATTTCCCGAAATTTCGAGACTTGACCATCCCTAGTTTTAAATCAAAGCAAAGGACTCTTTTTGATAGATTTCAATTTACAGTTTGGTGAGCTTCCCTTCCATCTAGTAAGAGCTCGAAGATTTAAAGATCTGTACGAGAACGTTTTGTTCAACTATGAATGGCTTCACGCGAAACTCTCCTCTTGCCCTCTCCAAGCAGTTCTGAGTGACTTTGAAGACGCTTGCACAAATATTGATGACCGAGAGGCGACCAGGTAAGAAAACAGTCATTATTTCAAACAATTTATAAAAAAAAAAATGTAATTTCAATATATTCTCAAACATTCTCTCTGCAATACTTTCAATACAATAAGAAAACCAAAGTTTTATTAAAAAAATAAATGTAGGCTATAGGCTACCTAATTATTTTATGTAAAAATAAAAAAATAAACTACCTTATTTAAATGATTTCTTGTTATAGTAAATTGATCACTTTGGTGGTTTTCTTGTTGAAATCAAATAGAAAAAAATCTCAAAATTGATGTATAAAATGGTTCAAACAAATAAGATTGTCCTTTTAACGAGTTGAAATACTCACATTGTGGTCTGCAGAAAAGCAATATAAAAACAGCCAAATTTACTAACTTTTTTGGAAATTCAAACTGTTTTTATGCACCACAAGTCATAATAAAACACAATTTTTTTTATTTCAAATTATTTTTGATCAATCGGATGGATAAAGTGAATTTTATCGCAAGATGAATATTAGTTCTATGACTTGATTTGTTGTGTATTATTACATCGATGATCTTAATAGTTTTTAAGAGATAACACACAAGGACAGTAACAATGTATAGTTTTAGCATGATATTTACCAACTTAACTAAAGTTGGAGTATTTAGTCAAGTTGGTATTATTTACCAAAATGTATGAAACCCAATTTTTATCAGGGATGAAGTGAGATTACTTCAAAGGTGAAGTATTTCTTGGAAGTCGTAAGTTGTCTTGCATGAAAATGTATTTTCACATTCTTTTCCCTATTCTTACTACAGTGGAACCTTAATAAGAAGACCCTTGTCAACAAGCGACCCTTGAAAACAAAGTTTAGTTTTCAAATGCTCTCAATTTTATCACCTGGATTTACGTGTTTTTTTTTTCAAAAATCAATAAGAAGTCATCTTTGATAGTCTTATTTAATAATCCTCATGAGAGACTTTTTATTAAGGTTCTACTGCAAAAACTTTTCTCGTTTATGTTTCAAATTATTTGTATGATATTATTTTTTAATAACAGGAATAAAGTAAGTATTTTGTTAAATCATGAAGTGAAGGTAAGCTTTTATTATTTATACTTAAATCAAATTGATCAATTACCAGCTTGTTTTTACAGCTGAATAATAATTGTTCGTTATATCTTGTAAATAGTTTCATTCACTTTCTTCTTATCTATCTTTTGTATATTTTCTTGACTATTTCCTTTAAATCAATCACAAATGCTCAACATATTCACAAGAACATGAAATATTTTCCTAATCTCCTAACTCAAGCCTATTATTTGTTGGCATTTGAAGCCGGTCTGCGGAGTATGTATGTAATAAAATAAGAATGTACTCATAAGTAAAAAATTGTGTGTTTTTTTAACCAACACACATTATAAAAAAGACTTAAAATTTGGAAAATAGTTATTTGTGCAACTAGTGAGAAAAGTGAGCAATTGACTCACTCGAGAGAAATCCTTACCCACGAGCCGTAGGCGAGTGAGGAATGGTTTCTCGAGTGAGGCAATTCTACTTTGAACTCGAGTTGCACATTATACTTTTCCTACAGTTACCATAAAACAAATAAATTGGTGAAGAAACATAACCTATTTTTACACAGAACTGAACTTTTAATATAACATGAACGTGAAGTGACAAATACAACAGTACAACAGCTGACCAGCTGATTTACAGCCAGTGCTGCCAACGTATTTCGCGCGCATACGACGTTGCCTGCATGTTACGCGCTCACTATTTCGTGCATTCACGTTGCAAATCTGGAGTGAGACAAAGTAATTAGAGTGAGACAATGTTAACATTGTCTCACTGATGAGCGAATTGGCCACTTTGCTTTCTCAAATCAGTGAGAGAACATGTACATTGTTAGGTAACTGTAGGAAAAAAATGTTTTCTTTCAATTTCACATTCTAGTTAGAGGAAAAGTGCTCCTAGAACTTTAAAAAAGTAAAATAGTTCAAAATATAGTTTTAAAACAGTGAATATGTTGGGTTAATTTTTAACTACAACTTCTAATAATTACAAACCCTTTCATACTTTAAGGGTTCTTATTCTTATATTTATCCACATTTATATTCACTTTGTATAATTACTCTTTATATTCAATTAATAATAATATTTATGTCTCACTTTTAAATCCTCAACTTGTAAATATGTTTTTTAATTAGTAAAGTATGCTCCGTTAAGGTGGGTCCACACATGCGATGTCAGTCGAGCGCCGAGAGACTACCGGTTAACTCATGATTAGTGTGGGTGGGCGTTCGTCTGCTCATCGGTTTTTGACATAAAATTCACTATTCCAATAGGCAGACTGCCACAAACAGATTTCTTGGAAAGTGACAAATGCGTGGGCGCCTCTGGTCATAAATCAGCAAATATCAGCGCTCAATCAATGTCCCATGTGCTGATGACCCACATTTATAGACTAAGTGTTTATTGCTGACCATGGTTACGTGTTTGCTTTTTAGTCTTTAAAGATTATAAAAAAAATGAGCTTTTATTAACTTATTTAAAAAAATCCAATTATTGTCCTGTGAATTTGTTTTAAAGGGAATATAGTACAGCTAGCATACCTGAAAAAATGAGTCCAGGGACTAATAGATACAAAATTCAAGAACAAACTGTTATTTCCTCCTGATGTAGGACTTCTTCTGAGATTAGGTTGAAGAGAAACCATCAGGTTTTATGTTTGGTGTTCTTTTATTGTTTATCAACCCTAGACAATAATTTTCTCAGGTAAGTTGACTGAACTCTATATTCGTTTCCTTTACAAACATTTCCTTATCAAATTAAAAGGGGGGGGGGGTCTATAAACCGGCTAAAAAAAGGAGTTTTTCACAATTAATTATTAATAATCCTGCTAAAGAAACTCGTTTTTTCAGTGAGAGTGTACAATATTCTTATTCTGGACTGAATGGGTGCAAAAAGATGAGTGTATGGTGGAGTAGGATGATCTGTTTTGTTACTGACTAAAATCAGCTTTTTGTTTAGGAATTCTCGAAATTTTGTAGAAACATTAGATGAAAATGAAACATCTGTAGTAAATGTAAAACTGACTGTCCCGTAGGGAGCTAATGCTGGTAGCGGATGCGCTGAGGTTGGGAGGCGCCATATTGAGCGTGTTCCCGGACATGTTGGCTCCGCAGCTGGTGGGCAGACTGTTACCGGAGATAGGGACCAATCCCAACGTCAAGATGTTGCTGAGCCAATGTGACAAGGTGGGCCCGGACCACTGCGCCTTGCTGCCCTTCTACCATTCTCTGCACACACCCGGCGGCCCTCTCAAGGTTGTGATTTGAAATGGTATACAGTAAAAATATTGTTGAAAGGTTCAAATACATTGTCGGTCCTGCCTAGTGATTCCTCTACTCTCAAAATGTACTACGCGTTATGATATCATCAGGTCGCACAAACCTTGAAGGAATTAAACCATTGTTGAGATGGTAATGTCAAAGATTACTCAGACTAAGAAGGGGGAAAACTGTAGGCCAACAACAACTAGTTAAGTTACTTGATGGGTGCCAAGTCTTGACTGGATGATTTGTTAGACCTTTGTCAAAAGTCAATTGCTTAAATATTGTACATAAACAACCAAATTTAAAATACCTGGAACAAAATGTATAGTTTTGCTTGAATAAAACCTTGAGATAGTCAAATACACCTTTATAGTTTATACTAACATCTAAGTATTTCCTAACAACATTAATGCAATGCAACTGAAAATGTTAAATGTAAACTCTAGGTATATGTTAAATATTTTCTGATTAGCGTTCACCCAATTTGTTAGATTTTCTTGTTACATAATTCAACAATTTTTAGTTTTTAGAGAGTTGACAATATTTATTGTACAACTTGCAAATTTATGAGGAATAGAAACATTGGTGACAGGGTTGGTGACAAAGTGCTTCAAATTTTTTAAACCCAACCTTCATTAAACCATCTATTCTGAAATGATCTGAGAAACATTTATATCTTCCTAGTACTCTCTGGAAGGCCATCAGTTTGCGGTGTTTGACTTCTGTCTGACGGGAGACTTTCGCTACATCGTCTCTATATCCAACAAGTTCATCACGTGGGATCTCTCCACCAGTGATCTGACCAGAGATGTCAATCCAGGACTGGAGGGGATCATGCAGCAATTGTGCCTCAGTCCGGACAACAGATTTGCTGCTGCCTACACCAACAACAACCAGGTACAGTCACTTACAAACATTTGTATTTGCACTATTTGCAGTCCTGTATATCTGAATGTGCTTTTATCTCTATACTTATGAAAGGCAAGTACCACTGACAAAAAAAGATTATCACTTTATCTCACAAAATATGACCAAAATATAGAATAACCAAATTTGGTATAGGAGGTCCCGGTATGGTGTGCAGTAAGAGGGGGGTTTTACAAAACTCTAAATTTAAGGAGGCTTTAGGGGTTGGGAAAGCTATTTCTGGTGAAATTCTTCTATGTGAGCCTTTACATTTTGGTCTGAATACACTGAACCAATGCTTGTTAAATCTGCAACTTTTGTGTTTAAAATCTTTTCTGTCTCTAACGGTTTTCAACCAAAATCAGGTTAAACTTGAAACTGTGAAAATTCACCTTCCTTCATGTTTGTGCATGCACCCATTTTTGTTCAATAAATAAATTCATTGTGATTGTTCACACCTCAAAACCAGGCAGTTTCCATTTTACCAGAAGAACAAAACGTTCTATTTCATTAAAAAGCAGTATATTTTACATAATAAAAATACATAAATAAATAAAAAGCAGTTAAAAACCCATTTTACGAGTGCTTAAAGTACACAGTTTATCACATTCTAGGAGTTATTGGTTGTGTTATTAATTCCGAAATACGTACTTTGTACTGAAAAATCTCCAAAAACCATTAGAAGTTTTCTATTCTAAAACTTTATTTTAGTATTAGCTGTTACCATTAGCCAAACTGTAGTCAAATAGTGATAGTTTTTGAAGTTAATACAAGAATAATTTATACAAACTATAGCAAAAAAGCATACTCAGCCAATTCCCAACGTATTCTGACCAAGATAAGAGATTCTTTAGCTTGTTTCAACTGAGAGGTATTTCTGCTACGTCAGCTTATAGAATGTTGTGAGCTCTTTAAAATACTTTACTTGAACAATATAAATGAATACATAGAAAGAAGCATATTATTTGTTTAACAACCTGGAATGCTGTTCAGACAGTTCTCCTGAACATGCTGACGAGTGAGTACGTGATTCTGGAGAACCCTCTTCCTGCTGAGGAGAATGTTGCTGGAGTTTATCTTCTAAATCAACACCTCTTCATTCATGGATCTGCCAATTGGTGTCGTTTTAACATGAGAGGCGTGCTCGAGTCAAGGTAAGTGATTTATCAAAATCAGTGACGCTTATTTTAAATGAGCATTGAAACTAGGTTTTTGGAACCTTGCAAAAACTAGGGGTTTCCCTCTAAATTGAAACTAAATAATGGTTTTAGACATGTGTTGAGATGTAGTATGTAGGCCTAATCATGTTTCAGATTCACAACTCCAGTGAATGCAGGACAATGGCCGTTGTTCTCTGTAGAATTCACAGATCTAGAAGATTTCCGTTTCCTCTTCTGGAGCGGATCGTTGGATGACCCTTCAATGCTACTTCACACCACCAGGGGAAAACTGGAACTCGATCCATTTTACTTTCACAGGTGATATTATTTTTCATTGGTGGTGATGTTCTTAAGCTTGAAACATACATTGCCAGATTACAATTTAGGTGGTAACTCCTCGTAGAGAGACAACAATACACAGACCAATAAATGTACACTGCCTTCTGAATAAATCTTTATGTATTTTATTTCACAGTGCAATGGTAATGACCAGAGACAAGCAGACGATGTTTTGCTGCACAGACAATGGGAGGTACACAGTGTCAGAATACACAGCTCCTATTGGAGCTACTTGCTGGACCAAGATACGAACTCTACCTTCTGCATGTGAGATTGAAGACACACTAACTTATACAGTAGTACCTGCTAGTTCCTGGCTGTATATTTGTTGTGTTGTTATGTTTAGCCACTTAAAATCAAATTTTCAGCAACTAAAAACTATCTGAAATGAGCTATAGGAATGAAAATAGTTACACGTAGATTAAAGTACAACGTTTGTAGAATATACAAGGGGTTTTTTTTTTAGTAAGGGCCATTTGTGCTTATAGCTCCATAGTTCCCAAGTACAGTAGACTCCCTCTTATCCGGACTCCTCGGGACCGAGGCCAGTCCGGATAACGGTTTTTCCGGTTAAGCCGACGTCCCCAAAAACTCATTTAAATGGACCATTTACGGTGATATTCGACTTAAATTTAGGAGAGCATTGTATTTAGACATGTGATCACTGGTCTCAAATCTTTCCCATGAGAACAGTCGTTACAGTACCACCCACTTCCTGCCGACCTAGTCCGGTTAAACCAATGTGCCGATAATAATTGTCCGGTTAAAGAGATGTCATTTCCGTCGACTGTAGTCTGGTTAAACCGATGTCCGGTTAAAAGGTGTCCGGATGAGAGGAAGTCTATTGTACACAGTAATGAAGCAACTTGCTGCTTACTGGTATCATTTGTGAACAGAATGATGTCATTTGCAGCTTTGTAGCTGATGCGTAAGCTTTGCTGTGTGTCAAGAAAATTTTCATAATTGTTGTATCCCTCACAACATGCGAGATAAGGTCAAAAACATTTTTTACTGCAAGAATCATATCCGATGCAGACATTTATTGCCAGATGGCTGAAGTTTTTGGCCCGACTTAGTCTAACAATGGCTGTGAAAATGTCCATGATGAAGGACACTTGTTGGCCTTGACAGGGCTTTCCCTTTGAAATTGATGGGGGAGGTTGAGTGCCCTCATTTCACAAATTGTTGCTCAGATTCATAGCTGATATACCCATGTTATATATCCAGTAACGATTTGACTCAACATTTTTCAACACGTACAATGCTGATCAATAAGTTATTCTTTTTTTCTTCTGAGAGAAGTCTGGGTACCACCGAAACTCTATGTCTTCCAAACTGGACATTTTCATAGTCAAAGGTTTAACAATTCTTACAGATGTTGTTTTCTCATGTTTTCAGACAATGAAGAGGTGGAAGCTTTGCTTCAGTTGAAGTTAGACAAGTCAGAGACAGTGTTGTTGGGAACGACAGCTAACGGGTTCATAGTGTGGCTGCTGGGTGGCGAGCGCAAGAGGATTGACAGTGTTTGCATCAACGACTGGGACATAGGCAAGGTGAGGCGCTGTTGATACACAGACTACTACTGAGGTTGTGTGTGAGGATACATAAATCATAATGATTGCAGGAACATTTATTCAAAGAATAAAAAATACTTAAGTGTCACTCCTCATCTGTTAAACTGTCCTAGTGTCCTACATGCAATAGACTCCCAACAAACCAGACGTACACCAGCACAACAGTAGACATGCTTCAGACTTCACCCTCCCAATCCATAAGCTGTCAGTTACTGGAAGAGAACCTTTCTATAAAGGACGTACATATTTCAACCTTCTTCTTGAACAACTTCAACAAGTGAATAGTCTACCACCTTCACGAAAAACTCACAGACTAGCTGCTGGAAAGACCCTTCTACGCCTCAGAGAAGTAAGGTACAGAGGAATCACGCTTATGGGACGACCGTGCGCTTTCACCTCTGGCATTTGTGCCGGAAATATAATTGTGATAAGTAAGGAAGAGCCTAAATGGTGAAAACTCTGTAGAAATTCCTATTACACAATGCCCAGGGACTTCCTCCACTGTGAGCTTTGTAATACATGAGCGTGAGGCTGAGGGGGACGGTGTTAGACTGTGCCGTAGACACTAACTCAGTTTACGGAAAGTAGATAAAAGAAACATCTTATAACACTTAAAACATATATTTACGCTTATACTGTTACTCACAAGACGGTAAATATACAAACAAGATGGTAAGTGGTGATCAATTTAGATTGAACACTCCAGGGTCTGATGATGATGGTACCTGATTTCCAATGGAAATCGATCACCACTTACCATCTTGTTTGTATATTTACCGTCTTGTGAGTAACAGTATAAGCGTAAATATATGTTTTAAGTGTTATAAGACGTTTCTTTTATATAATTTCCGTAAATTTAATAACACGTACAATGCTGATCAAGAAGTTATATACTAACTAAGTCTACCATTGAATGTTTCCGTGTACACGCTGAAAAATAGTTCATCTAAATATGACTTTAAAAAATTTTCTGTATTTGTAATCAACAAAACACAAGTAAATATCAATCAATATCCTATAGCGCTGTACTGTTTATTGAACTTGTAAATAAAGTATATTTTATATTGTCAGGGTGAGAGGTCAGAGTGTAGAGAGGCCATAGTACTGCAGCTGCCCCATGGTATACGTAACATCTCTACACGCATGTTGAGGTCCAACTCCATCATGCTCAGTGCCAACAGAGACTTTGCTGTGGCTGGAGTCAGGTATTTTATTGAATAGTGTCTCTTGAATATGGTTTGTAATTTAAAAAGTCACAATCATTATATCACATAGTTTATCCATATTAAATATGATAACATGATTTACTCTAAATGGTTTTGTATCACTGGTAAGCATATCTCGCGATATCGGCGACACCAGTAATTGTCTCCTGCGATTGCGACAACATTGGTGATCATCCTTTCAATTAACTGACATTCCGGATGTATGGGTTCTGGATCATATGGGTTTTGGAGCCTCTACTGTATCTTTGCAATTCATCACTCACAGACAAGTTACCCTTCCAGAATAGCATTGGGAAGTCTTAGCAAATATTTTGTTTACTTTCTCCCCTTATACCATACATAGTATATGGGGAAAGTATTGTTTTTGTCAAAATGTTTGAGTTTAGAGTTTGGGTCCCCCTGTACCCAAAAAAGTGATTTTCGAAATGATGTCTGTGTGTGTGCGTGTGTGTCTGTCTGGATGTGTGAATGTATGGAGAGCTATAGACCTTGCATGTGGTGCGATTTTGATGAAATTTGATATGTACGTATCTTCAGGAGTTTTTCATTTTATGAAATTTTGATTTATATAGTGATTTTCCCACAAAAGCCCATAAATTAACAGAAAAATCTAATTTTCTCGGAAATGGTCTGAACGATTTTGATAAAATTTTAGTATTTTATAACCCTTTAAGTTCTGAACAAAATGGTATAACTCACATTGCTGTAACAATTACGGTTCATAGGTTATGATATTTTGCCATACAAAACCCATAAAATATAAAAAATTCAGATTTTTGAAAAAAAACCGGTTTGATTGAAATTAGTATGTTTTGGTCCTTATAGTTCTAAACAAAATAGTGGAATTGCTGTAAAATTACAGTTCAAAAGCTATTGCAACTTTTGTAATTTCCCATATAGAATATCATAGTTGTTTACTCCCACCGCGTACCCATGATAAAGGTTGTTGACAAGCTAATGGAAGAAAGTATGTGTCAGATGGCTAAACCGTTTATTTTGTTTTGTTTCAGGAAAAATATTTATGTGTGGAAGTTAGAAGATGGGGATTTGTTGAAAACCTTGGACGCTCACTTTGGACGGATTATTTCTCTAGAAGCTCTTACTATTGGAAACTGGAACTCTGTAATATTTTTTTGCTGTCTAAATTTGTTTATATTGCTAAGTATTCAATTTTTTGTTTTCATGATGTGGAAGGTCAGGCCAAAACTCGACATACGTTTTATATTTAACTCAACTCCACTTATACAAATAATGAACTAATACTGGTTACATTTTATAATGCTCAACATAATTCATTATTTTCAGGTGATAACCTCTTCAATTGATAGAACAGTAAAGGTTTGGAATATAAACAACATTTTCGAACAAGAACATGTCATTGATAGACATGAACTGCAAGTTGAATCCATATGGTAAGTGGGGGGTAGGTTAGTTGTGCATTTGCTACCTAAACTAATCCGGGTCCCGTAGGGTGGGTTATAATCCGGTAAGTTAGACGGCTTGAACAATAGATCTACCTGCGGGTCATTCTGCTTTGTTAGGACGAATTTGGATTCGTGGACTTGGAATTGAACTCAGTGAGGCAGAGATCAGAAAAATCATGTTCTGTTGTCTACCTCACTGAGTTCAATTCCAAGTCCACGAATCCAAATTCGTCCTAACAAAGCAGAATGACCCGCAGGTACTATAAATAAATCAGCATTTAGTGATTTTGTATTGAAAGAGACTGAGACAGTTACTTTACCTTTAGGTTATATTATACACAGTAGGAGCAAAATTATATAGGAGTTTATTGAAGTGGCACTTAAATCCAAGTTTATCAAAGTCCATTTCTGAGATTAAGGAAAATCCTTCACCAGAGTCTACTTCAAATGTCTGAGGCTTGTTGTTGATAGTGACTGTAACCATGTGTTTGTCTGAGTCTGGTCCTACTATGTAAAGATCTACATAGTTGATTTGTGTGATTCCATACTCATCTGGGTGACTGGATTCATCTTCTGTGTAGTGAGACAACAGGGTGTTTGTGTTAGAGTTCTTTAGCAGAGACGTTATACACACCTTTGATACATGGCCTTGTTTTCCACAGGAAGTGCATTTAAGATTATTCCGATTAGTTTTGCATTCATTAGACTGATGGTTTGATCGACCACATTTGAAAAAAAGTCCATCAATACCCAAAGCTTTGTAGTCAACGTGTCTTTTTAAGCTTTTGTTAGAGAAATGTGATTGAGATCTATTGAAACCGTGATCATCATATTTAGGAGTCTGAATTTGCTTGAATCTTTGATATTCCTTTTTCTTAGACCTTGGATGCCTAACAGTTTTGTGTGTATCTGTTGAATATTACATTTTTAATATTACACCCAACATCATCTAATCTGGATTAATAATAAACCATTATATGTTTTTACATTTTACATATGCAGTTGTTTACTAAATATATTTTCAGTGTTGTGTTTGTAAGACAAAGAGTTTATAACAATATTTCTTTCATTAACTTTAATTTCACCAACAGTATCTACAGTTCCCTTGATGATTGTGTGACTGGATTACAAATTGTATTTGATTCATAGCGGGAAGCTTCTAGGGTAATTGCTTTCTTGAGGAGTGCGTCAAAACTGTTGAGATTAGTGACTTGTAGAAGTTGTTCACGTATCCAATTGTCTTTTAGTCCTCTAATAAATTGAGGGTGTAGAAATTCATCAGCAATTGATATTTTACTTTCACATTCATTGCAAGAAGAGTAAAAATTACAATCATTCAGGTTACCTTTCAGGACTGTGACAAAATCAGAGATAGATTGTTGTAACTGTTGTGAAACACTGGGGAAATAGTGTTGTGCAACAATATGAGATACTGTCAGTGACAACATCACTGTGAAATGTTCGATTAATTTTGAAAAACTTTAAGTCTTTTACAGGGTTATCTGGGCCTAAAAGAGTTGTCAGGTTATTGTAATGTTCCTTACCAATAGATGAGCACAGGAGTTAAGCTTTCATCTTGTCTTCATTAATGTTCTTCAAATTACAATAATTTTCAAAACATTCCAAATATGATTTAAATTTATAATTATAATGATCAAAATGTTCAAAAGGATTGATCTGAGGAGTTGAAGTTTTATTACCTAGAGCTGCAGCCAAAAAAACATTCATGAGCCTTTCAAATTTGTCTTCATTCATTTTAAGTTAATGTTTAACAAAATAAAATATCTTGAAAATAATAGAATAAAACAAGAATTGATACTAGTTTTTTACCAAATCGTCGCCAACTGAGATGACTCGAGTGGAACATTTGAATAGTTAAAGACAGAGTGTTGAAATAAAAGTAAACTGTGTTGTATTAAATCAGAATAGAAAGTAAATAACATTGAATAATAAATATAACTGGTTTGGTTGCTATGGTGACAATTAGCTTCATATAGCACTCGAACTGCTAACACTCACTAAAACACAGTGCTAACACTAGCACTCGAACTGATAACTGTTGTATGATAACAGTTATCATACTTGAGCCTTGTCAATCCCCAACATGTCCTTGTCCCTTTTTTAATTAGATATACTTTCAGGAAGACGATGTGTTTTTATATTTAAGGATGTTAGCCAACCAATCGTCCAAACTCATTCATTCAACTCATTTATTGATAGCTAACCGAAGTTATTCACTTGAAATATTTGACATGTTGAAATTTGCTCTGTTTACCTTTCAGTATCTCACAACAAACCGGGATCGCAGTGACGGTAACCAGAGGCTGTGTCGGAGTGTGGGATTTACAGATTGGCAGACTGATGGCTCAGCTTGCCGACAGTCCGCTGGGAGCCATAGTCACACATGCTCTCATCACACCTGATGGCAAGTACGTTTGACTTGGCGTCCCTCGAGAATAAAAATGTGGGGTCTTATTTTTAGCCTCGTTATTTGCTTATCATAATTTTTCAGTTTCTACTCTTTCAATATACATACATATACATAGCCTATATAACATACAATAAATTTATTTTTCATTTTGTTGAGGATAAAATAACACTAAATAAGGCACAATCTAGTTGGTTATCCATTTCCAACCATTAACCCTAACCGAGGCTGTACATTCTTGTAGATTCATAATCTCGTCAGAGAGTGGGAACATACTGATATGGAACAGGATAACAGGACAGGTGATTTTCAAAGAGGATCAGCCAGGTGTGAGGCAACTCATGTTTCTAGAGGAAGGAACAAAGTTCCTGGCAATCTCCAAACCACCGGTGCCTGTCGGACAGGAGGCTCCAACAAAGAGTGTCGGGTGCGGAATCACCAGGAATATACCAAGTATGCAGCGTATACAATCTTTCTTTGATGGTAGCATATTTTTCGCTTTAGACAATAGACAATTGTCAATAGTTACGGCAGGGCCGGATTTAGCATTTAGGCGCCCCTAGGCCCAAATAATTTTCCGCCCCCTAGTCTGGTCAAAGTTATCATGTTCATAGGCCTAAGTGAATTGCTTGAATACCACTCCTTTTCGGAATTTTGTCATTGCAAGTTTTTTGAAGAATTGACCCATTTAGCCTTAACAAAATGCCGTGTTAAACACTTTTAGCAATCGTATGCTTTTAGTAAATGCTCATGTTTGTGGGACTGAAACAAAACAACTCAATCCACTGAGCATTCTTGCAAAAAACATGGCCATTGATAATTGATTCCAATTTCAGGCCCAAAAACATGAACTCCATACAGTACGTGATACCATAGATGAAACATACTCCTTTAGTAGATTCGTCATCATTATGGATTAGCTGAAAACAATTCTTGTTATATAAACTTAGTTTATACTAAATAAAACGATATAATCATAAACAATAGGTCGTCTCCTAGTTATATTACAAGAAATTAAAACAAATCATAGAACTAACCTAAAAATAATAGAAACAAAAGTACCGTACGTCAAAACTATCGTCCAGTGTCACCAACGTGAACTACACACGAAAAAGAATTTGAATTAACAAAGTGATAGGAAGTCGACTTGAGTTATATTTAATCTATGTTGGTACTGCATCTAGGTTATAGATTTCCAAAGCAATACAGAGCCAAACATATTCCGGCCAACCATACCGATCCTTAGGTCTGAGGAGAAAATTACAGCATTAATGGTGCTTTGGGGGGTATTGAATTAGTCAAAAACCTGTTGCAAACTAAAATTAATATTTTTTTCGTTAATTTTAAAGATAAATTAATCATTTTTTTAAATATTCAACACGACGTATTATATATTTTAACTTGATCCTGCAGATTTTTGTAAACTAATCAAAAGATTAGTCAATAACTTTTGTTTTGTGAGTTATTTGTTTTGAGTGTTTGGTGGTAACAGTGTCTAGCACGCATGCGCCCCTAATTACTCCGATCAATCAGTAGCACCGAGCCAACATAGTGGCAATACGATGCGTACAGTACAGCTCGGGCGCTCGTCAACATCCCTACAGCCTCCCGTACTAATGTTGTAATGAAATTGATGCGTAGTTCAGAAAAAAGTTTAAATCTTCTAACAATTATTTCTTTTCATCAACTTCAGAATCAGAATGCTGTATTAGCGAGCAGAGTTTTTTTTTTTTTTTTTTAAATCAACTATGACTATTTATTTTTATTTTTAGATATACAAAAAATTCTCTCGGCCTTGCGCCCTCTGGGAGCTTGCGCCCATAGGCCCGGGCCTACCGGGCCTATTGGGAAATCCGGCCCTGAGTTACGGTAACTGATTTGTATCTGTGTTTTATCTGTGCCATTGACATTTTTTATGTCTTTGAAAATTATAATCAACGTTTCAAACCTTTGTCAATGAATACAGACCTTGTAAGTAACGAAATGCCCGTGTTAAAATTCAGCCTGGGATTTTTTAATTTTGGTGTTCTCACTTTTCTCATGGCAACCGCTAGACAAAAAAAAAAAAAAAAAAAAAAAAAAAAAAAAAAAAACGCTGCTATTGGCACCTTGTAGTGGCGACAATAGCAGCGTTTTTTACAGCAGTGTGAGTAATACAAAGAATCAGTGTAGAGAGAGAGCCAGAGGCTAGTTCTTACTTGGTGACGGCCTCAGAAAGCTCATTTTGGCGTCAAAATTCAGTTTGACTATTCCCAATAAGACTTCGCCTCTTATTAGGTTTGTGTTCATTGGCTATTTCGGAGGTGAATCCATTCTTAAATATTATATTAAAAAATTAAGCTAGATCAACTCTATCTCTTTTCAAATTAATTTGTAACCAGTCACTTGGCTTTTCCTTTGAAATTGTAAAGAAATTGATACTACCGCAACTTTCCAGGTGGTACTCAGATATATTCCTTTGACTACCCACTCAGAAACATCACAGGTGTGTCTTTCAAACAAGCTGTGATAACTTGCGACGGACAAAACATCGTGGCTTTGGCAGCAGACAAGGGCTCCAGAGAGACTGTTGTGGTGTTTAATGCCAAAACTGGGGCTCCGGGGCCCAAAATACCTCTCAAGGCTGCTGGTGTCAAGGTAAAAAAATAATTTTGAACATGTGAATTTATAATATTTATGATGTATTGTCTATATTTATCTCTTGTACTGTATTTTATGTGAGTATACAAGTATATATTTGCAAAGTGTTGTGAGGCTCAATTTACAAATATATATACTATTTTCATTTTCAGTAATGAAATGATCCTTCCTAAGAAGAACTGAAAACATGTAGCTGACTTAGCCTGTTAGTGGTATTTGTACAGAGGGCTGGATAAAATATACCCTCAGCTAATATGCACATGAAAATCATGGTCATATTATAAGTCACTATCAGTAAACTATGCAATAACTCTACGTGCCACCATCTAAGGTGCACTACCGCGGCAGTACAGCACAGATTTTATATTTCGCCCCTACCATACTTGCTCAAATTTGTTGTATTTCTGTTCTTTGGTAAGTTGATTCTGTATCCTCTAACATATTCTTCCTTTCCTAAGCCAAGCTCAAAAAAATAATAATTAAAAGGTACAGGGTGAGGCAATGAGAACGCTACAATTTGTTTTATCTGTCACATGTTAATTGTTGCAACAATGAATGATCAGCTGTGCTTAAAACATCAATTAAACTATGCCATTTTAGTAAATATTATGCCTGAGGCTATTAACACTGAAATTTTGTTATGGAAACGTATTTATAAAATAGTGGTTCTTGTGCAAAAACCCAGAGATTGTTTGGACCGTATTCCATCCTTTGTCAACATGGCGCTGTTCCAGATTGGAAAACAATGTTGAACTGGGTAAAATTATTTAGGATAATCACTTAAACAAAAAAAAAATAATAATAATAATAATCGGTGGGTGCCGCACAACTCTTTGTACACCAGCAAATGTTAAAAGAATAAGAGTCCCAGTATCTCAAAGTCCGAAGAGATTTGCCAGGAAGCTTTTATTGTTGAAAGCTTTACGTTGGCTAATTTTTTTGGGAGGGGGGGGGGGTTGTTCTATTAAGCTACTTGACGTTCTAGGTTTTTCAAAGTCACCCCACAGATTTGCTTGAACCGAAGCTAAGGATAGTCCAAAAACTAAAGTGATTCCTGAAGAAGTGCTGGAGGAGTATTTGATGGAGTTTCAAGTGGCTAAAAAGGAATGTCAAGTAGGACAATGAAGTCACTTGTAGGATTTTGTTCTCAAGAAATGGAAAAATCACTTTGTTAAGTTAAAATGGCAAAAGATAATCTGTGTTTTGGTATGCTATTTATATCCATAGGGTGAATATTATTGAGTTTGTACTGTTTATAAATTGTATATGAGCTTGGCCCAATTTACACCCTGTATATGAGCTTGGGGCAAGAGTGCGCACTTAACGTTAAACCCCCCAACAAATAGGTCAAATGATTAACAATTGAAACAAAACTAATAGTAAACAATCGTATGTTAGTTGACAACCAAAGTACATTTTATTTTGACAACTACAGTAGACCCTCTCTAATCCGGCACTGCACCACTCCGGCACTCCAGTAATCCGGCGTCTTTTGACGGGAGGTCTTCCGCGATCGCGGCAAAATTCTGATTATCTCCCGCGGCCATGTAGACATCATAATTCTCTCACGTGGTCATGAAAACGCCATCGTCGTCTTGCGCGATCGCGGCAAAATCATTAAAATCTCCCGCGGTCACGGAAAAGTCATCGTCGACATGCGTGATCGCGGCAAATTCATGAACATCACCAGCAGACGTATAGACGTTATCATCGCCTCCCGCGGCCACGGAAACATCATCGTCGTCAAGCACGATCGCGGCAAAATCATGAACATCTCCCGTGGTCATGTAGACATTAATCGTTGTCTTCCGCGGTCGCGGCAAAGATTTTATCATCTCCCGCGGCCGTGTAAACATCAATGTCTACTCCCGCAGTCCCGGAAATGTCATCGTCGACATGCGCGATCGCGGTAAAATCATGAACATCTTCCGCGGTCACGAAAACGTCATCAATTTTATAATTATCTCCCGCAGACGTGTATATGTTATCATTGCCTCCCGCGAATACGTAATTGTCATTTCCGATCGCTGCAATAGCGGTTTCCGATCACGCAAACTTCGGGGACGTGTTTTAATTGCATTTTAAGTGTTTTTAATGATAACATTCCAGTAATCCGGCATTTTCACTAATCCGGCAGTATGGCGGTCCTATATCTGCCGGATTACTGAGAGTCTACTGTATCATTAATGTTTCATTTAAAAAATAATAATGTTACAAAGAGTTACATTTGCAAACTCTTGCCCTGTGGGTACCAACTAGCTCAAGCACAATGTAAAAATTTCCGCTCTGCGTACTTCTTACCCAGTGCGCTCTCTTGCCCCGAGTTACTCTACATAAGCCTAATTTACATTTTTCAGGACGTGTCATTTATGGTGGCAATGCCAAACAAAGCCAACCTTGTTGCCTTGGTCGATGCAGAAAAAGCGACAATATTGGATATAAAAGGCAAGAGAGCTGTCAGGACAGTTCCTAAATGGGGCGGGTGCTGCACTAAAGACGGCAAGTTCGGACTTTATGCCCCGTCTAGAGGCGGACTTGAATTAATCGAACTGAAGAAGGGGAATACTGTGAAGACCTTCATACCTAAAGTAGCTGAAGGAGTCTTTACGGTTATATGTATGTTCAATAAGACTGATGAGTATGTTTTGTACTATCACAGTGGCAAGAAAACATTAAGAGTTTTCAGGTAAATATAATAATTCAAAAATACTTAAAATATCCATAATAATTTATAGCAGCTCAAAATTTAAAATTGTACTTAATTGTAGTTTGTAGAGTTAGTTAAACTGTACTGTGATATTATTTTATTGTAACCCTTTATTATAGCTTATTAATTTTACTATTATCAATCTTATCAACAGGCCTGCTTAGTAAAGTCTTAAAACCATAACACAAAGTCATGGCTTTTGCTAGTCTCTACTCAGCCTTGATAGTACGGAGGTCCATCTCCACCACGACCTCTTTACTGTGCCCATAAGACATAATGCATTTGTTTTACATCTGCACTATAAGAGCACCCAATACAGTAAAACTTCACTAACTCAACAATTTGTGGACCCAGATGTTGGGGGTTGTTGAGTTATCCAGAACAATGAAATTTTAGATGGGTGAATGAATACATAACAGACAAATTTTGACACGTACATTTTTACTTACATGAGTATTTTTACATATTAAACAATTTTCTAAAAAAAAGTTGAATATTAAACAATTACAACTTTAAAAGTCAAACGCATTAGTAAGACGAAGCCAGCTAGACGTGTGCCCTGACAGCTGTTGACTGTCGGTCGAGCTACCGGGTGTCAAGTTAGTGAGGTTTTACTGTAAATGTTGAGTGAATTATTTAAAGCATTATTGAGCTAAGACTTAGGTACCTAAAGTCTGTTTGATTTGGTATTTGCAGAACGTCGGACGCAAAGATGATAGCCAATTTCCGAGTGCAGGCTGAACTGAGTGCCGTGGAGAGTACGGAGGATGGTCGAGCCATCGTGCTGGGGACGGTGGATGGGTGTGTGAGTGCTTTGGCCATAGCAGACCCGGATAAACCAGAAATGAAAGAGTTCCTGGCGGGTTTGCCTTCTAGAGATGAAGAGGTAATACAGTTTTGTCTGTGTCTGTACCAAAGTTATTTTATATGAAAGAGGATTAAATATGTGCAAGAGAATGCAATCGAAACCACTCAATTTTGTGTAAATATACTGGGGATTATTGATGTGTTGAAACAGAATTTCAAATCTCAAAACCACAAAACTTCAGAAAAATTTTGGTTTCGAGAATGTAACAAGTTTTGTGATTCAATACTCAAAACTTCTAACATTAAAAAAGAATTTTCTGAAATAATTTGAATTTAGAGAACGAACAGAATTTGCTCCTTTATGAGCATTTGATGTGTTTGATCTCAGTCGGTAGTTTGTTGCAAATTTTTGGCCCCATATAATGTGGATATGAATGCAAAATGAGTCTATGTTGGACCAGTTTTATAATGATTTGGATCTGGTCAAAAACTAATCATGGTCTGTGGATTTAGGGTTAAAACTTAAAACCATGCAATTAGGTTAATTTAGCTCTGAAAATATATTTAATGTGTTAGCTATTCATATATATTCATATTCTTATTCCTTTTTAATAGTTTTTGTAAATAGGTGGTACAATGAATAGCGCCAATAAAGAGAAATACAACTACAGTGAAAATAGTAAATAATGACAGTTAAAATAATAACAATAAGTCTTTAGCTAAGAATGCAATACAAAATTTAAATAACTTAAATGCTACCTATGCCAGGGAGATGGAGAGCTCTTCCATAGAATAAATAGCTAAATTTAATATACAGGGTTAGTAAAAAGTCTGGAGACCCCCTGTTAATTTTTTAACGGCCCATACTAGAAAAACTAAACTCGGCACACCTTTATGGTTCTGGTAAAAGAAAACCAACAACGCAAACTAGAGGTCTCTATCTCAATCCAGTATAAAATGGCAGCCAATTGAAATTCTCAGAAGTGAAATTTAACTTGCGGCTTTCCAAGTCTGGAGACCCGGGGTAAATTTTGTAACGGATCACACTAGAAAAATTCAACTTTGCACACTTTTATGGCATGTTATGAAGTACTTTTTGGACATAACCGCCACTTGGTGTACATCCCCAAAATGGGGGATTTTGGGGGAAACTCAAAAAAGTAAACGTTAAGCCCCATCGAGTGACCCGTCATTTTGAATATCGTGATAAAAGAAAACTATGTAACACGCAAACTAGAGGTCTCTATCTTAACCCAGTCATATGGCAGTCAATTGAAATCTTCAAAAATCAGAATTAACTTACAATGTTCCTTACGTAACATCAATTGACGGCCACATTTTACTGTGTTAAGATAAAGACCCATAGTTTGCATTGTTAGTTTTCTTTTATCAGGACCTTCAAAATGAGGGGTGGAAAATCCATTAGTCAAACTTTTTCATAAAACTTGAGCCTGTGAGACTAAACAACACCACTTTTTTTCCTAAGGTTATAGGAGTGGCTTGTCGTAGATTTTACACATAAATCTTGTTTTTTGCTATTAGTATGACTTCATATATATATTGTCCATAGACTGTAAACAATTTTAAATTTGTAAAGTGTTCTTTGGCTGAATCTTCCCCCTATAGTTTAAGCATTATCCTGGTAGCTTTTTTCCTGTTTTAAAATAAAATCCATATTTATTTGTTTTGTTGAACCATATAATGCTATGCCGAATAGGATATGGGAATGTACATGAAAACTAAATTTTTTTAGTGTTTGTTTATATTGCAATAAAAAGACATTTTTTAGAACATAAACTCCAGAATTAATCTTTAACAGCATCTTTATACATGCTCATTCCAATTTAGTTGCTTATCCATCGTTGAACCTCGAAAATTGATACTACTTTCCCTGATGTTTAGTGATTTATATGCTAGTGGCGGATCTGAAGATTTTCAGTTTTGTGGGGTTTTAAACATTATGAACTTTGTTTTTTTCAGAATTTAAAATAAGGTTATGAGCATTTACAATAATTATAGTAAAACTGGGAATTCTTTTTCAATAAAATTGTTAATGATCTCTTGTTTTTTTCAGTGGAAGAAGAAACTTGACAGGCAAAAAGCGTCAAAGCGATTCAGAGCTGCGGGTTCCATTGCTAAACTTTGCATCCAGATGTATGAAAATGTTACAAACGCTAATGAAACTGAAGAAACAAAGAATACTGAAGCTGTAGAGGGTGTGGATGAAGAATCTACTCCTGTTGAGGTCAATTGAAACTGAGAGCTGTTTTCATGGATCAGACACTGGGATCCAAGGTTTGGTTTACTTCTTTTAATATTATACATATCTTGTAACCAGTCATTAACCAGATAGTAGAAAATTCAGAATCATCTATTACGACTCCTGCAAAAACCTCTATGGTTTCAATGAAAATTAATTTAAAAAAAAACTTTTAAATGGAAAAACCTTACAAATCATATATGCATGTGTAAATTAATTTACAGCACAACCCCGCTAATCTGTAACCTACAGGATTGGAACCATGATCGGAACAGTGAAAAATATTAAATGGCCAAATTAATAGCTTAACTGACATTTATTGATCGTGGAAGACAATGATAATATTCCCGAGACCATGGGAGATCTAAAATCTTTTGTCAAGATCACGGAGGAGGATGATAAACGTCTGCGTGTTCACAAAAAATGACTATGATGTTTCTGTGATTGCAAGGGATAAACAGCATTTTTGCCGCGATTGCGGGTGACTGTGATGTTCTCCACTTGTCCCTGGAAAATAGTCATGATGTTACCATAGTATCATTGTCTCCGATAGGCGATGGAACGGTCGGATTAGGCGAGTAGTTGGACTGGTCAAGGTCCGATTAGCGGGGTTCTACTGTACAATGATACAGAAAGAAGAAGAAAAAAAACAGGTAGTGTTTTTACTGTCAATAGTGTCAATACACTTGCAGGATATCCTATTTTTATGAAAAAGCATTCTGTTTTACTGAGAAGTCAATAAATAAAAGTGAACTGGTATTTTCACATAGAAAAAAAACTGCATCTTATATGCAATGAACTTTTGAGATGCTTTAAAAATTGGTCGTATAAATAATACAAATATTAATTAATTTTTTTAATTTCCAATACTTGTTCCTATTTCTACTCACGCCTTTTCAATGTAAACGTGGAATAGTTTCCATTGAGTTTTAAATACTTTGGGTGATAAAGATAAGTGAAAACAAACTGACAGTTTCTCTCAATTTGTTATTGCTAATACTCAATCTATTATTTTGAATAGTATTAAATTTGCCCGTAATATGGGAAATTGAATGTGATAATTCTGCGGTGCTTTATATCAGTGTAAAGTAATATGTTGGTTGTTGCATGATTACAATAAGCAAATAAATGTTGATTACTTGGCTATTCTATGGATGTTATTATTATAAAATAAAAAACAAAATGAACAACAGATGTATTCTGATTGAACCTTTACTGATTTATTGAACTGTTTTGTTAATTTAAGGCTAGTAATATTCGTAGTTAAAGATATAAAGCCATTTGGTTCATTAATGATCTTTTGATAAATGATCATAATGGTGGAATCACATTTTTATTACCGATTCAATACACACACAACCACTGAATAAAATTTCCTAGGTAATAAACAACTCTAGGGTGGTAAAATTTATTTTAAGAAACTTACATGAAAGAGTGAAAAGCTTAAGATGTTCAACATCTCAGTAACCATAACAAACTTAGACATTGCACGGAAAACAATTGGAAGAATCAGCTTGAATCCTCAATTAATTGATGTTAACCATTCATAGGAAGACATCCAAGAGCCAAATCATGAATAACAATGGATTTCAAAATTGATTTTTGGAATGTTCAATTAACAACAATTAACGATTACAAATCAACAACAACAACTTTAACAACTTTCTTAGGTATATTCTACCTATCAGTCCAACGGTTTAACAAGGAATAGATTAAATATGTACATCGAACCAATAATGTATTTTGGGAGATTTTCACAGCCTTCAAACCTTTAACACAAACCATTACTTATTATTTTATAAGCTTTCATTCCTGTATTCAGTGTATCAATTGATTGGCTACCAATTGGCTTTGACATTTTGCTAAGAAGCCTTCCTGTGCAGAAATCAAGTTTTTAAAATGATTACCTAAATACTATAAGAACACAAAAGTAACATTTTTCTTAAGAAAAAAAAACACAAAAACTAACAAATTGAAATTCAAGTGGTTTTAAATCTACTTGTAGCTTTTTACAACAAACATTTTCTTGATTACATTTTATATCTTGTAAAGTACTGTTACTGTATATTCTTTTATTTAACTCTTATTTTGGATTTAATTTTAAATATACAGTACTTATACATTTTATCTTTTTATGGATACAAACTTTTGCAATTTTATTCAAACTTGGTAGCCAATCATCTTTACAATTTATTGTTGTACAGTTAAACCCTCAAATTATACCGCAAAATCAAACATCCTCCCTCTCCTGTATTACCTGATATAGTGATGAGTAATGATCAATAAATACAATAATTTGTATCAAAATATCCTTAAAAAATTTTTTTGCCATATTTCCATCATGACATTGATTGATTTTTATAATAAAATATTTAATTCAATTAGTCTATGGTTTATATTTAAAAGTTGAATGTAAAAAAAAACTAATATTACAAAATAAAAGCTACAATCATTGTCAAAAATATATTACAATTAGTTTTCTCGATGCTTAGTTAGTTTATATACCGGTTCATATAAATATACACAACACCCGACATTATTCTCATACAAATTTAACTAGATGTATATATTTATGAAGGCCACTCATTTATTGATTTAGTAATTATTGGTGGGTAAACCCAGTGAAATCCAACTTTTGAAGTTTTAGAATTTTCAATATTTTTTGGGGACTTTGTCTTTTAAAATAAAAATATTCATAAACTATGTAAGATAGCTCACTACGCATAGCAAGGTGCATATTTTAACACTTCAATAATGTTTTTAGGCTCATTCATAAAAACAACAAATTGGAGAGTTAAAATATTAATATACTAATCCAAAGTTTATCTCATTTTTTGAGGAAATCCAAATTTAAATAGGCCTACTGTAACTCAATTTTGTATATAAATAACAAATTAAAATTTTTAAATATGGAAGGACAGTAAAAACAAAATTTAGTAATTTCTCAAAACGTGAGTCTCAAAATTCATACATTTTAATTTTTAACTGGCTAACATTAATTACATACAAATAAATAAACATTTTATTATAACATCAATAAAAAAACCAACAGAGAAAATTCTGTAGCCACAACAAGGGGTCTGACTTAGGGGAGGTACGAATGAGACATTAGTTCAAAATTCCTCCGTGAACAGCGCTGTAGTAGAGAGTACTTTGGCAGAGAAGGTTTACTAATCGCAAAAATAGTTCTGTTCATAAAATAAAATTATAAATGCCTCAAATTCAATTTTATTATTTTTTAATTATAAAATTAAACTATCATAACCTAACCGAACTAACCAAACTTGCTGATAATGAAATAATAGGCTATAACAAAAGTTTATTAATAGAAAAAATAATTCTGTTTATTAAATAAAACTAGAAACTGCTCTACTAAAACTGTCATAACCGAACCAAACCAACCAAACTTGCTGATAATAAAAAAATCTTGGACAAAAAGTTAATGCCACGAGCGGGATTAGAACCCGGGACCTCCGGCATATCAGCCCGGCACGCTAACCATTAGACCACCGAGGCCGATGACTAATGCTTGTTTTGTTACGGTAATGGCGTTCCCTCAGCTAATAAGAAGCCCACAGCTGTCATCGTAGCCTCTTCTATACCTCCCCTGAGTAAATACCCACAACAAGTCAGGCATAATCTTTGCTAAAAGTAGAATATTAACAAACAAACATTTTAATTACTATTGTATAATCAAATATCAACTTTTAGTTTCAAAACATAACAAACAATGCCATAACTGATTAGGTAAGTGAAAAAAATACACACACCTTAATAGGTAATTCAAAACTTAAACAACTAAGTTAATGTAACTCTTTCGTTAGTATAAATGTTGGCGACTTTACTTAGATCATGTTTTGAGTAGCCATAGTACTTCTTTGAAGGCATGTTTATAGTTTTACAATGGAAAGATATACGTCATCATCAACTTTGTTTTCTTAGTACATTACCAATCCATCACATTCAATATCAACTACGGTACTGGTTAAAATTTGCATGTCATTAACACAAGCAAGAAACCCCTGCCATTGTATGAAACTGGGGACTCAATTAGTAGACATAAATAATTGTTTAGTTACAAAATCCATAAAAATAAAGAAATATATGAAACCTTATGAATATAAATCAATGATAACACAGACCTTCTTTATATATGTAATCGTAACCTTCAAATAGTTTTATATTCAATAAGAAAAATTGCTAAATTGCTTAAACGAATATTAATTTTTAATCTTGTACTGAAAAATAACATTCACACAATTTATTACAACCCTCAGCACTGAAAATGTAAACATTATTGTATTTATCATAGGTTAAACTAATCTTACAAGTACCTTTTGTAAAAAAATGTAAAAAATTATCATACAATTTTTTATATGTATCTTTTACGCTAAATCTAAGTTCTTTTTTTTTCCTAACATAAAACTTACATAAACCATCTACTGGGATATGTTAAAAATTGTGATTATTTTATCATCATTTTGTACAAAATTGATGTTCTAAAGTATAAAACTATTTCCTAATTGTGGATCTCCTTAAATCAAAGTCATGAAAAGGGAAAGATTAAGTATATCATTTGGAAGTGGCTTATTTAATTCAATTCAATTGAAGTGATTAAAGGCAATTTTACAGCATAAGTTTTGTAATTTCTGTTACTCCTATTGTAAACTACTTAGCGGATTTTTGTACCCGCAGAATTTGGCTGCCGAATTCATTTACGTTTTTGGTCCTGACTCTTCACACAACTGTTTACCCTGAAAAACGTAGCACTAAAACACTCGGACAACTTGCATAATTCCTCAGCCGTATTCAGCAGCCATATTCAGTAGATAGGAAAACCCACCTTTATCCTCAATCGAACCATGCTTAACATAAGTGTAAGCATTAAGAATTCAAAAATAAGTAACTTACTAATCAGCAGCAAATGGGTAAAACTATTCTTTTTACATTATTGCTTTAACTGTTAACCTTTGAACACATATTCTATTAATTACAGTATCGCACTATCAACAAAACAACCTGCTATCCTCCCTAGCATGACTAATGGAATGCACTAAAATAGAAATATCACAGATAATTACCACAATCGTGGTCTTATAGACATATTCTGAAATTGGTTTCCTTCAGAATTGCTATTAAAAGTATATCAGCAGGTAAGACCATCTTGTAACTACTTAGTAATTCATACTTTTTAGGTGACCCTTTTTCACATAAATAAATGCGTTCTTCGATGGATTCTAAAATATTGCAGATGACAAAAGCTGAATGTTTGTGGTCGATACAGTTTCTGTTTTAGTTTCTGCATACCCTGTTGTTATGCTAACTTAGGGTTGTGAGTTTGTAGAATTGATTTTTCTATAAGCTGTTAGATTTATTTCATTTTCTAAAACCTACAACCTTGTTAAAGAATTTTAATATCAAAATGTGTCTCCTAAAAATGTGATAAATCACTTGGTAGTTACAAAATGGCTTTGTGAGATTCAATCTGTGAGATTACAGAGTCGAGTCTTGTCAAGATGTTTGACTCTTAGGTCGAGGTCTGGCTATAGACCTAGAGGGGGGTTGATGGATGTTGAGGGACGTCATGGACCGTCGAGGCAGTCTATGAGGCGTCAGAGCCGTGGGAGGCAGCTGTATGGGGACCACGGGGGGCTCGGACCCAGCCGGCGACGGTAGCTGAGACACCGGTATCTTCTCCGGTATTGGAAGTTGTATCGGCAACGCCAACGGAGCTGGGGAAATCTCTCCACCCAACTCCGCAGTCAAGTCTAAAACCATTTTTCTCGAAATGTCTAGAGTCTCTTCAACTCCAGCTGCTACCTAGATCAAGAACACTTTATCATTAAAAAAACACTCGAGCGACCTTACAGCTAAGAAGCGAAGCGGAAAGCGAAAGCACTTACAAAATGAGCTGGCAAGTATGAAATCACCTTCATAATCGACTCCGAATCCTGCAGTGCTTGTTTGGCGAGATACCGTTCTCGTTTGATTTTTAATTCCAGACTCTCTGGTATGTCTGGTACGAGTATGTCGATTAAACGACAAATGCCGAACACAACGTGCTGAAAATATCAACAAGTATTAAGAACACATGAATAATGTTACATGAAAGCGTTATTGAATAATCTGATTTAACCATTTTGGTATATTTTATTTACAGTGTATATTTCGACTTCAGACATACAACACAACATTTTACACTAAAATCCTTCATGCACTTAATTTATCTGCATTTGGATTTGTATTTGCAGCTGTTGGGCTTTTCATGCTTAAATGTCTGGAAATAATTTATTATACTGTAATTTAATAACGATGGGTCAGCTAGCTTTATTTGTCAGAAAACTACTTGTTTGGTTAAATTTAGCAAAATTGCAATGAGTATACACAGAAACGCTTCTCCCAATGTCAATTAGAAGTCTTTAAAATCGTGTGAGCATTCCATAGTACATCCCCATTAGGTGATATTTTACTAACACACCTTAAACTGTTCTTTAATGGTCAGAATTCTATTCAACCCTGAATTATTGTTAAAATTATCTGGTAGCTTAGAAGATATCTGCACCAATGTAATAAGTTCACATAACATTCGTTGGAACCCAAAAGCAAAAATGGTAAATGCTCAAGATATTTTTTCTCACCTCGAAAATTATGACAAATGCGAACTGCACCGCAAGCAGTTTCCAGAAGAACGGTGTGTGTTTTCCGTTCTCGTCCCTCAAGCCCCGGTAGCGGCATTGTTGTGACAGTGTGCCATTGGGAGAGTAGGCGAGGGTGAAGTTTATGTACCCCGTCAAGTCCCAGTTGTAGTCATACTGGTACAGCAGCTTGGGGAGGAATTCTGACGTGAAGGCTATTAGGAACCCCTAAAACCAAAACAGTGGACTGTTAGGGGTGGATGATAAAAATTCACATTCATTGTAATTGTGGTTGTTTAAAAATCTTCACATGATCATACTTTGCCTTATTAAATATAATTTTAATTATTTATTTGTTTTTTAAACTAATTAAACTTTCAACTCAACACTGTTACTGTTAGTTGGAGTGAGTATTGTGACAATTGAAGCCACCAACTGAGAAAAATCCGCTCATGTTTGTAACAATTAATCGTAAAAAGCCTATTGCATTATAGAACTTCAACACTGTACATCTTTATTTTAGGTAGTTAGTATTGAAAACAAAGAGAATGTTTTAACAAAATTCCTAGCCATTTCTAAATTCAATTCTGATATGAATTCAGCATAAAGTTCAATACTGTCTTTCATGTTTTGTTGTGTCAAGGAAGATTTTGAAAGAAGCTATAACACAATATTAAAATGGCAACACTACAACAGTATCTAATCTGCTAATCTTACATGCTTTAGAATTACTACTAATACTAAAAATACAGCAAATTTATATTTTAAATAGATATCTGATTTTTTAATAATCATAGTTACATCCGTCATGCTTACTTTTTTGTGGAACTCTCGATGTGAAACAGAGTATAAAGTGAAACCTTGAATTTTGATCAAAGTTTGTATTTGATCTGGTTTGTGAATACAGTATCAAAGATGGTTCAAACACAAAGATGGTTTCTATAGCTGATGCCAAAGCATTACAACAAAATTTAAACTCATCCTACACTCAAAGTACGTAGGTTGGTATGGTCGCCATTTCAGGATAAATTATAAAGAAGCCAAACAAAGAACAAATAAACAGACAATAATCCATGCATAATGTTATGTTCAATTCATTAACATTTAAAAGCAATAAGTTATGAATGTTATCTTACATTACTTATAACGGCTAGGTGCGCAAGCATATGCAGGATTTTGAACCATATTCCAATATTCTCAGCTCTCTCGGCAACGATCCTTCGGTTTTCACAAACAAATTTTTGTGCGTCTAGTCTGATTTCCACCCAATTGTTTAGCAGTGCAAATAACGGAGCCAGGGGGAAAGCTGCTACGAAAATCGTGATGAATCCAAATTGTAAAACTGAAACAAAATCACACGATTAACATGGCTATGTTAGTCATCAATATGACTGAGTAAAATGCTTTGTTCATTCACTATACAAAATTAAACCGTAATATTTTATGAGAAAATAGTGGCTGTAATACATTTGTATAAGATGAGAAAATTGTAATAAATTTAGTTTTCAATTTTCAAATAATAGGCTATGTTTATACCAATAATTAACTTGATGAATTTACTAATTTAATTGGTTTATCATTTGTATAATCTTTTACAACAAAGTCTTTGGTTTAGACACATAGAAGTGAGGTATATAGAAAACTTGCTCTTGGGACAACTGTGCTCTTCAGCTCTAATGTTGTGCGAACATGTATGTATGAGCAAGAGGAAATATACTTGTGACAAGCAAGGAAGAGCCCAAGCATTGAGCACTGTGTGGAAAAGACAGGTTTTACTTTTTATGTAAATGACTTTATATATAGATATTTTTTCTAAATTGTAATTATTTGCTAAATCGTGTTTGTATTTTATATATTTTTAATTAGTAGTTAAATTAAACCTATATTCACTGACACTGTGATAGCATACTTGAAACAAAAAGTCTGTTTGGAGAAGACAAGTTTAATAACAAATATTTACATTGCTCGTACTACAGCAATATTAAGTTTAACCAATGACAATACTTTAACTAAAATAATAAAACAGGCTGTAATGTCTACATTACCACCTTGTCAACTTAAAGTACTACACCATGTAAACTAAGCTATGTAGAACAAAATATTTACCCATTTCTAAGTATTCCTCAAAAAGTCCCTCGTTGTCTACAAGTTGGTAATCCTCTTCCCATCTCGTTTTTGTGTGTTTTTTTGATAGTTTCACCTACACACAAACAATATCATTGCAATATAACAGATAGAGCAAAGCCATAAGTGTTACAGGTTATAAAACTCAGCATGAATATGCAAGCGTATTTCATTTGTGAAATTTTTAGTTAGTCTTTTGAAATAGTGTTTTCCTAACATTTAAATTCAAAAGTCAGTCTGTATTTTCAACATGCTTCAGACTTTCTTCAACAAAGCTCAGCAGCCTATTCACGACCAGTGCTTTCACCTCCTAAAGCTATTTAACCAATTCTTTAACCAGTTTACAGCTCGCTAAGCCATTTCCCTTATTTGATTCAGTATTGGTATGTATACACCCTTATAAAATATCCTTATATATAATATGTGAAGGTGATTTCTACGAAACACACTCTTCCGTTAATAATGGACGGATTTTTACAAACAATGTGTCAAAATTCAGTATTTTTTTTGTGGACGCCCCCTTTCACCAATTCCTGTAGTAAAAGTCCTCGAGCTTTGCCCCACAGGCCATCAAAATCCCAATGTATTTCTTATGAAGAAAATTTACTTCACAAGTTGCATTTCAATCCTGAGAGAAGTCAGTAGCTTTTTGATGGTTCAAAACTGGAATCAAATGCCTCTGATTGCTTTAAATAAACTAAAGAAACAGCTGATATTAATAGTAACAAAGCTACAAAGATCATCTCACACCATTCTACACTCATCATTCATATTTAGCTAAAAATACGCACCTAGGTGTTAGTGTCACTGTAATGAATAGAAGTAAATAAATAATAAAATGAGAGAAGGGGATACTTATAATGACATAGTATTGTAGGTACCCTTTTGCTTTGCCACCAGGCCTTTGCTTTCGGCAGTAAGATTTCTTGAGCATTGTTAATTATTTGTTTTCCTATCATAATGACAGCCAGTTGTTGAGCCAACTCTATAAGACATCCCCCAGCGCTACACTGCAACAAAGAACACACTGTATTTGTACGTGAATTAAAAGTGAATATTCATATTTTATTTCCCTCTGCTGATTAATCATGCTACAAATATATTTAAAATGTAAAGCAACTTAAACAAGCTATAATAAGAAATAGATCGATTAAAGCTGTAATGAAAAAAAGTGTATAGACGCAATTGAAAAAGATTAAAACGTTTATTACATAATTATAATAAATCAAAGTTTTTGTAGATTTTTTTCATCAGTGAATTTTTGTACCTTTTGCACGTTTTACAATAACGAGTAATGTAAAAAGCTAATGTATTGTTGTAATAGCTCTGAGACAGCAACCAATTTTATGTTACCAAACAAAAGAGGCTTAAAACCCTGCTGTCATTTTAGCCAAGAGTATGTACTGTAAAAGCATGTTAGTCTTTAAATGGCATCACTTTCGATTTACAAAATTTGGTTTGAGGGGAAGAGATTCCATACCCGCTACCTTACCCTAACTTAGAAACGACAGTCGACAGGTGTTTCAGCTTCAGCTTCAGCTGATATATAGTTTAAGCCAGTGCTCGATTTGTATAAAGTGAGGTGCCGGAACTGTAACCTATTTAATGTGATTAGTACTTGTAAAATGTACAAATATATACCTTGGCATATATACCAATTTATGCCAATATTTTTATCTTTCCAAAAGAGAGGTACCGGAACTCCGTTCCGCCGCTTTCCTCACAAAACAAGCACTGGTTTAAACTAATAAAACTGGTGGGGAACCCAGGAAACCTTCCCCTTAGACTGCCTAAATTTTGTGAACAGACTATAGTTCATAATACATCTAATCAGGTACTGATTGCTGACCATACAAAATAAACTTTTTAAATTGTTTTTATGTTACTTGTTTATTTAATAGAAATTTACATTACTTACATCTTCATTTCTCAAACTGAGTATGAGAGTGTAATTTCCAGGATAACCTACAAAGCGTCCTTTGAAGAAGGCAATGTAAAATATTGAAGAGTAATAATTGACAAACTGGAAGATGAAGACTTTGAATGTCAGATTGTCATCAAACTCCGTCTGTGTTCGATGCATTTCTGAAAATGAATCAAATGGAAGTTATTATGGAATTTATCAATTAGCATATATCTGTTAAATACACTCTAGATAATTTGCTAGAAAATTTTCACTGGCCCTGGGGGTAGCGGGGCATTGTGCTTTATGAAGATGAACACACATACCGGCGAAACAGCCGGACCTGCCCCTGCCCCCACTCCTCATCAGTCGTGGTTCAACCCTTAAGGGTGGTGGTTATTTTTTATTTTAGCGCAGTGTCCAAGTGGTGTATTTAGTTTTGTTTTGATATTTAGTTTCTATTATTAGTCTGTTTAATTTTCTATATCATCATGGTTGATGTTGATATGGATTTACTTATTAGTTTGGTTCATGAGAAACCAGAACTTTGGGATAGATCTTTGGATATTTACAAAGACAAAAACAAAACGAGGGACAGCTGGAGATATTTTTGTGCCGTGCTGAATCCAGTCTTTGAGGAAATGGAAGAAAGCGAACGAAACAATAAATACAATAAACAATAAATACAGTGTCTCATGTACGTTTCTTGTCCTTGTATTTGCACTCTGATCTTCAATAATAGCTCGTCGATGAAGGGATAGACATTCAAAAATAATTTAAAAAACTTATTTTCCTCATTCCTCAACTGCAATAATAGAGTATAAAATGCTCCATGGAGCTGTCTGTTCTCCAGAATCGGATGAACCCAAATACTTCGGCGGTGTTTTCGTACAGGTATTATACGTTGGTTTTAGCGAATTTCCCATATAGGGAATAAGCTATTACCGTAGTACTCATGGTAAGACCTGGACCGATTTTTTTTTTCGTTTTGAGGTCCCTAGAGGCCAAAAACACCATCCGTTCAAATTCATATATATATATATTTATATATGTATATATATATATATATATGTGTCCGTTAGCGCGATAACTCGAGCAAAAATGATCCGATTTTGATGAAATTTGGTACAAACGTGTAAACCTACGTTTATTCTAACGAGTTCGCGAACCAGCATGATCGGACCACGGGAACGGGGGTTTATGGGGGCTTTTATGGGGTAAAAATGGGTTTTTCCCATTTTTGACCCCAAAAACATAAAATTTTGCAATTTCTTTCTAAACTATTTTGTAGAGCTTAAAAAAACAAATAATTTAGTATATTGAAGCGTTATAATGCGCCTAATGGTTACGGAGAAAATTCCAAAAATTGTAAATTTAAAATTCCCATGTTATTCTTATGGAGAATAAGTAAACTGTTGTAGTTTGCTTGTTTATTAACATATTTTGCCCAAATTTGGAAAATGTTTTTATGTCAACGATACTAACTATTAACTACTAACTATTAAGATTTTACATAAAAAACCCTTTTACCCTCCTTGTTGCAGCAAACCAATGTTTTAAACTGATTCTATTTAAATAGGGAATAAATGTGATATTTTTAAGGAGACATTTTAGTGAAAATCCATTCAGGGAAATGGAAATTCGCTTAGTCTGCAGGTTTGCTGCGGCGGGGGTATTTTTAAATAATGATAAAGTAGGGATAAATGTATACACTGCAGTGAATCATGCGAAGAATAAATGAAGGAAGGGTGTTGAATGATTGAAGAGGATTTGTTAGTAGTTAAAATCATTGAATTCTTCATACCAGGAACATTCAGGACCGTTTTTCTGTCCAGTTTTGAGCCATCATAAAAATTAATCTAAACTTTTTATAGGATTGAACTAACTTAACTATAAATACTTGAACAAGCTTTTAATAACTGGGGTGGTGTAATCCTAAAATCTTTAACACCTAAAGATTGGTTATTATAAGTAGTTTACCAAAAGGTAGTTTACTTTGAAACATAGGTCCTGATATAAACAACAAAATTAAAAACACACAATGTCTTGTATTGGACTTTACTTAACGTATTCATGAAAGGGTAAATTATTGTATGTAATTCTCAGTGTCTGTACCAAGGTCTAATTTTCAAGATAAGCCAGCTTTCTCAATTTCTGAAAACTGAGAATATATTTTATGTTACCTACCCCAAGATGTAAGGCGGTAGGCCAGATTCTCGTACATCCTACTCATTAACATGATAATCACTAAGTTGACCACTGCGCCGGACACATTCGCAATGCTCTGCGCTTGTGAGCGAAACGTGACGTTTTGGAACAGCGGTATCGATATTAAAACTCTGTAGATGATTACAGCAATTATAAATATAATAACTAGTGAAATCTGAAACAAACAAAAAAACACAGTGTCAAATAGGATGTAAATTTATTACCACACTAAGAAGTAAGTAACTGTTTTCTGTAGAAAGTAGTTGTTTACAGAAAGGGACCTTTAAAGTCTGCTGGAGTACAGTGAGTTTACCGATCACACTCACGTGCTTATGGCACTTTTTCAAAAAGGTATAGAGTACATACTCTTTAACACTTACATCCCAACCTTATAACGTAATATACTATTTTAAATTTCATGGAAAATTTTGTCTACTTTTGTTTGATCCAAGGATAAAAGACCCTTTATGGAAAAACTTTTTAAAAACATTAATCTAAAAAATGGTAAAATCTATAAATCAACAAGATATAAGATAAAAAAAATACAATCAACATTAGCAAGGTAAATCTTTGCAGGAAACAAATTCCTAGACATTCCTTCCAGCATTGCTAATAAATACTGTACTGTTTCATATAATTTTTCCCTAGCTGATTCACTTTGTTACTTTACCATTAGGAAGACGATGCCGATCCCAGCGGCCACCCTCTTGGTGCGGAGGGACTTGGGAAAGCTTGGTTCAGGGATGCCTGTCACTGGGTTCCTCTCGTAGAACGGCGCCCGAGCAGCAAACTCTGGTCTGGGACGCTCCTCCTCATCCTTGAACCCCATACAGTCCCAGTGATGAGCTAGAGACGCAGACTTTCTCTTCCAGTACTCCAGGAAGGTCACAGCTGTGAGTCAATTTCTTAGTTAAATTTCAAAGTTGCAAGGGAATGTAAGTGGTGAAAGAATATAAACATTTTCATCCTCTTTAAATCAGTCCTCTTGATACTGAACCACATACAGGGTGGCTGAAAAGTAACTTGCACCCCCACTTAACTTTTCAACCATTTGAGATATTTGAAATCGGTTTGCGGCAACCTTCTTAGATATCAGGGGCTACAATAATATGTTCAATTTTGAAAATTTTGCCCTTAGGGGTAGCGGGGGCAGGGGGTAGCTCAAATTTTTAAATGACAACCATAGTCGAGTTTGGTATCATTTTACAGGTCTTGACGAAACATAAACATTGACATAAAGAAAACCAAAATCGGCTCACTAATAACGAAATGGCGCCCTAAAACGTTTCAAATCCAAATAACCATGAGGGTGGCAAAAAAATTAACTTGCACCCTCTTTAACTTTTTAACTATTTGAGATATTTGAAATCACTTTGCGGCAACTTGTTTGGAAATGAAGGGCTACAATAATTATGGTCAGTTTTAAAATTTTTGCCCTTAGGGGTAGCGGGGGTAGGGGGTAGCTCAAAATTTTCAAATCACAAGTATAGTCGAGTTTGGTATCATTTTACAGGTCTTGACAAAACATAACAAATAACATAAAGAAAATATAAATCGGACCATTAATAACAAAATGACAGCTAAAAATAATTGAGACAATGGTTATTTAAAGTAATTTTGAACTGCCATTTTGTTATTATTGGTCCGATTTCTATTTTCTTTATGTTATTTGTTATGTTTTGTCAAGACCTGTAAAATGATACCAAACTCGACTATACTTGTGATTTGAAAATTTTGAGCAACCCCCTACCCCCGCTACCCCTAAGGGCAAAAATTGTAAAACTGACCATAATTATTGTAGCCCTTCATTTCCAAACAAGTTGCCGCAAAGCGATTTCAAATATCTCAAATAGTTAAAAAGTTAAAGAGGGTGCAAGTGAATTTTTTGCCACCCTCATGGTTATTTGGATTTGAAACGTTTTAGGGCGCCATTTCATTATTAGTGAGATTTTGGTTTTCTTTATGTCAATGTTTATGTTTCGTCAAGACCTGTAAAATGATACCAAACTCGACTATGGTTGTCATTTGAAAATTTTGAGCTACCCCCTACCCCCGCTAGCCCCTAAGGGCAAAATTTTCAAAATTGACCATAATTATTGTAGCCCCTCATATCTAAGAAGGTTGCCGCAAACCGATTTCAAATATCTCAAACGGTTGAAAAGTTAAGTGGGGGTGCAAGTTACTTTTCAGCCACCCTGTATAGACTGTTCTTACCTTATTTTTATTGTTGTCTACGCCGGAGCCATTTTCAGAAGTGTTATCAAAGAGAGTTCACAAAAAATTTTAGGAAAGCGGTCCAAACCCATATCAACCTTTTTCCAAAACCTTTTCCAAACAAATTTCCAAAACCTATTTAAGGTTCTCTATGACTTTGGAGAAAAATGAAATACAAGGTATTTATAAACAAACAATACAACTTTTCCATACCCCTCCCCCGTCCTCTTTCCATGTAACATAACAGTTTTGTAAACACCACATGAAAGAGTGGCTAAAACGGTTTTAATAAGTACCAGTTTCATAATCTAATTGGTTTATATAGATGCTTGGTAAATAATAACAAATAAGAAGTTAGTTGTATATGTATTCCTTCTTATTTTTTCAATCCAAGTGTTTTCCACCCAAAAGCTAAATGAAAGTGACTGTTTATTAAACAACGTAAACTAATAGATTTGGAATATGTATCACTGTTAATAATAAAAGTGGTTATAATCTGTCCAGTCTTACCCCAAAATGAGACGAAGACAGCGTAGAACACAGTGCCAGGGTGGTCAAAGAGGTAAGCAATCTTTGCGTCGTCACAAACATCGCTCAGGTCCCAGTACTTGCAGCCGATCGTCTCATCACATAACGGACACATCTTGTAGCTACCTCGACTGTTGCACACCTGATGAGTGTAAATATTCATGTTATTTTATTGTTTTATTCATGACAAGACATGTGTTTTCATACAAGACAATTTTTCTCTAGATTGTTTTCCACATTACTTCAAATTAGGCCTAGAAGAGGTTGTGATATTACTTCGATAAAATCTAGTTGTGATTAATGGGATTTGAATCCGGGACCTAGGGGACCGAAGTCCCAAGATCTACCAGCTCCATACAAAACAATAGCAGGACTTCCTGGTACATGCACACCACCTCACTCTGGATGAAAAAAAACCCTTATTCAAGAATGCTGTCTTCAACAAACAGCTGTTTGAGGACTTTTAAAGGTTACCAGACATCTGAAGACAGTTTCCTGACGGATCGGCTACTGGACTGAAAAATGTACTCAACCAAGGTGTTTCCCGAATGGAGGAATGCACACTCTACAATCACAATCAATTGGCAAGATCAATGTTGCAATCAATGCCCAAATTGTGTGTGTAGATTCCAGCTACATTTTATATTGTAACTTCAACAAATAGGTTAACTATTGAGCATTGACGCACACTGTACTCAATGTATCCTGACTTTAAGCGTATGTAGTTAACGTTGGTTCCTTAAGAAGTTATGTTATTCTCATAAATTTATAACATTTCTTTTCCATGTTCTAGGTCACTGATAAATAAAAGAGTAGTTGTTTTAAATTACCTTTGTTAAATAAAAAATAAAGGGCAGGTAGTTTTTGCGTTATTTAAGTTTATCCCATGAATAAGGGAAATATGAAATATTAAAATTTCAAAAATTGAGGTGATTGGATTGTTTATTGGTTCTAGAGGAACATTATCAAAATTTTTTGTGAACTTTTGGAAACAATATGATTTGGACAGATCCTTTTTGAAAATTATTATTCATGAAACATTAAGAGGTTCTTTGACCATAATGAGAAATCATCTATATGGCAAACATCAAAATTAATCAGTCTTATAGCTGTATAACTTAATCCTTCGATATTTTATGTGTACTATTTTTCTGTGTCATTGGCAACCTTATTTTTTATGGCAGAGGTATTTATTTTTATAAATAAATTCTTTTCTCTGTTAGAAAGTAAAATAATTCTTTCCCTAGAGTTCAGAATTAATGCTAACCAACAAGAATCCTCTATTTAAATAAGAAATTAAGGAATATACAAAATCAAAAACATTTTAAAATCCTGTAAATGTTGGATGATTTCAAAATTCTGTACCTACATTTACTAGAAATATTCAAGTTCAATTTGATCAAAGTAAATCAAAACCTCCTTTAATTTTTGAATTGATCATTTTAGTCTTTGGCTTTAATTTAGACTTGACACAAATGTGGAATAAGTAGTTACCTCTACAGCCAGTCTGTTATTGTGCATGGTGAACACTCCGTACATGAACACCACGACCCCTACTAGAGCTGCTGGTAGCAGCCATCCTGTATAGAAACCTGTAATAAACATAAAACAATATTTTTAATAAACGTTTTCCAAATTATTAATATTGTAATGTAAAGTCGTTAAAACCGATTAAAATGTCCGCACACTTTAAATTTGGTTTGTTATCAATTATTTACTTAACTGTCACATGTTTCTATGCCAGCTTTTTGGAGTAACAAGGTCATGTTTTGATTAAGTAATTAAAGCGTAAAATGGAATGTGTGATTTTAAGGGTTGTTTTGGTAATACATTTTTCCTGCGGGTGCATTATCCAACATAAAATAGATATACTAATTAGCTGATAAGCAGTAGTCTAGTCTGTATGTTGTTTATGTTGTAATAGTAATACAGGGACACAAACAATATCCTCAATTATATAATGTATTAGCTGTAACCCGCGGGCTTTGCCCCGTTTAACTTCTCAATTTTCAAGATGATCTCGTTCGCATGGCTCAATCACGTCCTGGTTGAAGTTCGTTCGCTACGCTCACTCACCTTTAGGTTAGAGCTCGTTCGCTACGCTAACTCGCCTCCAGTTTGAAGTTCGTTCGCTATGCTCACTCACCTTTTGGTTGCAAATTAGCTGTTGTCATAAATATAAAAGAAATAATAGTGCTGCACCCTGTTGGTAATCCTTGTAACTTTAATGCTATTGAACATCATAGAACAGAACCAACTTGTTTAATTGAAACAGCTGTTAAGATTCATTAATTCCATTTCTCATAAGGTTAACATGGGAAACTCCAGAGCCACTGGGGCGGAGCCGATTGGACGGATCACGAAATCGATGGTGTATAAACCTATTCCATGAAATTCTACACGTATGTACCAAGTTTCGTGGCAATCGGTTCAGCGGTGTCTGAGTTTATCACTGCCAAATATACAAACATCCTCTTTTATACTTATAGATTGTAGATATAATTATAGTATTACTAGCAGCTTGCGTCACTTCGTGACTTCAAAATCTTTGATATATTTGGTATATTTGCATTGCGTGCCCTATTATTTTTATTGCGTACGCGATCTCTTCGAGGCATAAAATTACAAATGCTAATGAAAAATACTATGAAAACACTAAATCTAACAAAAAAATTCTTTCTTTACATTAAAACATAAATCAAATATACAGTACTATGAAAACAAAATATCCTAACACAACACAAAATCCAACGTAAGTAGTTTTCTCTTTTACATTTTATACAATTAGCATTACAATATTTTACTTGAATTCACTGAAACATCACCAACTACAGGTAACCCCATTTTCGTATAAATGTAAACAAAATGTTATTATGGCCATCTTTTTTTATGTAAACAAAAGTAAACTTGAAACGGTTCAGATGATTAACAACAGATTTCAGCACACTCTGAAATTTTAAAAGCCTGTAGTAAAAAGGGCTTTCACCATAAATCATCCAAACCCGGAAAAGGCACATCTAGAGAATAAGAGCTTTAAATTTATACCCAACTAGCTGGCCCGACAGACGTCGTCCTGTCCTAATGTGGTTTTATGTCAAATGCTCGTTCATTTTCAAGATGAGCTCGTTCGCATGGCTCAATCACGTCCTGGTTGAAGTTTGTTCGCTACGCTCACTCACTTTTAGGTTGGAGCTCGTTCGCTGCGCTCACTTGCCTTCAGGTTAGCTCGTTCGCTACGCTAACTCGCCACCATAATTTTTGGTTGCAAATTAGCTGTTGACATAAATTTAAAAAATAATAGTGCTGCACCCTGTTGGTAAACCTATTAACTTTTTAATGCTATTGAACATCACAGGATCAAATTGTTTAGTTGAACCAGCTGTTAAGATTCTATAATTACATTTAAATATGTTTACTCAAGGTTAACATGACAAACTCCAGAGCCACTGGGGCGGAGCCCTTTTGGCGGATCTGCACTAAACTTCACACAAACCATCCTTGAATAATGCTTAATAATGCCTGAAAGTTTCATTACAATCTGTCAAGCGGTTTCGGAGTCCATAAAGGACAAACAAACAAACAAACATACATACATTGGATTTTATATATATAGATAGATATGCTTATAAAAATAAATATTTAGGAGTTGATTTGACACATTCATTTAACACTTATCATTCACTAAACTTTTACAAAACTATGTATCCTGGCATGTTCTTGCTGTATTTTCAACATAAGAAAGCTACCTACTTAAATGAAAGTGACATTATTGATCTTTTAAATTCCCTTCTAGAACTATCATTCTAATTTATTACATTACATCATTTATTTGTTTATCAGAGGTTTGATAAAAGATACCCACCTAGCCAAGCAAAGTAGATAGCAATCTTCTCGCCGAAGTATTCCCTGATGTGGTCCAAAGGTTGGTACTTGTACCATTTGCCCCAGCGAGCCCAGTATTCGTAAAGCACTTGGCGAGGATTGAGAGGTACCTCGGCACCTTTGGAAGTCTTACATTCGTAGGGTCCCTGAAAAAAAGACAGCAAACAGGGGTACAAAAACGAATAAGAAATGATTTGTTTGGAGTGACAAACAAAATATGAACATATTTTGATCATATTTGGAAAATACATTAATTTCTTACTAAACTACAGTACCTTTTAAAATTTTACATAAAAAAAACTTTTTTACCCTCCCTGTTGCAGCAAACCTAAGTACTCGTTAAACTAATTCTGTTTAAATAGGAAATAAATGTGATATTTTTAAGGAGACATTTTAGTGTAAATCCAATCAGGCAAATGGAAATTCGCTAAGTCTGCAGGTTTGCTGCGGCGGGGGTATTTTGTAACGTTAATGAAAAGCTCTGTAACATTACTCAAAGTTTAATTGTTATATTAAAACTATTTGTCAATTGTATCTCAGTGTTCGTAATTTGTGTCATGAAGAATCAAACCCCGCTTATGTTATCGTCCACTAACGGAACACTCAACTCTTATTGAAGGTGAGACGACCGCAACAGTCCACTCCATCCACTCCACACACGCTACCGAAAATTTACAAATGCATTTATTTTGCCTTTATCACATACTTGGAATTTTGCAACTGATACTTGGAAATGGCATACTGATATAATTGTAAAATACACAAGAATACATGGTTTCACATTTTAATCTCCAACCCTTACACTAAAACCAAACAGATTTTTTACTATTTAATTTTTAAATGCCACTACGAATTATGGATGAAGTTTAACTTCCCATTGTCTTCCAACTTCCAACTTACATCATGTAGAGGAAATGCTGAAGAAAAGACACCTTCATCCACCAGTCTATCAATTCCAACTTCACCTTTCTTCTTTTTTCCGAAAATTGCAGTTGATAGAATTTCATAAACTATTCTACTTCGTTGTACGTTGCTGAAGAAAGTATCCCTATTCTCACTGCCAAGAAACCTGGAAACAAACATGTTATGTACTTTAGAGGGTTTCCACCCAATAGGTATATACTGTAGGTATATTGAACAATTTGATATTTAAATGTAATAAAATTGATATAAGTATGTTAAGGTTCTAACTATAAAGGAATTTGCACCACAAGAACAAGTGAAGATATACGACCAGACCACATAAGACCAACAACGATCGTTGAGATACCTACTACTTCAAGATATGAGTTCTTCAATAATTTCAGATGAACCATCATCGCAATGGGGAAACCGCTGAGCAATTTATCAGTGTAGTCTGATTGGTTGCACTCAGTTAATTGACACCCAGTTGGATAATCATTGATGGAGGGAAAATATCGGAGGAATGAGAATGACAGCTTATTGATGGCTATCTTCACGAGCTGCTGTCAATTTGAACTAATTTGGTTTTTGCAAATAAATAACTATTTTTTTCATAATCCATTCTAGTATAATAATTTGGAAATGAATGCACAGTTAATCTGTTACTTGCATCCAATGGTTTGTTTGTTTGTCCATCCAAACTAAGTATTTTACTGTGTTTTTTTATATAAAAACCTAAAATTATTAATAATATAATGTAAGAAAACTATAAACTTGTCATAGTACTCAACAATTGATTTAAAAAGAAAATAAGCATTTTCAATAATAAAGAGTGCAGTTTTATATATAAATACTATATGAATTGTATAAGTTTATATTTATTTATAAACCATATCTTGCCTGAATCTATTTTACTTTTTGTCACTGTAAGTTGTGACAAAGACACAACGATTTTTAACTCCTAAGAAAGAGTAACTTAATAAAATACCAATGAAAGAGCAACTCTACGACAAATTTAATTATCAATTAATGAAATTCGGAAGTCTAAATTTAAAATTCAGCTCAGAATCTGGAGAGCTAACGAGGCAACGCCGCTGCTCCGTACAAACACGAAACTGACAAGAATAACAAGGCGTACGTGCGACAACTCTCAAACCTACGACACTTTCACTCCTACAGCGCAAATACCTTTTTGTAGCTGACAATGCCATCACTATCCCTTAAACGTCATAATATCGTCTCGAAAAATAATTACAAATAATAATACTCTTGAATTTTGGACACTAAAGTACACATCTCATCAATATAGACCACATGTTGCCCAACATTTTATAAAAAAAAACATAGTTTAATGAGCAACTCACATAGTGTTCATAGTCTAAAATAATATTTTTCTTCCTTATTTTTTATATGGTTTATGTGTTTTTGTTATAGTTTATGTGACAAAAAAGAAGCTATATAGTGTACAATAAAGGCAATGCATGAGTAAAAAAATGTAAATTGACTTGTGCTCCTTACATTGAAGATCAAGAAACTAGTATTGTAAGAACAAGTGTTTTAAATATATAATCATGTACAGGAGAGAGGAACGAAAGCAATAAATACTACTAACTAAATTTTCCAATGTTTCTGTGTACCTTTTCGATTAGATTTTAGCTAGCTACACTAATTATTTTAATAATAGTTTAAAAATGAAAAGCCTAGCCTCTTTACTATCAACAATAATGTATATCTTCTATATATTAATAGGCAAGCATGTTTCTTTAAAACCTTTTTTTCGTGATTTTTCCATCGCAGGGAAAATCTATGCATATTGTTAGAAAGATATTTTCTTGTAGCTGTGCAGAATCCCTTTAGGCTAAAAAATAAGCACAAAAAATGAACTTTAATTTGTTTTAAATTAGCAAGGGACTAATGGGTTGACATGCTGGTGACGAAATAACAACAAAATATAAACAGAAAATCAAAACAAATGAAAAAAATTCCAATCACATTTTATTTACAGCTTGGGGATAAACATAGAGAAGTCTGTAAGTTACATTACATATTTATGGTCGAGCTTTCGACCACTGGACGATCTCTATAGTAACACTTATTCTGTCTTTTCAGACAACTAAGCTTCCCTTAAAAATGACACTAGCAAGCTTCAGCTCAAAAGGATGTAAAAATCTTCAGATTATTTTAATTTGTTGTGGGTAAAACTGTGTTTTTAAATAACAGGGACTTTGTATTAAATGCAATTAAAATTTCCAGTACAATATTGCAAACTACACTTAAGATTTTATCTGTTGGATCGATTACTCTAAACTAATACAGTAATTCATAATCACCTATACAGGGTGTTTTTTTAAAAACTTGCATCTTTATTTATGTAAAAACCGCAATAGATAGAAATATGCAGTTTGCGGGAATCATCTATTGACGTAGGGGGACCAATTGTTTTGAATTCAACGTTACATTCACATTCCCCCCCTTTCCCCCCCTGCCCCCAACTTAATTTTTTTAAATAGCAAGGTACCCCTTGTGACATATCAAATAAAAGAGCATGAAAAAAGAAAATGTTTGATGAAAAAAAATTGAAAATCGGTTCATAAATTTGTGAGATATTCCCCCCCTCACCCCCCGGAACTTAATTTTTTTTAATAGCAAAGTACCCCTTGTGACATATCAAATGAAAGAGCATGAAAAAAGAAAATTTTTGGTGAAAAAAAAATTAAAATCGGCTCATGAATTTGTGAGATAATCACCCCCCTTTTCCCCTACCCATAACTTGTTTTTTAATAGCAAGGTACCCGCCCTTGTGACATATCAAATGAAAAATAAATTTCACCAAACATTTTCTTTTTTCATGCTCTTTCTTTTGATATGTCACAAGGGGTACTTTGCTATTAAAAAAAATTAAGTTCCGGGGGGGTGAGGGGGGGAATATCTCACAAATTTATGAACCGATTTTCAATTTTTTTTCATCAAACATTTTCTTTTTTCATGCTCTTTTATTTGATATGTCACAAGGGGTACCTTGCTATTTAAAAAAATTAAGTTGGGGGCAGGGGGGTAAAGGGGGGGAATGTGAATGTAACGTTGAATTCAAAACAATTGGTCCCCCTACGTCAATAGATGATTCCCGCAAACTGCATATTTCTATCTATTGCGGTTTTTACATAAATAAAGATGCAAGTTTTTAAAAAAACACCCTGTATATCGCCACTATTAGTAATTATTTATCAGATACTTTCAATTGATATTCCATGTTAAGAATCCAAGTTTTTCATTCAATCACGGGTTTCACAATTTTTAATAGCATGTAAACAAGGCTAATAAATATCTCTATGACATTATTGGACGCATTATTGATGGGAAATCGAACAAGGAATTTAATATAGGAATGTGTATTGTGGAGATTTTGCAAAGATTGAAAAGAGCATCAATATGTTGAAGAGGGAAGAAAGGGCTGAGTGGCGTATTCAACCTCCTCTACACCCCCTCCCATCATTCCTCTTCCCTATGTCATCCCTTGCCGCCTCTGGGTCCTCCTCTCTAGCAAGGTCGACAGTTTGTGAGTAGTTCTACCTCATCCCCTAAGAACTCTCACTGAATGACTTCTTTAATGGTTGCATTCTCCTTTAAATACTGTGTACATCATATTAGGGGAGATAAAATCTTACATACACACTAATTAACTCCTAAGAAATGGATTCACAAGGTGTACTTAATCTTCTATTTTGTTAAGAAAACCTATGATAACCACATAGATTAATGAAACCTAATGATGCGATTGGGAAAAATGCACGTGAATACTTTTGAACCTGAAAGAGTTATTTATGATGTACATCACAAAGAAATGTGAACTTGAACATCCTAAAATACAGAGGGAAAGCTTGGTTTTGTTTAACATCTCTTTGGATACTATGGTTTACTAGTTTCAGAAAACTTGCTAAGCAGCATCAGAAATTTGTTTGAATCTTTATAGACATAAACAATGTGCCTGTGGAATTATTAGAACAGTTGGCTGAAAATTTAGTAATCAATTGCGATGCAAATTAAATTTTTCCAAGCGAATTAAATTATCTAACCACATAAAATTATAATTAACTACATATAACCAAAAAAGGGATAGTTAATCCTATCTCCACAGCTATACACTGTTCACAAAATTTAGGTGGATTAAGGGAGGAAATCTATCCGCTCAAATGATCCTACCGTAAAAACAACAGCTGGGGATAGCCAAAACATTATTCAGCTGCAAACGTATACATTAGACAAAAAATAATGAGGGAACTTCCCCTAAAACCGCCAACATTTCATGAATGGCATATAAATATATTGCATGCTAAACAATGTTAAGTTAATACTAACAATCCCTATGGTTTTATAAAAAAAATATAATAATAAAACTAAAGAACCACTCCCAGAGAGTAGAACGGGTAACAGCTTGTGGAATATGATTTCAATGTATTTCTTACTTAAAGTTTTTCTTTTTTTTGCTTTAGCTACAGGAGAATACGATACAGTGTGACAGTGTTTATTAATAAATAATTCATGTTGCAGTAGATAAATTCGCCAGACTCACCCTGTCACACCACCATTGTAATGTAATAATTGATTTATAACCGCTTGTTCAATCTCAGAGGGTGTAAATCGTGGGATGTTACTGACTCGTAAATCAGTCAATCTTGTTAAAAGTGTGTACTTGACTTTACGCTTCTTAGCTTGTAAACTACTAGATAAAATCTTAGCTTTTATATAAGTTAAAGTTATATTACCATTAGAAGAAAAATAAATTATAAAAAATTGTATTTGTGCAATTTTTGTTTTTCCATTTCATAGAAATTTGTAATGAGACAAAAATTTAATTTTTTTCGTGGTTCACCTTTTGTGTAACCAAATATTGTTGGTTATGGATGGAAAATATGTATAATAGTTCCATAAAAGTATTTCCTGACCAAAATTACACATAGCTGTGAAGAAAAAAGTTACCGGTGTTTATAATCAAGATTTATTCTTAATATTGTATTCTATTTCATTCGTAATTATATCTCTAATTGTGTTTCAACAACTACTGTATATGAATCTCAATTGTCTGTGTTGAAAAGTTATTTTCTGAATAGGTAACTATACAAGCATAAGGTTAACTAACTAATTTGTAAGGATGCAAACCATTACACATTTCTTAAACATTTATGCAGTATTCACTAGTGCAGTTTGTTGTTTTATAAAATATAATCTATTATATTTGTTAGATTTGTATCATAGCTTCATCTAATAAAAAGCCGCGGCGTTGGTGTGTGGCAAATCAATATATTTATATATATCGATGGTGGCAACGTGTCACCGGCCGGCCTATATTGCTAATAACCGTGATGACACATGTAAAAACATAACATAAACAGTGTGCAGCCACTCCATTATGAATTAGTGCAACAGCTGTTTTGGTAGGCCGGGATTGCGGTGTTGCCACTTTGGTCTCGCCGCGGCATTGTATTAGAGGAGGCTATGCCAGGTACTGTAATACGTTACCTGTCAATCTTTGATTTCCTAAATGGACAGGTGTAAAAATCCAAGGGCTTGCACGGAACATCTTCGTACATGATGTTTGGCAACTTCAAGGCTTTCAGTGCAATCTCAGACCAGTTAACGGAAGGGTTGGGATGTGCCTGGTTATAAACAGTTCAACATTAGAGAAAATAGTAAACAACTAAACATTTTCAAAATTTCCACAGAAGGTTTCTACGTTAAAACAGGCATATTTTGATATACCTGTTATTTGTGAGGTGGGGTTTATCCTCTTTGAAATAAACAGGAAAATGAAAAATGTTCTTGAATGGAATCAATTTTCTTAAACCAATTTAAAAATCACATCATGCATGAAAGATAATGAAACTGACATGAGCTTCTAGTTTGATCGTGCAATGTAATGTTTCAAAAGACCTTTAAGTTCAATTGTCTATAAAGTACTTGTACTTAATTTTCTGTAAATAGGAAACTAGATTGAAACTTAAGTAGATATTGTTGTCGGTATTTTTGACAAAGGAATGTAAAATTAAATCATATAAAAGTTAGTTTGGGAGTCTGAATTGTGCACTAAAACATTGTAAAACATTGGTAGGCCTATTAGTATACTTTTCAAGGAAATATAAAAATACTTCATTGTCTTTTATTAAATCCTGATTTAGATTGTCGATTAAGTCCCAAGGTTTATTAAAGTAAAATACAGTAGTTGGTATGATGCTGGAAATCAAACATTTGTCTATGTCTACAATAAATAGTTGATACTCGAAAGAGAAATATAGAAAAATGTCACTGTGTGACACTATTGAATCATAACTAAACTTAAGAATGAAAAATATTAGTAAATCAGAAATATTTCCAACTGAGTAAAAAATCTATGTCGCTAACTATTTACTCTGAAGATATATTGTTATAGCTACACTAAGTATAAGAATATCAAGTGTCTCCTAAGCTTATTCTAAAGAGTGGTAACAATTAAAAAGTTAAAAGTTGAAGAGGTACTAATTGATAGAAAATATTTTACCTTTACCTAAAATACAATATACACCAAATTTACAATCTAACCAATTATAAATTATAATTCATGCCAGACTTGCGCTCTCCTGTAAAAGGGTGCGTTCACAAAGAAAGCTTGTTGCAAGCGCTTGTTGGCAAGCGCTTGCAAGCTCGAACCGGCGTGAGAAAAGTCAACATGGTATCAAACGTGTGCGTTCACAGACAAAGCTTGTACCGGCTAGCAAGTGCTTGTTACAAGCTCTGACAAGCACGCAAGAACGTTTCGTACTTGTTTTCCGGCACTTGTTGACCGAACCAGTCAGTTACAAACTACTAACAGTGCAGTTTGGATGTCGATGAGTTGATAGCTCAAGTATTTAGAGCTTCCAATTTACAAAAAAATACATTATCCACGCATTGTGGTTGTCCCTAGAATGTTCAATAACGTAACCAATAGGACAAATATAACATATAATTATGTATTAAGATGAAAGACTAACACATTGAATTCAATATTAATTCAGCGTTGGATTCTTTATAGATGAAACTTGTATACTTTTACTTTATTTACCTAGAAAATTAAAACATTTGAATATTAACAACATATTTGTAATTAAACAGCTACATAGGGTGTTTAAAACTCCCTTAAAGTATTTTTTAGGTTTTTATTATTGGTACAAAATTCGTTCTAGTGCATGGATAGGTTGCTTATGCCAATTCCCCCCCAAAACTTCACTAAAACACTTTAAATTTTTTTGAGGATGTAATTAAACGTAGTTAACTCCATTCTCATATAAGAAAAAAACCTCACTTTGTCCAAGTTCAATTGAGGAAATAGATGGTTTTCCCCGAACCTACCTCTTCCACGGCTAGTTACATGAACACCTACTTTCCTTCTGCGAATCTTTAATTCTACATTTTAAATCAAAAGTAACTCTTCATCACTTAAAAAAGATATTGTCTCAACCAGAGCTGAGACGTTGAGCTTGAAATGCAAGCGTTTGTTGTGAACACACAACACCATTCTCAAGCGCTTGGAACAAGCGCTGAAAGTAAGTTACTTGTAACCAGCTTTCTTTGTGAACGCACCCTAAGCCTGTAGGTCTCCAGCGCTAGCAATTTATTTGCTTGTCTACAAATAAAAATAAATATTTAAAAGAACTATAAAATCTCGTATTGAAATGCACAAACTAATCGATAAACATAAAGTTCGACACATTAGAACCAAGCAGACGCACTTTTGCAGAAGCATATTCACATTTAGTGTTTTAGTTTACTTTTAGCAAAGAACAAGTTCTAAAATACATATGAATGTGTCGAACTGTGAAGCTTACCTTCACCATAATATGGGACTGTGGGCCAAACAACTCAATCAGGCTTAGACACTCAATAACTCAAAAAAGTAAAAACCCTTTTGTTTGTTGATGTTGAAACAATTAATCAGTGAGATTGCATTGATGCTGCAAAGAGAACACAATCACATTTACAAATTGATACGCCCATCTGTTTCAATGTTTTGTCTGAGTTTATTACTAACAAAGCTAAATAAAGCTTTTGTTCTTTATTTAGTCTAGCCTTTGCAATAACAAAGCAAAATAAGGCTGTCGTTATTTATTTATCTATATAATTAATACGCTACATGAAACTTTGTCGGTTGAACTCCTCCGCCATTTCTTAACCGATTTTATCCATTGACGTCTCATTGGAAAGAGCGTGTCGCGTAGATTTGCAAACTGGCCTTACATTTTTGAAAGCGTCCCTTGGGCTCTGCCCCGGTGGCTTTGAAAGTTCCCATGTTATCCTTATAGAGAACATAATTGTTTACATTTTGATCAGCTGTATAATTTAATTGCTGTTATTTATTTTTCAATTCAATGAAACGCATTGAGTACATTTATTTGATATTTGATTTTGTGTAAACATAACCCCCAAGACGGATCGTGTTAGTATGGTTGTATCTAAAATTTGTGTATTTATCGTTGTTTTGTGTCGCTATGACGGATCGTGTTAGCATGATTGTAATTTAAATTTGTGCGTTTATCGTTGTTTTGTGTAGCTATAATTTGTTTATTTGTTGTTTTTTCTTTTAAATGCCTCCGACGCGACTATAACGAAACATAGACAGGAGACGTAATCGTGAGTTCTTTTCTGTTATCCAAGCATCGTCGGAATTTAAACATTGATTGTGATTCCTTAAACGCCATTGGACTCAGGAAATATAGCAAATGTGGAACAATAGAGGTGAAACTATTATTTATCCCCCCAAAACTGATAGGCTAAAGAGTTCTGTCATCATCTGGTTAATATTATTCAGTCTTCCGGATAGCCAAATCAATTCAATCTTTTTCACCACACTACGATGTTTTCAGCAGTTTTAAAAACGATTATTGGAGGTCGAAAGCTCTGATTGCTGGTATTGCTTGTCCATGCCAGCTGTCATCGTTTTTGGAGACCTAGCAGATTTTTAGGCCTTGCCTAGGCCCGAAAACCAGCTGTTTGCTTATCTATATATAAAGTCCAAAGTACCTATGAACTTTTGAGAAAACTACAAGTCACACCCCCATAACCAAACTTAAAATGTTCGTCATGACGAGAAACCTTGCTCAAAACTATCCATTATGTCATAAATTACCCTTTAAGGTCGTAACTCCTTTCTAAAGGGAACTTTTCATAATCTAATGTTAAAAATACCTCAGCTGCTGTACTTATTTGTTTGTTATTCTTTCAATTTATTACCTTATTAAAATCAGGTGTGATTATAGTTTCTTTTACTGTATTTTGTTTATTTCAGGTTAACTTAACCTTAATACTTCTGGGGCCCTATTTTTGAAATGGTTGACTGTTGAGTTGAGTGTCGAGTCATTCTATTTCCAATCGTTTCGTATTTTTGAAACGGTTGACGGTGGACTTATACAACCAAAACTACTCAACACCTATCGAGCTGTTGAGTGGAGGTTGACTGCACTTTCTTCTTCCTCTCTTTCGGCAAAAAATTACTCTTTTTGAGACGACGCCATATTGTTTTGTTATTGCTTTAATTTACTAATTGCGATTTAGAGGTTATGTATTTGTTGTCAATGTATTAGCACCCAATTATGCGATTGTTTTCTGTAGAATAATTGCATTTTAATTTTATTTACTGTGTCAATACTAGACTATTTAATCAAGGGTTTTATTCTTGTTGGAATGTTTGAAATAGACTAGGCATACTAATTGAACTTATTATAAGATAATTAATTGTTATTAGACCTATGATTTATTAAGGATTGTGGTAGAGAGAAACAATATCATAGTTTGTTTGAATAGGCTACCATTCGCCTAATAAAGGGATCAAATTAATTTAAGTTACGATATGCTTTCAGTGCAATGGCAAATAGCCGCTTTAACCTAAATAAAAAAACAATTAAAAATATTATAAAACAACCCGATGAAGGAAACTAAAATAAGGTGATGTGTTCCGAAATAGAGACGAAGAAAGCAAATAATAATGTATTTAGGATGAGTGTAGGACCTAAAGTAAAGTGCAGCCTATGCCTAAACTTTTAATTAGCTACACCCTAAAACAAACATCCATAGTAAATTTTATTTTTTATACTTAAGTTTATTACTTTATTTAGTTTACTTTAGTTAATTACTTAAGTTAAGGTACTTTGCAATCACTAAGATTAAGCAAGACATAACCTCAATCTCAATCTCTCAAGAACGGAGTTGACAGTTTACCTCAGTGTCTCGAAATATGGCAGATTGAGATTAGCTGCCAGATTTTAGAGTAAGAAGAGGTTAAATCGAAGTCCGCAAGAACTCTGCATTGTGATTGGTTCAAAATGACGTCATCTGAATTTTTGACGGTCGTATGCTCTACATTTCCACCACGAGTCTCTCAACTAGTGATCCCCAACTCGCTTCCCAACTGTTGGGTTTCAAAAATACCAAATCATGTTGTTGGTTGAGTTGAGTGCTGACGATTGACTCAACTGTCAACCATTTCAAAAATAGGGCCCCTGATGTCAAACGGGGTGAAGCCCGTGGGTAACAGCTAGTTTACTTAAAACATTTTTACAGCACTTTTTTACTGTTTGTCATACATAGGTTCTCATGATTAACTTTTAACAAATTACATACCTAGGGCATAGATCCAAGGAAAGATGTGAAATTTGTGTCTTTAAAATTGTGCCTTTCAAAATTCAAAACACAGCTAAAACTTGAATTTATAAATACAAACTGTTACAGCATAAAAAAGTTCATAGCACGTTTTACAAGCTCAAATGTGTAATTATTGTAAATCAAAGAATTTTCTAATATTAATTTTGTATTGACCTGGCTAATGCAAAATGTGTTGTTAATTTGGCGAAATAAAAGATTTGATTGTACTCCTAGTTACAATGGCCATTTTTGTAGAACGTGACAGGCAAATTGGTCCAGTAGTATTTGCATCATAACGAGGAAGGACAAAGAGATATTACATTACTATCGATATAAAATGATTAAGTTACATTCTCTCACCTGTAGAGGGGCCCTCATATTCAGTTCCTCGGCGTAGTGACAGAGCACCGGCCAAGTGGCGTGCACTTTGATGAAGTACACTAGTTTGCGATTCTGACTTTCTACTACATCCTGAAACACAATACCGTCTTTATTGACACATAAGACCAAATCTAGGCCCCAGAACCTTATAGTGGTAGATTTTTTAAGCCTGGTCGATGGTCAAAGGCATTGTCTCTAAGCGGAGAATGCATTGTAGATTAGCGTTTACTGTGGGATATACTTAAAATATCAAATTCTTCTCATTTTAATCACCCTTATTGTGTGTTTAATTATAAACACATATTTTTCACCACACCATGATGTTTTTAGATGTTTTACATACGTCAATTGGTGGCTGAAAGTTACGTTTTGCTGACCATGCCAGTTGTTATCGTCATTTCGGGACCGAGCAGGGTTTTACATCCCTAGGGCCGCAAAATCAGCTGCTCGCTTACTTTCATAACCTGAATGTATTAGTAATAGCTATTTACATTACAAGTGTAGTAAGAGCGTTTTTACATCACGCTCTTGCGTAACGTATAACGTACAAGATTTTACCTGACCCGACAATATACAGGGGGTTACGTACAATATTTTTCATTATCCATTTCACTCATCTTCTAACAGTAATGTTCTTCTACAAACAAAAGCTAGGTTAGGAAAATACTTTAAAGGATAACAATAACATTCAAGCGCACAGCTGATTTATAGCGTTGAACCAGTTGAACGTCGTTGGCTCCATAGAGGTATATTTTTTAAGTTAAGCACTCAATGTTATCTAAATGGGTTTCATTACCTCACCGAGTAAGTTTTTTCAACTTTACATCACTCGAGAAGTAAAGAGGTTGTATACATCACGCTTGGGATAGGGAAGTATAACATGGAGGATTAGGTAAATATACAATCTGTATCCATAGCATTGCAATAGAATTGTTTTATTTTCACCACTGCCTAGCAACTATTTATTATTATTTTTGCTGATTCCTCAAATTATTTCTTCACATAACCTTAAAGTTATGGTTGTGGTTGACTATCAGTGTGCATTATTATTGTGGTGAATAGTGGTAATAGGGTATAGTGTGGTGAAAAATAGCGTTCGTACCACGGACCGAAATGGTTTTGCTGCTATCGATCGTTTTAAGTCCTCGACTTCGTCTCGAACTTAAAAAAACTATCTCGAGCCGGCAAAACCTCATTTTCGGCCCTAGGAACGAAATATACTATTACAAGTATTCCGAATTTTTCGTCTAAGGGACTCGAAAGGTTAGGGGATTTAATGTCACAATATATTCCTTAAACTCTCAAGTGATGTGAACAGAAACTAGAATATAAACATCAATCCCTTATTGAGTTCCAAATTAGATAAAAGGATAAGAAAAGTCAATAGAATTAGGTAGAGAAGATACAAGAGAAGAATATTAGGAGAAGACTATTATTCAAAATCAGATTTACTCTAAAATTGAATAAAATTGACAGAAAGCAAAGAGAACAAAAGTAAGGAAACCGTTGTGACAATCCGTTCAATATTGTAGAAACGTTAGCGGTCTGATGCTGATGCGAAATCACGGCTGTTATCTGTATGAGTGGGTGATGTAAGCGGATGAGGTTTTTGGCATCAAGTCGTCCATTTCTTCTATTGTTGCACCACTTTGGCTTAAAGAAACGACTTCCCATTGTGATACCTCATGAGACTCAGTCGCCTGTCTTTGTGAAGACTACTATAAATTTATTACTATAAGCTTGGTCAATTTAGGTGAAAAATACGAATAAAACCAACTGTTTGTAGATGTAAAAAAGTTATAATGAAAATATTTACTAGTATTTCTGTATTACAAAACTTTGAATATCATCAGGGACTTGTAAAATATAATTTGGTTGTCTGGAAATATCAACGCACTAAGGCATTACGTTGGTATAAAAATTTGTGAGCTTAAGAACATTTTAAATGAATTTGTTGTAGCTGTGAAAAATACCATATATAAAAAGTAAAAGGAAATCAGCTTTACTTAACCAATTTTGTGTAGGCCTTTTAGGGTAAACCATAAAACTGTAATCTGCATATGATTTTAGGGTACTTTCCTGTTAAAGGGAACATTCATTACTATCGATGATTTTTTTCGATATATCGATATTAACAAATTGAAACATATCAGCTGACAACTACGATAAATATTGTTCAGTATATGAAACTGTTCTAAAAAAATAACCTAACATAACTAACCAAACTTGCTGTAACATTTAAAAATACCGTGTTTAATTTGCCTTTTCTATTATCAAACCCAAACGGAAGTTTTAAATGGTACAGCAAGTTTGGTTGGTTATGTTAGGTTAGCTTAGAACAGTTTCATTTCTTAATCCATATAGACTATTTTAGCCTAAACAAGATCAGTTAGTTGTTGTTGTCAATTTGTAATAGATCTGATCGGAAAACAAAAATATCGATATATCGAAAAAAATCATCGATAATAATGAATGTTCCCTTTAACAGGAAAGTACCGATTTTAGTTTCCATTAACGTAAAGTATTAAGAGATTGTATAACCTAGTATTGTAAAGTTGTTTGAAATTTGGCAAGCAAGATCGTAACTTATGGCACCATTCATAATGATGATCAAACTTATGAAAAGTGTCAAAGTTTAAAATGCTACCCAACTGTACGAAATAGAACTAATTTTTAAATGCTGTAATATAAACATGTGTTCAATATCAACAAATTCAACTACAAATACACAATTATAACCAAACGAAATAGTTGTATTTGAAATAAGAGTGTACCTCAACATAATGCTACCAAATCAAAGTTGTTACGTCAAAAGTTAACAGTTGGTTTCTGTGATGTGTGTCTCTTTGAATTTGTGCATTTTATGCTATGTATTCTACTCATTGTCTGTACATGTATTGTAGTAATTTCATTCTATTTATTCTTCAATACTTTGCCTTGCTCACCTATTTAGTATGAAGCAAAACGTCTACAGGTAATTTCAGTGTGCCAGTCTATGTTATGTTATAACTAGCTTTTGATCAATGTCATGTTTCCTCTTGTTTGTTTCTTGAGTCTCGAATTTAAATTTACAAAAGGGATTTATTTTTTTTGTTTGTATTTCGAAGTATTTCCTTGACGATGCACTCAATTAGTCTGTAACTATAGTGTACTAACAACGAATCACCTAGTGGAGCAAGATATTAACATTTAGCACCTTAAGTATTTCTTACCTCCTCCATATCCAAGCCAGCTTTCCGCAGATTGCTCATGAATCTGTGCCTCCAGTTTTCATGCTTCAACAGTTTCTTGTCCAGGAGGTGTGCTGGAGGAGGAGTCATTACAGACGCCCGACGACTCTGCGCACTCCCCGCTACCATCGTCTCCTCGTACACCATGACGAAGTCTATCTTGCGCCTGGCGTCCCGGAAGTACGTGGAGGGGTCGTGGCGAGGCGCGGCTAGGTACTGGCCTGTAGAAGATCCGACGTCTGTCATCTGGTATTTGCCACTGTCAGAATCTTCATCCTCCTGGAAAAAATATTTGGTTTAAAGTACACGATGAGTAAGTTGTACAAACACTACAGAAAGTTTGAAAACCACACCCCTTTTTAAGGTCATGCTGATTTAAGATTTATTTCGTGTGTTTGTGCTAGGTGCATTTTTACGTTCTCTGTAGGCTAATGGTTTAAACCATGGTCTTGTTAATTACCTAAATATAAACTTTTTAGTAGGCCTAGATGTAATGATATCCCACCCAAACTCTTCAGAATGTTTCGTCCAAATCCGATAATTTCTGCTTGAGTTATCGTGCTAACAGACACACATACTGTAAATAAATTTAATTTATTTTTGAACAGATGGTGTTTTAGTGAATTTCCATATAGGGAAGTATAGCTATTACCGTAGGTAAGACCTAGGCCCGGGACCGATTTACTTTTTCATTTTGATGTCCACAGAGGCCAAACACACAATTCGTTTATTTTTTTATAAATGTATACATATATAATATAGAGTTATATATGTGTCCGTGAACACGATAACTTGAGTAATTTTTGTCTGATTTTGATGAAATTTGGTTTAAAGGTGTAAGGCGGGATAAAATTGAATGAGTTCGCGAACCAGCATGATCAGACGATGGGAACGGGGTTTCACGGGGGGTTCTATTGGGTAAAAATTGTTTTTACTCATTTTTGATCGTCAAAACACAACATTTCCCAATTTTTCTCTAGACCTTTTCAAAATTCAGACAAATGGAAATTCGCCTAGTCTGCAGGTATTACTGCGGCGGGGGTATTTGACCTCCTGGTGACCTCAAAACAAAAAGTAAGTCCCAGGTTCAGTTATTATTACGATACCTACGGTAATTGCTTATTCTATATACGGGAAATTTGCTAAAACTTTTGAAGTGTAAGAACCTTAGATTCATCTATTCTGTAGAAATTCAATAAGTAAAAAATTAGTTTGATACTGTCAAAAGTTAGTTCAGCTTTGATGACAAAAATAATAGAGGATTAGGTTTTAAGTGGGTCAGGCACGGATGTCTATATAGATGATAGGTTTCCACAGACATTATTTTAAGCTTAATGATTAAAATAGAGTTCCACTTCTATGTTATTTTGCAATCTCAAAATGGGAGATTTAAGTGTATTTTCCATAACAAAACACATTCATTGTTTGTGGATAGAAAAAGCATTAACAAAATATATAGAACATAACTCACGTAAGAAGATTGAAATACTGTTGAGTCGTCAATACGTACAAAGTATTCATCTCAATCGTAACATACTTTTTTATATCACATGGTTGAAAAACCTAGTAGGTAATAATTAATAATGATAGTAATTAATAATATGCACTAGAAATAACACATTATTATCTACATACACACAACAACAATTTTAAAACTAATGCTATTTTTCATTAAATTTACTTAAAATAAAAATAACATTTGGCCAAGTTTGTATGTTCACTCTTGTTGCTTAAAATTGAGTATGGATAAGAAGTCTTGGCTACACTTACATTTTGAAGTGATATCTAACTTGCATAAGCTTACCATAATTATGCATAAACCCAGATCGAGTCCAATGCTGTATTTGTTTAAGTAAGTCATCTTAATTATGGCAAAATGTTCGGACACAAAATTCTGAAAAAAATATAGTGATCAAAGATCTGTCTTCACATGTTAAATTGATATATTTAAATTGGAATCTATCTGTTCTATATCTTTAACTATTAATACACGAAGCAGTTTTTATGTGAACACTAATTATCAGTTATTTGGAGACCAATTTCAACGTTTGAGTTATCAAAATATTCGTCTCAATTTGTAGTTTTGTGCAAAAAGGTTTTAGAATTTAAATACTCTTACACTTAAGGTCGTGAGGCTCGCTGAAACAAGGCTACAATAAATAAACTCAAATGTAGTTTTCAACCCTAAGAATGATATAGAACGAATAAAAAAAAACAAAAAACAGCTGTTTGTAAAAAGATACCCAGTTAAATTTGATTCCTGAGCATCAGTTTGGCTTTCGGAAAGGACACTCTACAGTTGAACAAATCCACAGACTAGTAGACATAATTAAAAATTCATTTGAAACAAAAAAGTACTGTTCTGCTGCATTTCTGGATGTACAACAGGCATTCGATAAAGTGTGGCACACTGGACTTCTTTATAAACTTAAATCCTTGCTCCCCCATTCTTTTTACAGTTTGTTAAAATCTTACTTAAATGAACGATTCTTCCAGATTAAATTTCAGGAAATTTTATCCGACTTGAAGCCTATTCAATCTGGAATACCCCAAGGCAGTGTTCTTGGACCTGTTTTATATTTACTATATACCTCCGACATCCCCGTGGGCAAAAATATTACGGTTGCTACGTTTGCGGATGATACTGCATTTCTCTCCATTCACGAAAATCCTCAAGATGCTTCAAATCAATTGCAAGTTACATTAAATGATTTCGAACTGTGACTAAAAAAAATGGAGAACTAAAGTTAATGAAACAAAATCTTTACATATTACATTCACGCTGAGACAAGAAAACTGCCCTCCAGTTACTTTGAACAACATAGCGTTGACAGAAGTGGACAGCGTTAAGTATTTAGGATTCCACATGGATAAAAGATTAACCTGGAAAACACATATTTGGTGTAAAAGACAACAAATGGACTTGAAGGTTCGTAAACTCAACTGGCTTCTAGGCAAAAAATCAAAGCTTTCGTTGACCAATAAACTCACACTTTACAAAGTTATGATCAAACCTATTTGGACGTACGGGATACAGCTTTGGGGAACGGCAACCAAATCCAACTTAGCAATTATTCAAAGACTTCAGTCAAAGGCGCTGCGAAGAATAGTTGATGCTCCGTGGTTTGTCTCGAATCAAACAATCCATGAAGATTTAAAAATACCGTCAGTGATTGAAGAAATAACAAGAATTAGCAAGAAATATCAAGAAAAACTCGAAACCCATCAGAACAATTTAGCCGTTAACTTGCTGGACAATAGTGGATTTCCCAACAGACTAAAAATTGTGAAAGTTCTTGAACTCCCATACCGATTTGCATAGTTTTAGTTACATGATATGACTGTTTATTTTTCCAAGATCTTTCACTGGGGAGATTCTTGGTCAAGTCATTTACTTATATTATGCCTTTTACTAATTGTTCACAGTTGTACTGAACAGATTGTAAAATAAAATAAAGTAAAAAAAAAGCTTTTTGGGGAGTAAATATTTATTTTTGTAATATTCAGAGGTTATAGGCCAATGCAAGTTGGAACAACAGTAAATGCTCGAGTTCAAAAATGAAATATTGAAAACAGGTGGAGAGAAAATTAATTAGTAAAGAAATCTTATGCGTATGAGAAGAGTAGAACAGAGGCCTGGTGCCCATTTCATAATAAACTACAAGTTACAAGTTACAACTTGTAGCTTGTAATTTTAATTACCGTAGATTTGCACTGGGCGATCAGCTGATTTACTAATAATATTAGTTGTTAATTTATTATGAAATGGGCCCCTGGTCTAACAGATCCAGATACTCAATCACTTGGAGGGATGAATAATATTTGCCAGTTCTGCTATGCACCTTACTTTGGAAGTGAAAAATACGCAAAGAATATAGGCCGCCTGCACATTGTGTTGTCACAGTGGTAAAGTAAACTTGTCCGATTCAGATCATATCAAATGAATATACCGTACAAGAAATTTTTACTGGTAGCAGCTGTGGATAAGTTGGGAAACATTTCTAGAAAAAACACAAAAAACAAGGCCAGCTTCTGAAAAATGATAAAATATTTAGAAGACGTGTTTATTACATCAAACTATTATTAACAACGTGAGTATTTCCATTAGCTACATAAGCTTTTAGTTACATCTTTTAAACTCATAGAAAATCAATGACTGTAATTAGTTTTAAAATAACTGCTGTATAATACCGGTGCTTAACAATTGCTCGTTTCGAGCAACAGGTACACTAGTTGCTATCAATATCTTGAGTATAAAATGTATTGTTTTATTAAGCAAAAAATAAATTAGAAAGCAAACAATTGGTACCATTTAGATGTTTGGGTCTAGTTCTATGCGTATTCAAACTATATGTATGTAACTGTTACGGAACACTCTGTACATAGCATTATTTATATACAATCACGTTTACAACTTTTTTTATTCAATCAAAACAAGTTTGGCTGCTGAATAAAATCTTCCGCTGATAAAATATTGTAATGTTGCATTTTGTTGTTTAAATTTTTAACTTCACTAGAGGATTAGATGGAAATTACAAGAAAGAAGGTAAAGTGGTGGGCTGACTGACTCCGTCCGCTTAAGCCTAGCTATTCCGCTATTTGAAATCCAGGGTTTACTAGCCCTGTAAGTAAAATACTATCTTCCTAAAATATCGGTTGTCTCATTCTGCTTTAGGGAAACATTGGTCTAGAACCCAATACACAACATTAAACATATCTCTTCGAGTTATATTATTCTCGTCATGTCTGTGAACTATTAAGAAAGTTTATACAATTAATTAAAGTTGATTCCAAATACACTTTTAATCTATTGCAAACCTGATAAAAGTCGCGATGTAAAACCTTGTAAATAATCCTTATTCAGAATTAATATTTTTGCAAGATGGGAAAATAACTATTGAAATGATAAATTTTATTAATATTTTAAGATTCACACTAAAGCGGCGTTTACACTAGTCAAGCTTGCGAAAATCGTTCTTTTTACTTGAATGTAGTATAAACCCTGGAAACAGAGTCAAGTTACTTGATTCAAGCAAACTTGAGTCAATAATTTGACCAATGTAAACGGCTTGGACAAAGCATGCATTGTTTAGACAAAGTCAAACCAAAACCTCAGGTAAAATACCAACATAATAACTAGTGAAATAATTTTTAAACAAGTTACATATTCAAGTTGAAAGGTTTATGACTTATGACCATTGTTCACTTGGAAGTTTTACAGTTTTCACCCAGTTAAAGAGATCAGCTGATGTCCTTGGCTCTAGCCGATTCTTTTCTGC